AGAGGCAATGAGGCAGTGTTTTCTGCCCTCAGAGGTATGGATATGGCCAGGCTATGTCCCCTGCCCCTTACCCCTATCCCTACCCCCTGTCCCATGCCGTATGCCGCCATTCTCAACCCTGTCACTCTCCGGCAGGCAGGGGACCAGGACCATATCGGTCCCGTTCCACGATGTTCATTCACCTCCCCTACCGCCAAGAACACACCTCGTCCACCTGTAACCCTATCAACTTCGAATCGCTCCTTCTGTTTTTTTTTTTGCTCTTGGCTTACTTTCCAAGGCCTCGCTTTTCGTGTGTCTCTAAAGTACCTCTCACCAAGGTTCTGTAGAGGAGAGAGAGAGAGAGAGAGGGGGGGGGGGGGGGGGCACGCTGATCTAAATGCTGTTCCAGCGCAACCGTTTCCCGCACATCGCAACTTCCGAGCCCTGGCTTGACGATTCGGAGGGGGATGGGGACATGGAATATGCTACAGAGAGTCCAAGACGGGCAATTGAAGAACAAACCGACAATCAGCAATCCGAGGCCGTCGGCCTTGGTGCTCAGTGAGATGGATGAGGAAAGCACCGGCGGGGAACCGCGATTGATCGTCGATGCAGCTAACTGGATACAGGTACGACGTCTTTTCCACGACTCGGTTTTTCATCATCCACGCTGGCCGAGGACCCATGGTCTTGGGACACTACCAAAGGCATTGCCTAGCTGTAACAATCATGGTCGACTGTACCCAGGCAGCCTACCTAACAACGTCCTCGATACACCTAACAGCTACAGAGAGTGGTTTCGTTGGCAGAAGGCACGTCGCCCTCCGCACCAGCGTCCACGGGAGCCAGCGATGCGCCCTGTCAAGGATCTAGGATACGCACTTCGCCGTTCCGATGCCCAGCATACATGCGCAAGTAGCCAGGAGACACGCCCTTGGGCAGCTGGACCACGTCGACCTTCAGGACGTCAAGGTCGCCCGCAGACGGCAGCAGCACGAGCATCTCCCGAGCCCGGCATGGCCGAGCAGAAGATGTCTTACAGAAGTCTTCATGGTTTCTCCCTAACCGTCAGCACATTACACACGTAGGCTCCGCCTAGAGGGGCGGCTACATTGGGAGCTTACAAAAAAGACAGTGTCTCAGCTACCCTATTTCCCGCTCTTTAGAAGCTCGTGAGTTGCCACATGTGCCTTAGACCACTTCGCCAACTTGTTAAACTTCTAACACTTATAGAGAGCCCCAAAATCCACTAACTCCCCAGGCTTGTTCTTAGGATCATGTGTAACCAAGAAGGGCTCAGATTAAGAAGAACCACGTCAGTGGAACACCATTTGCTTTCAGGGCCTGAGGCTCCAGCCTTGGATCATAGTTGACAACCTCTCCCGTGCTCTTATGGCGGAAAAAGTCGAACGAGGTGGGATCGTCTGGAGTTGGGCTCTTGTTGAATCGTTCCCATTCATCCAAGGGTAGCAGCCTGTGATCTTCCACCGTCCTCTCTTTCGTCTCGGTATTGACGAAACTGAGAAATCGCCGGTCGCCAATTCCCCAGGCTGCAATCCCTAGCCATGGTTTGGGCAGAGGCCCAAGCAGTGCCACGGCATCTTCGAGCCCGTAAACAAAACACTCGCCAATCACCGAGAAAGTGTTGCTTTCCTCCCTCTCATTCTCCGCATCGGTATCCGTGCCGCTCGGACGGAGGATGAGAGCATTCGGACAGCCAAGGGGGACAGCAACAATGTCTCCCGGTTGGGTGTTGTGAGGCGCCAACCCTATATAGCCGTCGTCAGTCCGAAAGAACAGACGGTCGGCACAAAGTTGCAAAGCATCTGAAACATCCTGTCTTGGGGTAGGAGATGAAGAGGAGCGACTTTTTTGTGATTCTGCAGAAGACGCCTCCGCTGTTGCCGGCTTACGGAAGAGAGCTTCTTCATCATCGAAGTCCTGCCGTGCCCATTCGGTCACCGAACTCACAATCCAGTCGGGCTCGCGTTCTCTCAACCCATAGGAGGCCAGCGTGATTGCATACGCTTTTCGTAAAGGCTCGCCTGTGGGGCCACATGTTGGGCTATCCAAGTCGGCGGGTTGCCACTGTCTTACGTGACGAATCGCTTCTCGGCGATCTTCTAGTCGTGGGGGCAATGGCTCGGTGACATGGCAAACGCTTCCAAAGCGCACACCTAACAGTTTGAGAAGATTGGGGTTATCTAACGAACGATGCACAAGTCAGCAGTTGCAGATATCAAAGCAGTGCGGTACCTGATGTACAGCTGGCTTGGAGAAAGAAGCACAAGGCCGCATTAAGCAACTACACCGACCTTCAGAATGGCGATAGTGAGCGCGCGATGTGGATGTCACAAACTGCGAGGGGATGTACGACTCGCCCGGGCACTCAGAGAACCAATCCGGTACCCATGAAGGCCCTTCAGGTATTTTCCTTTCACTCTTGGGGGTAAAACAGTTGTGGAAGTGCTCTAAACGTTGTGTTGTCCTGGCGTGGGTGAGAGTTGCCATCCTATAGACGTTGTCGGCGGTATTGGCTGCCTCGTAATCGACCTTGATACCCTTTGCAAACTTGCTGGGAGCAAGTCCAAGCAGTCCGTACATCTTGTCTCTGGCGTCTGTACACTCTTTGTATGCCCCACGGTAGAGTAGTCTGGGTAGGGCCATGGTCCAGAATCGCGACAAAGTGCCGTCTACCTGGGCCATCTGCCATCGGATGCCGGGCGGGAGTTGTGTCTTACAGTAGAGGCAATACTGCGCCTCCGAGAAGGAGGTAAGGGCTATTTTATCGTGACCAGCCTGCAAGAACGCTCCTGGGTGTATTTCCTGAACAACCCAGAGCCGGTTGAACCATGGCCTCCTCATCAACGAGATGATGGCATTCCAAGTTTCTTCCGAATACGGCAGTTCGAAGTCTGGATCGTACCACTGCTCCTCCTTTGTGTATTTGGTGCCGGGAATAGCAAGCCTGTACCCCCCTCACTCACAACCTGGTCGCCCAAGTATCGCAAAGTCTCGAAAGCATGAGTGCTTCCATCTCTTTCGGTTCCCAGCCAGGCCGTTCCCGTGTAGGCATGCAGATAAATCTCGCCCATCCGCGAAACCTGTTGACTCAGCTCAAGGTTGTCAGACTGGTTCAAACAAAATGGCATCGATCCACAAGTTTCGCTTATTCTGGGAGCCGTGATGAGGCTCTCGGTTACGGCCAGACGGGCCTGCCCCTCTTTGTCAGGAAGATCAACCGTGATGACGGCCGTCTTTGCAGACGAGCCCCAGACGTACGAAGGCGTCCCATACTGCGGAAAAGACGCGTCCTTTGGTGGAACTCCGTACCGAATGGTCCTTCGCGGGTGGAGCTTGGTTCGAGGGTGGTGTTCCCACTGGGCTTTGCCCGTCTTTATATCTCTGAAGAAGAACCTGCGATGGACAATCTTGAGCGCGAGGTTAGCGATAATTTAGCGAAAGCTACCGCGATGTTGGTTGTGGGGATTATGGTGGACCAACGGAGGGAGTTCCCCCTTGACCTCGGCCAACGTCGTCTTCCACACCTTTCCTCTCTGAGGCGGTGGGGTGAGCCCGATGTGATGGATTTGGATGACGATATCGTCGTTGAACTTGCCGGGCAGCAATTCTACGATTCTTATATCTTGGTTAGGGTCCTCTAGCGGAGTGGACTTATAATCCGGGAGGTCTTCCAGTCGCGAACGCTCTTCTTCGGACAGGAGCACCAGCTGGCTATCGTCCGTCTCATAGTTCTTCGGGTAGACGGTGCACCAGCGCAAGAACCGCGCCCACAGCGGGTGATCAACGTATGCTAGCTGGTCGTCAAGATCCATGGTACAAATGGCTCAGGGGCTTCGGATTGAGCGGCCAGCGCCGCGGAAACAAGGTAGCGTCTGGAGGCCCCACTGCGGTACGTGAGGGAAAACGGTTCGTTCCAAAGCCGGTGGGACGGAAGGCCAGGAGAATTCCAGCCCCGGATTTACTCAGTTTTATGCTACAAGCCACATCAGCCAGCCTGATCTGACAGACCGTCTACCAGTCTGATATGAAGTGTTGGCGGCAAGAACCCCGCACCGGGGGGACAGAATTTCGATCCTTCTGGTAAGACGTTTGCGATTTCCGAATCAATGATAGGAGCTCCACCTGACAGGAGGTTGTCTGGCTTGAAGGTAAGAATATGTGCTGTGTCTGATGCCACCAATGATGAGACAGCCCTCCGTGTCAGGAGGGGATCTAACTGCATCGTCATCCAAATCGAGAATGACTGGCCAATGTAACTTGTACGAGTGCCGAGCCGGTCCTGGACGTGGTGTCGGCAGCGGCATGTTCTGCTACGCCTTACATTATGGAATAACCATATCATATCTTGGAATGTCGGTGTGAACGAACCAGGGATGTTATCGGTCATCCACTGACAGTGACTTGGATGAGGACGGTGCGTATAGCTTGGGCTCCGATAATACCTCCGAAGTCTGGTACGATCTAGAGCGAGCAGGTGGGCCCTGGGTTGGCCTAACCAAGACAATACGCATTCATCGCATGCAGTAACATCTGAGAAATGCCAATAGATTAACGTGATTTATAAGTTAGGTGGCCTTTACGCCGACATACAACATACGGATACATATAATCATGTATGACATTTGACAATTGACACTTGGAAGATGACATGACGGCCAACCCTCTGAATACCCAAGCTGCTAACCCTGGAAGACGGCTTGGGGCAGGGAAACAGCATATTGTGTGGGTCATGTTCCGCTTTTATCTCGGTCCAAAGAATGAAAAACTAAGTTTTCGAGATGCAGAAAACAAGCAAAGAGTAAAAAGGTATCTTGTCTGAGCAACAATATAGTCATGTGCTGAATCACCATTGGCCAAGTGCCAGGCGCTCCCCACTGACTTAGGATATAAAGCTCCGGCATAGGTTTGTGAATAAGTGGTTATCGCCAAGACACAAAACGAAACTCTTCACTTCCTTGTTCCTTGTTCCTACTTTCCAAACAGAAACCGTCATAATGGCATCCGGCAAGAAAACGAAACCCACCCTCACCGGCGTGCCGGAGACCCTACTCGGCACAATGGTGTCCAAAGCCATCGACGCCGCCAGCCCGTCGCCGATCCTCAGGGACACTTGGGCAGCCGAGATGGTGACGAGAATCGATTATGACTTTGACCGTCTGGAAGTGCCTGGCTGGATGCAGGCCTGGGCGGTCCTGCGCAGCCGCGACTTTGACCGCTGGACGTCCGAGTTTTTAGACCTACATGCCCACTCGCCCAACGGCGCCACGGTGCTGCATGTTGCGTGCGGCTTGGACACTCGCGCGCTGCGTTTGCGGCAATACTTCTCCCGGATGCCGTTGCGCTGGATCGACGTTGACCTACCAGACGTCGTCGAGCTGCGCAAGGAGCTGGTGCCGGATCCTCTTGTCAACAGAAACGGCAGTACCTACGAGATGCAAGCTTTGTCGGCCACAGAAGCTGGTTGGTACCGGGATATACCGGCCGACCGCCCAACGGTGATTGTGATTGAAGGGCTGAGCATGTACCTGGCCGAAGAGGAAATGCGACAGTTGGTACATGGGCTAGTAGACCACTTCAGACAGGGGCAGCATCAACATGGCCATCTGCTGTTTGACGCAACCAATTCCTTCGTTATGGCGGCGCAGGGTTGGCTAAAACCTATTGTCAAATCGGGTAGTAGGTTCAATTGGGGGTTAGATAATCCCCTTTCTATAGAGGCATGGGCCGAGGGCTTGACCTTGAGGGAGGAGTTATTGCTTACTGGTCGGCCGCTGATCAAAGAACTACCGTGGAGGGTTCGAGTTCAGTTCGCTGTCGCTGCTAGCTTGCCTTGGTTCTACGACTTCCAACGGATGATGAGGTACAGTTTCTAGTATAGTTGTTACAACACTGTCTGAAGCTGCTGCTATTAGTTACTCGATAGAATGTCTTGCATGTCCCACTTGTCTCCTCCATCCTAAAGTCTAAACCTCCCAATAGCCATCGATAACGGGGCCTTTGGACATCGGACGCATATATGACTGCGTGCAGCTAACCTTCTCCTGCTTCTAAACCAACTTCTAAGCCTAAAACCCGTAGATAAAGCCGCAGTTTATAGTCTAGGCTACTACTCCCAGTCCGTTTAACCATATATTTCTCTCTCTGCCCAGCAACGCCCGATTCCCTTCTTTATCCACGACACGATAAGTGTCCGGTTCGTGAACCCCCCCCTCCATAAGGGGCCGGAGACGCCCCGGGTTTGATGTTGTTCGATTGATTGGAGTCATCCGTCCATTCAATGACCCTTCTTTCTTCTCCAGCCAGTAGCTCTTCACTGACGCTGGTGGAGTTGGAAGGGAGTTGGGACGATCCGGTCCCGATGCGAAGGAGCGCCGCTTTGCGTGTTGAGGATTGCCGCCGCGACAATGTATTCGACCCCGAAAGCACCATCAGACCGACGATTAGGTCTTTTCTTGCGTTTTGAAGACTCGGACTGGCACGCCGGCTTCTGCATTGATACTAGCGATTTCTTTGGGATTTCTCATTTTTCCCTGCCTCTCAGAGGCTCTCGTTAACATAATGGGTCGGGCCTGAACGGAGGAAAGAACTGAAACGTTCTCAAAGGCGGCCTGGAGAAGATTCGTCGGCAATGCAGGTACTGGTATTCTCGCTCGGCTGTCGGTTCCTCTGTTGGAGCCCGGCTTCTGGGCTTCCTCGTAATTCTGAACCGCTGTCTGTCGCTTGGCGCTTAGCTATCTATCCCCAAAACCTCTACGGCCAACGCCGTAAACATCACATTTTTAGTCCACTTGGCCTTGTACCACCCGAATGAGAAGCATTAATCGTTGTAAACAAGAGTTTGCGCGTGCTGCAGACATGATTATATCTCGATTGAAAACAATGGTATCGACACACCAGCCTCCTTGGGCTCCCAAAACAGTCGCAGCACCGACTGGGCGACGAGTTACTCATACAAGACGAGATCCTTCGCTCGCAAAAAATCCTCCGCTTCTCTCAGTAAGAAAACACACTGGTATCTTTTATACAATATGGTTGGCCGGCGTGCCTACATTCATTTCACACTGCTCAGGCACACTCTGCAAGGAGCGCCCTACCGCCTCATTAAGCGTCATATCTATATACATATCCCTCACATGTCGGCACGCCGGTGACAGCCATGGTTTTTGGTTCCCGCTCTGCCGTCTCGGCCAGCTCGTCCGGCGTCTCTTCAGCGGCCCGTCCTGCCCTGTTGGATGCCCCCGGGGATGGTGATGAGAAAGTTAATCAAGTCCACCGAGTTCCCTCCACCGAGAGTGACGTTCAAGGCCTGAGTTGGTGTGATGCCACCGTTTTGTTGCCGGCTACCCTGGTCCGCAGTAGTGAAGAAGCGCTGCAGGAGGGACTGCGCCGTCGTTGCCGCCGTCAAAGTCTGCCGTTCCAAGATGAGGAGAACCGAAACGCGGGCAAAATCAAGCGTCTCTTCAGTGACCGTAAATGTAGGCCTGGGTGGTGGTGGAGAAGACAATGGGATCGAGGGGACGAGCGGCCCCTGGGTGGTTGTTGTGGTCGTTGCTCTCGTCGTAGTCGTGGTGGGAACGGTTGGTACTGCCGGAGGGGGCACCGAAGATGTCGTCGTCGTCGTCTCGGGCAGCGGTGTTGAAGAAGATATCGGCAGCGGCGATATAGAGGATATCGGCAGCGGTGATGGGGACATCATCGGGATCGTAGCCCGCATGGTCGAGCTGACGGCGCTGATAGTTGTGAGCCGGAAAGGACGCGTGAGGGTCGTGAATCCGCCCTGAATGTCTGGCGATGGGAGGGGCAGGATGCTAGGCACACCGACGCCCAGCGTGAGGGTGAGAGCTTGCCCGGGCAATAGGGTAATGATCTGTACGGGGACGGCGGCATTGTTAACTATACCGCCGTCATCGGTGCCTACGCGGGACGAGCGTCCGTCAAACGTGACGAGCGAGTTTTGCGCAATGCATGAGAGGTTTTCAGTGTTCAACTTGGCCAAAATGTCGGTTCCGTCCAGCGGGATTGAGAAGTTCGTCTGAGCTTGTTGAAGCAGCCGCGGTATCGCTTGACCGAGAGTGACATTACTCAAGCTGGTCGGGGTACCATTCCCCTGGAGGCTGGTGGTGGTGCATCCCGTTGCTCCGGCCACGGTGCAAGTCTGCCCGGTAAACCCATTGATACAAATGCACGAGCAAATGCCTTGGGATATGACATTTGTCCCGCCATTTTCGCACTTGAGCTGGTTTTGACATTGCGACAAAGCCGGTTCCGCTGGAGGATTACTGGCCCGGTTGCGTCGGAAGACGAGGAATTCGAGGGGGACGACAATGGCCGCCGCGACAATGCCCAGGACGATGACGACAATGACAATGAACGCCCACAGAGGAAGGCCGCAGCATCTTCGGCGACGCCTGGCCGACGACTCCTCATCATTGGATTCGAGTCTGGTCAGCGGGGATCCTCTTGCTGCCATCGCACGAGTCACTGGCTGTGGAGTGCTGCCTTGACTGCCCGGTGCTAGCGGCCACGAACCGGTAGTAGAGGTTCGTCTGAACCAGCTGCCCCTGTTCGGTAAGTTCGGGGGGTTAGGGGTAGTAGCTGCAGGTGGAGGAAATGCAGCCAGCATGTCAGACAGGCCTGACTGGTGCTTTTCAACAGCTAGAACGACGTTAGTCGTCGTGTTCGCACAAAGGTTCGAGCGGCCAACTTACAAGAAATGGTGGAGATCGGTTGCTCCCCCTCGCGCCCGAAGGCCTTCTCGTCTGGCCAAGTCCCATCATCCAGCTCGAATCGACTCGCAGGCCTTCGTCCGCGATCAATCAGGGCAGCTAAGCGGGTCGCACGCTTGATGAGGTCTGGCAAGCTGGTCATGCTACCCCTGGATTCCATTTCTCTGACCGAATCCATATCGAGTTTTGGCGGACGCCGAACGGCTGATAAGCGGTCGTATGGCCGTGGAGACGGTGTGAATTTCCTCGTTTCTGCCAGGTCTGTCGCGCTGGCAGCACCAACGGCACCAAGCATCACATTGGGCGTGAGCGATCCCGGAGTACCCCCGCCCGCCATGGTGGGGACTGTTCCGGATGAGCTGGATCCCTCATAATACGCCGTTCCACTATCAAACGGGCTGACGGGAAGTTTCATGGGACTGGGCGACGGCCGCTGTGGTAGCCCCTGGACGTCCTGCGGCAACGGATCCCCGCCGCTCGGTGCTCGATGCATCACGATTGACGGTTTCGACATCTTGCCCACACTTGCGCTCCTCACGAGCTTGCTCTCGTCGCCTACGTCGCCATACGGCGAACCGCTGCCCCGGCTCATCTGGCTGTCTTCGTCTTCGCTAGAATACGCATCATCGTAGTAGTCGTCGGGGTCTGCTTCGCTGTATCCTGGTGATTGGCTGCCCCAGCTCTCTGGCATCGCGGCGCTGGATGCGAATGAGGTATGAGACCTAGACCGTGGGCTCTCTTCGGGAATCGGGGAAACAAACGAGGCGTTCGAATAAAATGATGAATCTCCTCGACGCGATGATGGCGGCGGGCCCAGGCCGAAACTTCGTCTTGGCGGCACTACCGGCGGCGGCGCGGCGATGGGCGGGACGATAGCAGGCAGGGGAAAGTCTGGTATCGATCCGACCGATGAAATCGATGATTGCGTGTGTCTCGACGTCGGGGTAGGCGGGGCGGATTGGCCATCCTGGCTGTAGACGGATTCGCGTCCGGGTTGGGGGAAATACTGAAACACGGGAGTGTGATCTTGAATCCGTGAACTATCCAAGATGGACGGTACTCTGCTTGGGCGGGGCGGCCGTGGTGGCGGCGGGCCGCGACCCAGAGGGGGCCTGTAGGGTTCGGCATCGGGGTTGCTTGCGGGAGACGAAATCGGTCCCAGGGGCCACTGCGGAATCTGTGTCGGTCGGGATATCGCAACGCCAGCCCCTCCAAACTTGTTCTGTAGTGCCGCCGGTGGTTGCGGTCTCGGTATACGTGAGGACGGTGGCTGGAATGGCTGCTGTTGTTCCGAGACACTGGTAGGGCTGTCTGGATCATTTTCCATTATTGGGAACCTGGCGACGCTCGGCGGCGGGTTCTGTTCCCTTGGGAGTCCGGCCTCGGCCCGCTCTCTCGCGCGCCTGACGGATCCTGCAATTGGCGGTCGATCCATATCTTTTCCATATTGGGGTTGACTCATTTAGTACTCGTGAATTCGGTCCAGCGACATCAGAGTTTCGGGTTTCCGATTTCCTGCTTCGGTCTTCTTCTTCCTTTCAGTGTGCCTGCAAGTCCAGGCACTGCACGTGGACCATTCGCTGTGCAATATCGTCGATGACCGTGTTTCCTGCGGACGTCCGAAGGTTGGGTAATTGATATTGCGGCGCTTTGAAGATTGCCTGAGGTAAGCTCGTATAGACTCGAATGGGCAGTAATCAGTACGACTGCAGCTAATCGACGCAGCTTGGCGGACAGAAACGACTGGCGATAGGGTATATCAAATGAATAGCCGCTCAACTGCAGTAGGAGACGGTATAACTGTTCGAGATCGAAAACAGGACCCAGGCCTATTAGGGAGAATCGAAAGTCGAGAATGACGCTAAAATGGGCAGTCGAGTGGCGCGACCGAGACGAAAAGAAAGAAATGGAACAGAAAGGGCGGAGAATGAATGAACTGCGTACACAAGGGTAGCAGGATAGTCAAAAGGCTAGATGGATTAATTAGAGTAGCAGAGAATGAAAAGACGCAGCCGACGATCTATCGTCGAGAAGTCCAAAGTTAGCATGGGGAAAAAGGCGCGAGGGGGCTGAAAAGAGTAGTAAGAAGGTAGAATGGAAGAGTGAAGCGACACGGCCACTGAGGGAACCCGCCCAGCAATAGGCCCAGGAGGTTCCCAGCGGTTCGGGAGGGTTGCTTCAAATTGACCACCCCCCCTCCAGAGCAAGGAATACCTAGACGGCCGGGGCCATGGGTAGGGGGGGTTTCCCAAAAGGGACCACGTACATTTAGTGTTTCGAGACTTGGCCTTGTGGCCAACGAGATTCGCCCGACAAGGAAAAGTCGTCGCTGCCGTGGACGAAGAGGGGAGAGGCTGCCACAAGGTAGCAGGGGCGGATCTTGACAGCAGATTGGGTGCGATATGACGGATGAGTGAGTGGCCGTGATGACAAGAAGTGGCAGTAGGGTGATGACATGGACCTCGAAATAGGAACAGGCGTGCCTGCCCAGATGGTTCGACGAACAGACGGGCCAATGCAGTCGTCAGCGTACGAATGGCAGCAAGGGCAGAGTGCAGCCAGCTCTGGCAGCGGGTGAGAGCAGAGAACTCGTTGGTGGTGAGACGAGCGCGGATGGGTGCACGACACACACTGGGTCTTGAGGTGCTGGCGAAAGGACTGAGAGTGTTTCAGACGTGCGGAACGGGCAGGGTCAGTCCGGCGTCGGGAAGGCAACAACTCTCTGGGGGAACCTTGTGATGGACGTCTGAAGATGTGAAGATCAAGAGACAATCAGGCGAAAAAGCAGGCCTGTGGGGTAGTCGAGGCTAGAATTGATGTGCGAACTGACAGGCGACTCCGTGTGGGGAACGCTCGTGGAAGAGTTGGCTTGGGGAGGACGAAGAAGTGCTGATGTAAGAAGGCAGGAAGGGCGTCAAGTGAGGGTTGAGAAGCAGGTGTCGATTCGCCTTGTTTGGAATAAGGTGACAGAAAAGAAAGAGAGAGAGAAAAGTTGTCGGTAGTTGGATGTCTTCAAGACCCGGTTGACGGCAGTAAGAAAAAGTAAGAAAGGATCAACACACGGTCGTGTCGACGCAACGATATTCGGAGAGAAAAAAAAAAAAAAAGTCTAGGAAGGCGTGCTGCTTGCTGTATGAGCTTATCCGGGGGGTCTATCTGTCGTGGCGGTCCTGACGAAATAACTCGGTACAAGGTGATTTCGATTTGGCTTGCGACCTGTACAAACTATGACGAGTCTTACTCGCAACCACACACCTGCGGAATGAGTGTTTGAGAGGGGAGGTGAGGAGGACGAAAGAGGTCTGAAAGAGGAGTCGAGGCGGGGGGGGGGCAAGCGAGTATAGAGACGAAGCGAGGAGGGGGGTGGCTCCCCAGAGATCAAGAGGAAAAGCAGACTTGTCAGGAGAGGACCGGGGCTGGGTCCTGGCTACCTACTACAGATGAGTAGTAGCAGTGCACTGCATCCCAGGCCTGGGTGACAGACAGACAGCCCATCATCAGTCGTGACTGCAAGAAGTCGGCTCCACTAGCAGGGACGCGAAGGGACCGGGATCTGATTTTTTATTTATCAAGTTTATCAAGTATGATGCTCGTTGTACGCAGTATCCGTATATTGAACAGTATTATGTATTGTTCGTTGACCCTTGCGTGTCTCTACCATGGTACCGATGGTTGGTTGACGTGCGTCTGTGGTGCAGTCTGGACCGGAAGATCGGTAGGACGCCGAAAGCGGTATGCCTGCTGCTATCTGAATCACACATGCAGGTAGAAGTTGCGATGATTTACCATGTATGGCGAGTTGCCAAAGGTAGTGTACTAGGTATGTAGTATACCTTGCAGCACGTGCGTGGGAATGATAAACTAGCATCGGTATACGGATACGTGATAGTCACTCGTTCATTTACCGTCGGGTCCCCAGGTCAAACCGAGACTCGACGGCTAGGACGAAAGCGGTTGGGCAGGGCAAACGGCTTGTTGAAGAGGCGTTGGGACCGTCGTTCAACACGCTCCGACAGTCATGGTTGACGGGACGTCCGCCGAGGTTTGCTCCTCGCCGGCTACCTGTATCCGTACACAGCAATTAGGTATTAGCACGGAGAGTCCGGTCCACCGACGGTACTCCGTAGTGTAGGTACATCAATATACACTAGTACCGGCAGTAGGTACCGTAGGTAGTTTGCATAGTAGTAGTAGTACGGATACGTGTATGATGGAAGCACGGGCCAGTTTCGGGACTGTGACTGCTGCCGCCATAACGAGTGTTGCTGGTAAGAAAAAGGGGGCAGGGTGATGGTGGTGAAGCGAGTGGGACGGTGCAGTGCGACATGCACAGCTCAGTTCGGTCTACGTCAACCCGCCCCCTCCCCCCTCGGCTACCACCTACCTAAGCTTAGAATAGTAAGGTAAGGTAAGGAAAGTGGGAATAGAGTCATTCATGCCTGCTTGATCCTGGTGGCCCCTTGCCTCCTCGGAGCTGCCAGATAGGTCATTTTGGAGTTTGATGGGCCAATGACGAGCGGGGCTTGCCCAAGCGGAAACACTAGCGCAAGCACGCGCCGCAGGACCTTCTAACCCCTGTAAGCGCGGCCCAGATGGCCCGATCTGGGGGGATCCATCATCAAGTATCCGTAAACCGTACCTTAGATACGATGTATATCTACTGACCGGGTCTTGATCGCGTCTTTTGCGTTTTTCACCTTTCAGTGGTGGTAGTGATGGCGGCAGGCAGATCCCCACCGCTAGAGACTGACTACCAGGAAGGAGTATCCGTATAGGACATTAGAACATGGGAGGAGAGTGGCCAAGCTGGGTACTCGACGGCCCGGGGACAGTCAAATAAGAGGGACACCGTCGGCACTCAACAGTACCGGTGCCCCAGTGTCGGAACATCCTCTTGCCGCAACCTGCGGCAAGTCCCAGCCTTCTTTGGCTCTTTCTCTACAAAATACACTTACCAGAGGTGCCGCTGTTGAGCGTCTCGGTTTGCCTTCTCTTGGCACAATCTGTTTCCTTATGGAGAATCCGTCTCTCGCATCATGGGAAAGGGTCAGCCTGCGCGGGAGCCAGATCTTCGCTTCCGTCCACCCATCGGCCAACGCCCGCAACATCTGCACCACCGCAACCATAACCGCCGCCCACCTTGAACTTCAAGAAGAAGGGACGAGTTGAAACGACACGTTTCTTGAGCTGATGTCTGCCGCGTAGGAAAGAAAAGGAAAAACGTGCCGAAAAGCATGGCTACCCAATACCTACCTACCTATTTACCTACCAAGTACGTGGGCCTGCAGCTCTGGCGGAGCATGCACAAAACTTTACGACACGTCTTCTGCGCCTTTCGTCGCCTTCTTCCCGTCGAATATCTCGCAAATCACGAATCCTTCTCGTGGTGCAGCAACCAAGCAAGCTATGTCCAGCGGCTTGGCTAGCGACGCGGCGCCGCCTACCAACTCGGTCCCCACGTTCCCCCAGGTCAGAGGTGCCCCGTATCGGGTTTGCCGTACCGTGATATTACATATGTATCGGGTGAACTGCACTAGACTGCTTACGGGGGTTTAGAGCGACTATATCCATCAACTCATACAGACCACAGTTCGAATTTCGAGTTCGGGAGGCGTTTCAGCTGTCACATGCACGCTGCAGACATGGAACAGGGGCTTGTGATTAAGCCATTTCGTCCGTCGCCCGAGCCGCAATTGGGTGCTTTAGCCAGTACATCCTGCAAGAGATAACCCTGTTACATGGATCCACCTTCTATGATCCCATCAGGGTACACCGACGATCGACATGGTCGTCGTCGTCTGTTGTGCATAGTGGCGCTTGCACTGCACACTACTACGCAGTGGATCCGACCAGACGTGCCAGGCACGCCAGGCCACCGTACGACTGATGACTGATGGATCTGCTGTGTACCAAGGTCGGAAACCAACAGAGCGCTGCTACTCATCCGATCTCCGGCACGAACTGTGATGCGGCAATCAGGCACAGGACTATTTGCGTTTAAGAAACTTCAGACACGGCTTTGGTCTTGGTAATCCTTTCCCGCGCGGCTCGACGCCGCGAGGCAGTCGTCTGAAGGAGCCTTGTCTTCTTTTTGGAAAGGCATATATCCACAAACTCGAAGAACACATCCACTGCTCACATTTCTGGCCGTTTTGCACTGCCGTGTCTCCTCCTCCACACGTGGAAGATTGGGACGAAACGAAACAATAGTATGCCGATGGGCCCGTCGAACCTTCTTTGGTGGAAGCAATCTGCGGCCTGTAGGCCACTTTATCATCATTCTCATTTCCCGTCATGTCTGTTCGCCACTAGTAGGTCGTTCGCTTCCAAGAAAACGGCCAAAAAGCGGACCGTAGCAAATGTCTTGACAAGCCCCATGCGCGGCACTACAATACTGGGGGGTTGGCATCGACATACCCTCGACTGCTTAGCTCGTGGGCCTGTCTCATAAACGACAGCGCACACTAGCTTCCGTAGTCGGTCGGTCATTAACATCAAACCCTCCGGCCCCGCACTGCCGACCAGTCTCCGGGTTGGAGGCGGCTTTGGCAAATATTGGATCTCGACATCACGGTGGGCAGCGCACCATCTATTCGCGACGTGGTAGATGAATCTCAATAACGATCGTCCCCCGCAGATGCCCACGAGTGGCGTACGCGGGGTTCAGGCTCTTCCTATCCCTTGGGGTATCAAAGACGCATATAGCAGAGCCAGTTCACTTACTGTTTCCACGCTCTTGTATTGTCGACCTGTTGTGAGGGAGGAGGGAGACGCTAAGTCACTTCGTTTTCCCCATGTTTTGCGGGCGTGGCCCTCCACACAGCGGTTCCCGGAGTAGCGCTTCAACCCAAGCGAACATTCCGACGAGGAGTGGATTGGTCGCATAAAGCCATCATTTGGAAGATGGTACGCAGGAAACCCAAGCAACCGAGTGGAACGCTGAATATGCCCGAGACAGCTGGCAATGCGGGAGGCCCAGTCTTCTTCTCGCGCGGGATAACTTCCGTCGTAACGTCACGCGGAGGATTTACTTAACCTACTCAGTATACTACATGCCGGGCCGCCTCTTTCGTGGTGTGGGGTCTTGAAGAATTTGCTATAATATGACTGATACAAAGCATCTATAGTAAAGGGGCCGAGCTGAGTGTATGGACATGCCAATGTGCTCGTCTAGTTCGGGTGGCGACTTGACGCATCGAAACGCCTTGGATGGATGGCCAGCCATTGCGGCCGTGCCTCTCTGTTTCGTCCGGTGCGTTGCCATCTCCTGTCCCCCACAAGATTCTTTAGAAGACAACTTTCCGCCCGCACGTGTTCATTCTCCGGCCCCTTCCGCCCGAGCCAGCGTGTTTCTTTGTTGGAGGCTATCACGAGCCTGTATGGGAGTACGCTTGATCGGCTTGAGCAGAGTCGCAAGTTGGAAGAAAGGCTTGCGAGAGAGTCCCGGTTCCATGCATCAATCGCCGTCGACACGGATACCTGCCATTCCGATGACATCTGCATCTCGTTCCAGCTCACGAGATGAGGCAGGCATCATGCCACAAGGGAATTTGGGGGGCAACTCGCAATCACCCGCGAATCCCCTGCCTGTTGCTGCAGTGGTATTTGCAGGCCGAATATCTCACGTTGGCAACGATAGGCCGCGGCGCTCTTGGCAGTCCCGACGGGAGCAGGGACGGCTCCGGCAACATACTTTTCCACCGGCAGTGTTGAGTTGTGAGCGAGTCGGGCATTTCACCGGCACGGTCTGGGTAGTTTACCCACCGAACGCGTCTGAGGAGGGGGACACCCCGTTTCTCACAGTCGTGCGCCTCCGCATTTGTAATCAGTCAAGGTTGGTTTGCTTCGTCGAGCCCATCTGCTCCCCCGTCATCACCAAGCTTACAGATTTGCATGACACTCTTCCTGGGTGCAAGACGGCCTCGGAACAAGAGGCATCCCGTTTCTCGAGGGAGGAAGAGGGTCGCATCCGCTGCCGCCTGGATCATGGCTTCTGTACCAACACCCAAACCCCATGGGCCAGGCTAAAATGTCCAGGCTCGTGAGGCTGGGAGCTCTACGGGGAGCCTCGGCTCAGATCGCCTTGAGGACGCGGGACATTGTGTCTGATTGAGATGACCTCGTCAGGGCCATCACGGCCGATATCCAAAGCGTCACGAGGCCCCCGAAAAGGACTCGACAGAGACGCTCATGCCTTGGAAGGGCATTCAGTGTAGAGGGCGTCAAAGCTGACACCTGTGCGCTGCAAATCGCGAGGACATGACATCATGCCAGCGCCGCGTCGAGAGGCTGGGCCAGGAAGAGCACGCCCGGCAGAAGCGGGAAGGGTTGAACTGGAGACTGCTTCCACGAAGCTAATAATCGTCGACACTGATGACTGGTTCATGCACACACAGGATCGCGCAATGCGTTGCTTCCGAGACCGGCCGACCGCGCCGCCCCGGGCGTTGGTGCCCAGACGGTAATTCGAATCCAAAGTCATGCTGTTTGAACTGGCCCGGAGGCACCTTGGCAGTGGTTACAGGAGAGCGGGGTTGCTCTTTGAAGGCCCTGTTGTCTAGTCACTGTCTACACATTACGGCTAGACCGCGTCGTCAGGATGCTGGCATTTTCTCAGTCGTGGATTTGCGATGCAGCTCCGACACGCCTCCGGAAGGACGACGTTGGGGCCGAGTGGCGTCGTCGGCCTCGACTACGCGTTTGTGGGGCCCGGAAGCCGGTCTGAACGACGGTGGTATGTACGGATGCCCCATCGGCCGGTGGAGGGGAGGCTACAGATAGACATTCCTTTGGACTGATTGTGGGAGAGACGGATTGCCAAAGCCCGGTCATTCCAACACAAAAAGGCCAACCACCTATCTGGGACTACACAGCCTGGCGTCGAGCCCTGGGCAGGAAGGAAGGGCGTGCTTCAGTGGGCTTTGATGACCTGTGTATCACGATGACACGGCGACGGGGTTTCAGACGAAACGGCACCCCTGACCTGGGTCACGTCGTGGCTTGGCAGGAGATGGAAGCAATGGCCCAGATTACGACTCAATAACCCGGCCGCCCGTCCATTCCTTCATGCATATCGAACGATTGGCCATGTTTGCTTTTTTAGAGTTTGCCATCGCCTCTCCGGTGTCGAACATGATGTGATTGCGTAGCATGGTGACTCGAGCCCAAGCCATAGACGTCATGAGCTCGGAGCTTAAAAAAAAAGAGAGAGAGAGAGAGAGAGAGAAGGTGCTTTGGCTGGTTTACTGGAGAGAGGGGAGTGAGCACAATGTTGTGCAAGGATATGAAGGGAGGAAGCATCAGGCGGCTGGGGATTGGGATGCCCTGACATTTCTTTGAGCCAAGGTAGGTAGGGAGGTGGTTCGGAAGGGCAAGAACACCCAGCTGCATCGAGTAAGCGAAAGGAATATAGCAGAAGAGCCGAAAGTGCCGGTTTGGGCGGACGGGGCCACAGTGTTATGTCTTTCTTTAAGCGTTTACAAGCCCCCGCCACGTTGTTCTACGCCATAATGGTGTAAGAGCATTTGAGGACGATCCGAAGTGGGCAAGAAAGAGAGTTGCGTCTTGTTAATAGTGGATTTAGTCGGTTTACGCATCAAAGTGGCCAGGACTGGTGAAAGGGCAAGGGAATAAGTCGAGAGGGGCATTCTTGAGAGTCATGATGAGTAAGTTGGGTGGACGACGAGACAACAAATGAAAGGGGGGGGAGGGAGGCAAGGAAGGGGGACTGAACCCGAGCTGAGGAATGCGGGAGAAGGTCAGTTCCAAAAGGGTCGAATGACATAATCGGGCTGGACGATGTGCAGCAAATCATCCGGTTCATTCATGCCTGAGGCGAAAACATATCCCTCAGCGCAGTGTGCAATCGCCCCCTCCCCTCCCCAAAGCGTGGCGATGCGGACACACTAGTAACCTGTCTGCCCTGTATCCCGACTGTCCCGAATGTCCCGACGGTCCCTAGCGTGTCCCAAGTGGCCCAAGTCCCGTTGCCTCCAACAGGCTAACACCACTTGCAGCACCCGATCCCCATCTTTTTAATGGGTCAAGGGCCCGTAAGGCGCTCCTCAACTGCGTAACTGCCCTGTCCAGGGATGCGCTAACAGTGCCTTACGTACTCTGGATGGCCCCCGTTCTGCTCGACCCCTGGGACACGACACTCGGCACTCGCTCATGTCATTGCACCTCTTGTTCTCCCACTCAGACATCGATCGAAACTCAACCTTCCTTCCTTCCACACGACCATCTTTCGACATCACTTTCTGTCCCCCCCTTCCCATTGATCAACCTCAACTCAGAGAAGACACGACAGTCGATTTATTACCTATCGAACCATTTACGTCAGCGAACATCGGACCACCGGCAAGATGCTGCTGAAATCACTCGCCGCCGCCAGCTTGGCGATTAAGGCCACGCAAGCCTTCATCGTTGTTCCCGAAATCTCTCAAGCCGACAGCGAAATTGTCAACACACTCCCTTTCGGGCTCGAGGATCCATCTATCGAGATGGGCCTCGCAAGCCATCGCGTCAAGGTCGACTGTCCCGGATGCCCCTTGGCGATGCGTCACTACGACGGCCGCTACCACACAATGTCTAACATCAACAACCACCTCGAGCTGACCTTCTCCATCGACACCGACACCTCGGGCGTCGATCACCTCCTTGTCAACGACTTTGAGCTCTACCCCAAGCCCGCCTCGTGGTACAAGGCTCTCCGTGCCCCCCAGATCCCCGACTTCACCGAGGCCGCCACCAAGCATCCTCGCAAGGCCAGCCCCAACACTCCCCAGCTGGGCTACAGCCTAGGTGTCCGCCCCGTTGCCAAGGACACGGAGCAGCAGCTCGAGCTCGTTGAGATTGATCTCCAGATCATCGAGGTTGGAAACAGCTTCGTCAGCGATATTCCCAACGTCAACGTCAAGTTGATCAAGTCCCCTACCGGCAACCTTATGATCGCCAACATTGAGCAGACCGAGACCTCTGTCCCTTCTCGCCAGGAGGAGGAGCAGGAGGAGGTGGAGGACCACGTCGAGGCTCCCGCCGAGGACTGCACCACCTTCTACTGCAAGTGGCGCGCCGCCATCCTGAACAAGATGCATCGCATGAAGCACTGCGGCGGCCGCAAGAACCACGGAGCTATGCACGGACAGCACCGTCACGGCCACCACAACGGCCAGGTCAGACATCACCACCACACCTGGGCTCAACTGGCCAAGAACGTCGCCTCGCATATCCTGTTCCCCGTGCTCATTGGCATTGTTGCTGGCGTCAGCGTTAGCATGTAAGTGTTTCATTTCCCCCTTCTCGTTCCCATGGTTTTCCCCCGGTCTTGTAACCCCGCTCCTTTTCCTGTACCGAGCTCCACTAACATGGCTTGTCAGCATCGGCATGATGGTTGGCACCTTTGTCGTCTGCCTCTGGCGTGTCTTCGTCCGCCGCCAGCCCCCCTTCGCCCGTCGTCACTGCCGCCGCCGCGCGCGCAAGTCTGTCCACCGCGAGGCCGCTGCCGTCGAGGAGAAGTCGGGGCTCATGGCCGACTCTGAAGACCTCCCCCCTTACAAGGATAACGAGGAGGATGCTTGCAAGACCGAGACCGCTCAGGTCTAAGAAGAAGCAAATCCGATCTGGAAATGCGACAATAACAACACCAACAAAAACCGGCAACTCAACTGCGAGACCAAACTGATGATACCACTTTTCCTTTGACTGTTTTCTGCTTTACTTTGCGTCTTTGTCTGGGCACTGAACAGCGCCTAGAAATTCGAAACACCACACACAAAAACACTCCAAGATTGGACAGGAGAGGAAACTACACAACTCATAAGAAACGGCGTTTTATATTTATTCACGGAACGGATTGGCAAGTCAGGGTGGATTTACTTTTGTCTTTGTTGCTCATTACAATCACATCGAGACGTTAGGTATGCTACGTTGAGAGCCGGGGCGGAATGTGTGCTGGACGATGCCAGACACCACACTCTCTTCCTCTACCCAAATAACAACTTTGTTATCCAGATGGCTCGACAACCAAAACATGCACAAGTACCGTTGTCGTTGTGTCTGGGATTTAAAGAAGAAAAAAAACCTGAAAAAAAGAAAAAAAACTATACCGATAGGCTCTAAATAACCACATTCCTTGAATTGAGAATCTGCCTTACCGAACGGACGTCGGATGACGCTTTTGTGAAGTGCTGCGATATGACTGTTGCCTGTATTCGCCCACGCCGGGTTGGACATACCCCCGGACCACCTGTTTCCTTATGCTCCCCTCTTCCGGACTTGCCGATCCTCAGCCCATCACCCCCTCCACATCTCAATCCGGCGGTGCCGAAACCTATCGGACATAAGGACGGCGGGGCACAGACATCGATCAAGGTCGGTCGGGAGAGAGGAGGGAACCACTGTCGCGTACCCTTTCGATCACCGCCCACCTTCGTACATATGGCTGACTATAACGGCATGAAATCAAACATTCATCCCGGAGGAGAGAGGCGGGGAGAGAGGATAAAGCAGGGCCCTTTCGTCTTCGCTCTGATGTCCGGCTGACGAGTCTCGATACAGTGGCAATTCTGTGTGCTGTAGGAAGTTTACTTGGGTGTTTCCTAATCAACAAAAAAAAAAAATGATTTTCTTTTCTATTCAGAAGAGGAAAGCTGTCTTCCTTGCCTTGTACCGTCCACTCGATCTTTTCGAATTACACTAGCCCGGCTCATCCGATCCCGGGGAGACACATTCTTATTCTGGAAAGGTCGCGGTGCTGTACGATACCGTGGCTTTGAGCGGAAGACGGCCGTATTATAACACAGAAACGGAAATGCCAGTTGCTCGCAGACGACAGAATACGTCGACGCTCACGGCTGCACTTTTACCCCTCTCCTCAGACAGCCACCAGCGAGTCCTGGGGCCTGATGGAGTAGTACATGGTCATGTGGGCGCCATTCTTCTTGCTGAATGCGAACGAGATGTACGAGTGCGTCCCCGTGGTCTTTTCCAGTTTGGAGCGGGGGCTGGCGGCGGTTATGGTCAGTTTCGACGTCCTCGTCCGAAGCGGGGAGGGGGACAACAAAGACTTACAAGCTGCGGCGTATCGTTTCCTCGTACTTCTCGGCAACGGGCCAGCCTCTCGAGCGGAACACATCGGCCAGGTTCGACGCGATGACGGCGTCGCTGTCGGCGTACTGCCACAGCGGCACGTAGACCATGACCTCGGGCCACTCGGCGCCGGGCTTGAGCTCGAAGCCGTAACAGACGCCCTTGTGGATCGTGTTCTCCATCTTGGGCTGCTTGTCAAAGTCGTCGCTGTAGGGCTCCGGCTCGTTGTGCAGCAGGTGCCAGATGCAGCGGAGGCCGCGGAGGCCCTCCAGCGTCGCCTCGTCGCTGATCTGGCCGCCGAGCGTCACGACATGGCGCACGACGCTGAAGGCGTTTGACCGCGTACGCGCGTAGAGCTTGGCGCGAGCGCCCGCGGCCGGGTCTATGCAGTCCAGGGCAATCATCTCGACGGGAATAGGGAAGGATGCGTTCTTGAAGTACTCCTCCGTGGCGTGGGCGGAAGGGGCGAGGTCGGGGCCGCCCGGGGACAGGGAGCGGATGGCGTTGAAGGTGATGCTTTCTGTCGAGTCGCCCGTGGCTACATGCTTGAGGATGGGGGAAAAGTAGGCCCTGAAGACCGTCTTGTCCCCGTCGAGGCCGAACGCTAGGAACGACGTCGGTGGGCGGGTGCCCTCGGGAAGCCTGGCGAGGGCTGCTCTTGTCTCCGATTCCGTCAGAAACAGGGCAGACATGAGCTGCTCGAACCACCGGGTGTCGGCTCCGTGGGAGACCATACGCAGAGCGGGGAGGATGGCGGGAAGGATTTTTTGCGCAAAGGGGTCCGATGTGGAGCCGCCATGGCGGCCCATGGGCTCGAAGGAGAAGCGGACCAAGGAGGAGCCCGAGTCGGTGATGTTCCAGGCGGGCTCAAAGGGGGAGCCGTCAGCGGTCAACAATGGTTTCGCCGGGGCAGCGGACGGGTGTGGTCCCATGGCGGGGACGATGATCTCGGAGAGAAATTGGAGGTGTGCGGCCCGCTGGGCCGGCGTGTACGAGCCGGCAGCCTGCATCAGACCATCGAGGCTCTCGGCGCAGCGGACGGCCCAGAAGTCCTGATGGGGCCTGTGGATGTATATTGACTCCTGTGCCGGGAGACAGAGGTCCTTCTCCTGTTTGGCCATGGCCCGTGGAGATAAGATATCGGCTTGACTGAAGGCCATGGGCGATCTCATGCAACTTGGGGAGAGCTGCAGAGGATATGGGGGCCTTATGGTCCTCGTGTAAGTCGACCTTGCCATAACGGGCTCCATTGCTACGGCTGGTCAGTGTGTGAAAAGGAGAGGATCAGAAAAGGCCCAGTGAGGTGAGATGGTGATGAGGTCGCCCAACCGTTGAGAACGGTCTACGGGTCATTATAACTCTCCTGTGGCACATCTGGGCCAACTGCATGACGGTGCAACCAACTTGGCAACAGAGGTTCTGCAAGGCTGATCCCGAAATTACCTAGGTAGTTGCCATCGCGCAGGTGTCTAGGACCTTGCGACCTCCCCATGTTTAGCAGGGACGGTGGTAGACCCAACACTTGGTTGGTCGAAGCCAGGGTGGGTCAATGTGTAGGCCGTTTCGAGGGCATGGCAGCCCGGGATCTCGCGGTCAGCAATCCTAGAGCGAATTCTTCGTAGCAAAAGATGCAACTGAGGCTAGTTTCTGGGTAGCTCAACCAGGCGTTTGTCTGCGGCCAGGTCGATGCGAAGCAAGCCATGCGGCCATCGCCTCGTCGTGCATGAGTCCGGACACAGCTGCCCTCCGCCGGACTGCCAGGTTGGGCAACCTGACGAGAAGACCCACCGAATCCGGTGGTGGGGTCCGGAGGTGTCCATCGGGACTGTCTACAATCTGGCCAGTTTGCGAGAGAACGGGCCTTTGGGTGCCAAGTGCTATTTATTGACTGGTATTCTTGTCACTCGATAAGGCGCCGGTGTCCTTCTTAGCCAGCCATTGGGTGGCCGAAAAGAAGGAGAGGCAGAAGAAGAAGAAGGAGGAGAGGAAGAGGTCAATGGATATCAAACGACCAAGAAATCACAAACAACATGTCAGTCGGCCTGCAAACTGCGGGTTGCTAGGCTACCCATGGGCAACAATTAACAGCCACAGCAAAGAATCCTGCATGCTCTGCGTCTGCAGGCAGCGATACGCACAACTGGCGGTCCAGGCACAGCGATCGACAGCCAAGGCCGAAGCGTTGTGCGTGCCGGGGGAGGCGCAGATGGGATAGAAACGCCATCCAACGCTGTCCTACGCAGTAGCTGCTTGGATTGTTCTTGGCAGGGGCCACGATGGGCATTGGACCAACAGAAACCTAATTACCGGACACCCGAAAGAGTATGACCGTGCATTTTTTTTTTTCCCTCTTTCTTTTCTTTTCGAGACGAGGGTTGTTATGTAGGTATGGGAGCCCTGAGAGGCGACGGAACCAATCTTCTGGAAGGGCTAGAAGACGGGATGAAGGCTCTACTCTACCACATGGTGACGGCAACAAAGTAGTATATTATTGGATAAAGTCAAGGCATTAGCTTTCTAGGGTGGCGCGCACGCGACGATCTGTAGACTGCAAAGAAAGCCAACGTCAGGAAAGGGACAGCCATATGGAGCAAGAAGAATGCAGAGACGGTTGAATGTGGTTGGGGAAGAACCAATCAGTGCCACCGTGTGTTGGTTGGGTTACAAGCCATCGGGTTACATACTGCCAGCACCCTTCGATGACATATACATTCCTTCCCTCTTGGTGGCGTCTGTGAGTCGTGAGATCATCCATCACCTGGTATATATATATAAAGTTGGCTTGTGAGGCGGTTTGCCTTTCTTCTGAGCAACAGCCTGTTCAAGAGTGGCGAAGAAACAGTTTGGATTGGCTTGGACGCGTTCACGCGTAGAAATCGCTTGGGCTGCTATGCACACGCACAGCCGTCGCTTGAGACGGAGCTGAAGAGGTGGCGCACCCGAGGGCGGCAACTGCATGTGGCCATCGCAGTCATCCATCAGCCAGCCGCCTGTAATAATCTGGGTAGAGGATCAAAACCGCTCATCCGCGGAAACTGAACACTGGTAGGTTAGTTAGATGGTGTTGGGCTCACCGTTGGATGCGACAAAAGCTCAGTGTAGCGCCTGCCAATTTACGTCTCGGCGGGAAGGAAAGGGAAGGAAGGATGGTTACATGTTCTGGGCAGGCTGATTTATGACTAACCGAACATAAAAGGCGCACAAGCGTGCACTAACCAGTTCTGTCCATCTTCTATTGCTTCAATAGTTTTGAGAAAAAGACAAAAGATTATGCAATCGCCGGGAGTCGAACCCGAGTCCCCAGCTGTCGCAATGATGGAAGGCTGGGATGATAACCGCTACACTACGATTGCTGGTTGTTTTTGTTGAAAGATTTGCTGCTCTGATTGACTAGATAGAAACCAACTGGTACTACAAAGTCCCGCAATGAGTCAGAAGTGGGGCATGTCTAGGTTCCACTGCTCTTCTCCCAACCTCGCTCTCGCTTGAGACCCTTTTCATGCTTCCATCTCCAGAGACATCGCTGCTCCTCTTTTGATGAAATCGTGTCTTGCACTCTTGGCGTTTTCTTTGCGTTCGTCTGCTCTATACTACCATGCCGCAGCCAGCGGCGTCAAGCAAGCGTCCATTTGGCGGGGGCCAGGCAGGGCACACAGGTCTGCTTCCACGCCTCTCAACACTTCTATCGAGGCGCAGCTTAGTCAGTTTCTTTGAACAAATCGGCAAGCAGTTTTGGCACTCTGCCTATGCCATAACCCTTTGGGCTGCTGGTTCAACGAGGAGCTAGACAGAATGCGAGATGCGGTCGTGTCTGATCTTTGCTGACATCTAGGTCTCATAAGATCTGCATTCCGTGCTACCTCTCTTCTGCCATTTTGTCCATCATCCGAAAAATATACGTCTGCGTCGTTCCTAGTTCAGTCTGATTGTCTAACCCTCTCAGCTCCATGCCATCCAGAAGTTGTTCCTTCCAGACCACTGCGACAGTTTATTTTTAGCGTCATATTACAGCATTCCATGATCATGTTGCGTGCGAAATGGCAACCATACAACTCCTCTGTCCATATTTTCACGTGTGGTTCAAATTTCTGTGTTGTCCGTAGATTCTATCAGTGCCTCAGCCCGGCGTAGGCTCTACTTAGCGTCGTTGTAGTTTTACGCGAGTGACCCCTCAAGACTTTACAGGACTAATAAATGAAACCTACAAGGTTAGCACCAGGATCCAAGCTCCATCTTCAACCATACAAGAGTTTTTTTAGAGTTTCTTTTTTTTAACACATGTCAGCAACGTTTAATTTCAATACAAAAAGAAACAAGGGCAATATTGCCTGTATCCAACTGAAACCGCCTTCATCGAGCCAAGGTCAAAGCGAATCCTCAACGCCCATGTCAAACTCCAAGTGATGCGAGGAGTGGCAGAATGGAACACCGAATGTCCTCCCCCGGTCTACCACGGGTTGTGTGTCAGCAGCGTGTGTTCAAGTTGGTCAAGTCCTCCGGTTTGGCTACCTTTAGCAAGATCGCCAGCTTCTCGGCTGGCAAATTAACGCCAAATGATTGACATCCCAGACAGATGCCTCTCCATACGCATCCTTTGCCAATGCTTGGTTGTCCGCTCGGCAAGAATCTGACTGAGGGCCTTGAACGGAACCGTGATATCACCTCCGCCATCACGGGCTGCGCCCCGAAGTCTCAGCAACGTTGCGTCTTTTGTTTCTCCATGATGACCCACGATGGACGGCGGGGGTTTTCTTCCAACGAATCAAGCACCGGCTGGCCATGATTCTAATGTCGAGGACCGAATGAAACCTCTCAGAGCTCCACTAAGGCCACCCCTACAGCTTCAGCATCTCCATCTCTGTCGACAATCAGGAGCGGCGTGGGATGAAATGCGGGGTGACGGGGAGGGGGGTAACGTCTTATGGGGGTATAAGAGCGCGATTCCTTCATGTTCTCGTAGAAGAGGGCGTTCTATCCATCACCAAGCCCACTTCCTTTGCTGATTCACAACTTCGATATGGCGAACGACAAGATGTATGATGTGCTTCCAGGCCGGGAGTCCGCAGTCTACGATGGCACCAAAGGAAACGAAGCGCCTCATGTCGCCTCGGAGAAGGCCATTAACATGGACGACGAGCCTGCATTTCTTGAGAACTCTCCGACCAACATGCTCATCACCCGAGTCATCCAGACCTCTACCTCATGTAATGCTGGTACGCCCGCAGAGAACTCACCATCCGCACTGCCCTCCGCCATTCCGGTCTCGTGCTCGCTCAGACCCTCTCCGGATGATGGAGGAAATGTGGTGGTTCACCGTGGCCCGTATCGAAGTCGACCCCGTGCAGCAGCCTACCGACTCGACCGTGTGGCAAGGCTCGCGCCTTGTATTGACGAATATGAAGACGTATATCTTTGTGAGTTTCCTGACCCAGTCGCCCTTGTTCCTCTGACAGACTATTCATGCGCCAAACGCCAGGTCCCCATGAACATCTTCAGGGCCCTTGATACGGTTTCAACAACTTCTTCCCCATGATGGTCCATGGCTTCGGCGTCGGTAGCAGCACGATGGGTCTCGTCCTTACCGCGCCGCCCTACAAAATGGCCACGACCCTCTAGGTCGTCTTCGCAGGCCCGCCTTTTTGCATAGCCTTCACGTCCAAGACGTGCCTGCGGAGGCCGAACAAGCTAAGGGCTATGGCGGACGAGACCGGTGCCATGCACAACCCTTTCGCGACGTACCGACATTAAATTATTTTCCCTTTTATTTTATATTGTTTGTCTTGGTCCTGGAAACATGGCCTGGGCGGAAAAAAAGTCTATGGTCATCTCTGCACCATGAGACATCACCGTTGTACAAACGGAAAATGCATGAAGCGATGATTCATAAACGTTTCCTTTTATTGTCCTGCTCTCCTCAGTTCATTGGCCACCTGGCGACTCTGTGAGACCTTGCACCGCGAAACCGAAGCGTTCTTGAGGGGTCTCAGAGCCCGTACAACCGTTGTTATGGAAGCTAAGCAGCTTGTGCGCTTCTTCTCTCGTCCACGCTATCCGTTCGCAATAAGTTCGACACCGGCACAACTCGATGGTCCATCAGAAAATGACCTGGGCACACGGTACTCGACGAGACCAGCACGTGAACTTGCCTGGTCAATGTCCAGAACAGATGGAATACTCTGTGAACACTCCTCCATGGATGCTAGAACAAGCTATACCGCATCAGTGTCCAGCGAGAGCCTCTTTCGGCCAATTACTTGGGACGGCCCCTAGATACATACGGGAGAGTGCGCTCCGGTTCCGATACGAGCGGGATGCGGTCTCCAACCCGTTTTGGGAAGAGCAAATCCAGACTGGGAAAATAGTAGGAGGGCCCTAGTCCGGTCCACGGTGAGAGGGCATGAGCTTTGTAGCTCATATATCCCCAGTGAGACAGCTGGTTCGGGGCTCATCCGCGGAGTCGGTCATTTTCGACGACGAGGACTAAAAGTCAAACTTTCTAACTCGTGACCTGCTGCACCACAAGTCCCGAGAACGGCTTCAGGATTCAGAGGCAAGACATGGTGTGCGACCGCCGAGGTCGCTCCAATCCGCCATCATGTCTGAACCAGCATCACAAAGTCTTCCAGCCCTTCAGAAGGAAGTGCCGGGTCGCATAGAAATGCGGGGAGCGAGTCAAGGTCGCGCATGCTGCAGCGGCGTCTGGGGAAACTGCACACGTCGAGGACTATCTCGCATGATTTTATACGTCGAGATCGACGGACCAACCGATAAAAAAAAGAGTTTGGACAGGGTCCTTGGAAACAAACGTACATAAAATCTCTACCGCCGAAGCTGAGGAGCCCGTCCGACACGAACAGCTGCAGAGCGAGAAAACAGGCCCATAGAGACACAGCGTCTCTGCGTAGAGGAATACTGGGCCAATATCGGACTCCTCCGTGCCTTGGGGCGATGTCCATTGGCTTTTCGAGGCTGGCAAGCCCATGGACAAGTGGGTTGGTCGTAATCGTTCTAACCCTACGATCACGCCGCAGTTCCTCTCCTCGTAGCCAGGGACAAGCAACAGCGTAAATACTTTTGCGTCCCTTGCGTCAGAAAGGAAGGAAGGAATGAGGCTAACAGAAAGAGGTAGGGTATGAAGCGGCTACCAAATATCGAACAATGGAACGGAACACTGGCTGGGCTATATTTGGCCCCATTGAAGGCAACAGAAGAAGAGGCTTGGTTCCCCAGACGTTGAGAAAAAAAGCGATGGCCATGGTACAGCATGATGCAACGCCTCCTGTTAGCCAACCAACCAACCGAGTGATCCCGCTGTCGTTCGAATATCGGCCAATTCGGTAGTGTCGTCGCCGCCCAAAACCAAACGCCAGCCAGTCAGTCGTTGGCGTCCTGGGGTATACGCAACCACCAAGACAAACGACATAGGAATTACGAGTTGGAGCTGACTAAATCGTCAGATTATAGTACGTCCGTCAAAGCTGCCGATTCGACGGTGGCCGAGGGGGCGCGCACGTATAGGTCGTGATGGCAGGGAGGCCGTCTTGCCTTGAACGCCCGCTCTGCTCGCCGTAGGATGACTAGCGAGATCCTACGAGGAACGGGAGCGGTATGTGCGTCTACGCAGGCAGTAGCTCCACGAGAGAAAGAAAGAGAGAGAGAGAGAGAGAGAGAGAGAGAGAGGAGCGGGAAAGCGTCCGTGGCGGGCGGGCGTGCCTTTGGCCTAACCTCTCATCTCCTCCGTCCCAGCTGCACCGCCAAGCGAGATGCAAGTCGCGCTGACGCCCCTTAAAATTAGGTCCCGCAATAAGCCCTACCGTAGGTCTGTCGCGCTAGCCGCGCGCGGAGGATTAGGGGCTGGAGCGGGCTCGCGTTTTTCCTGGTGAAAAGCAAAGCTGGAGCTACATGTTACCGCTGCTATCGAATGTGGAATTGGGAGGGAAGCCGCTGGTTAATATCTAGTGCAGATGGTTGTGGCCGACGGCGCCTGTCAAGTGGTGTCTGGCACGTATTTGCCTTGATATTCCCTTTACCTGCCAAATTTGTGTCTTACGTCGAAGTAGAGGACTGGGTGCTACCCATTATGCGCGTATGCTCAACTAGCAGAGGCGCGTCTCAGTCGACTTGCCGTCATCACAGTCGCAAGTTGTAATAGTCAGATTGTCCGATCCCGGTTGAGCGGTCGGGGAAGCCGTGGTATGAGAACAGCGACAGATGACATCAGAAACCATACACGATTGCGGCATTCTGGGCCCAGGTACTGTAGATGGGCATCGGGGTTGTTTGAATGATGAACGATATTCAAAGGATAAGCGCTTTGTTGCTGGTGGCTATTTTCGTATGAGGACCACATAAGCGGGACGTCTCGGAGTCTGTTTTCGAACGGGAGCAGTACTGTTCGTCTTTTAAAAGGTGGTATAGGTCAAATATTCGGTGTCCGTTTGGGCCACAATAAGACGTAGCAACTTGTTGCGGTAGACGGACCCTCGAACGGCATCCGTCGTTACCTGTTGCGTGTTCCGCCGCCTGTGACCCGTCTAGACCCGGCCGCCGAGTGATTGGAGCCATGTCATGGTAGGATTCGTTGAAGGTCTATTAGCTTGGCAGACAATGAACAGACTTTCCTTTGTCACCGCTGTAACAAGGGTGGTCAGCCATTCAAGTTCTTCGGCCTCGATCAGTACGTTAGTGGTGATAACAACGGGGATGGGTCAACGCCCCGCCCCTGGACATTGCTAGTCACGGTCCCATCCTCCTCCGGGCATCGGTGCCGTCATCGATTCATAGCGATGGAAGGGCTTGTCGTAGCCGAAATCAAACGATAGTAAAGGTGTCCACAGAATGGGGATAGTCGATCAACAGCGGTAAAGGTGAGTATGGCAGTGACGGAGCAGTCGTTGGGGGGGGGAGGGGGACACGAGAACTGTACTGGGACTTGTTAAACTATTAAGCTTTGCCAGGGCCAGTCTTAAACCATGAGCGCCGGGGTCTCAGACAAGACAGACGTGGGCGATGGACAAACAGGGCTTTTTCCTGCGGGGAACCGGTAGGGATTCGGTGGTTGATTCACCCAAGCAAGTATTAATCCTTCTCGCCGGGCACGCGGCAGGAATGCTCTGTCATGTGTGTGTGTGTGTGTGTGTGTGTGTGTGTGTGTGGACGGCAATCTTGAGACAAAGTCGGTGAGAGAGTACCGTCCGTCCAAGCTTTTGGCTTTCAGCAGCAGTTCTGCCCACGTGCATGGAAAGCAATGTGCGGTTTGAGATAGATTGTGGATGCAGCTGTAAAGCACAGTGGCCGAGGCTGTGGCGATAGGGAGCAACGGAGAGTTGATTCATCGGCGTACATGCAAGACAACAACTTCACAGAAGCTGTGGGAGACGCGTCGGTTGCGCATAACTGGTCTCTGATCCGACGACGCGCTTGTCCAGGCGGCGTCAGCGGACCAGTTGCTGACTGGAGGCATCCTACATTGGAGGAGGGTGTTTGGCGGAAACGGCAGACATGGAGGTGTCCCGTAGATCACTCCCCCCGTACCGGGACCATGTTTCGGTAAACGACGGCTCAGATGGACAGCATGGACCGGCGCGATGGAGATCTGTTTCCGAGCAAGTGTCGGTAAAGATGCAGTCTACCTAGGTACTTTGTAAATTGCGAGAGAAGGAGGATGGGTGGGCTTTGAGTTGGAGCATGAGACGACAGGGTCGACGAGTTGAGTTCGCGGAGGCGATGGACGGCAGAGACGGCTGATGGTGAAAACAGGGCGAGGAGGGAAGTGCGGACGAGGCGGCCGCAAAGAGGTTTGTTGACTTGCGTCGCGGAGGTCTCGAGAGCGACCAGCAAACGGCTAGGACGGCTAGTATGGTGTCCGGATAAGGCTGGGTAACAGGCATCTTTGTGAGGTTACTTTTTTGTTTTCTTTCCCATGTGCAGGGGGGACTGGGCAAGCTGCTGATGTTCCCAAGGATGCCGGAGACTTGGCTGCGAAGTTAGTCACTGCCTAAACATTTTCTGCCCTGGCAGCAGCTGAGGGGGGGGGTGGCTACACAGAGTTGTCACCCACCCTCAGGTGGCACGGGGTGAGCTGTCCGGCAATAACCCAATGTGTCGGCCACGAGTACATGCGTCTTGTCAGCAATTGCCGTCCCTGGTAGCGGAGGAGGCACCTAGGAATTAGGGGGATAGAGCAGCGTAGGAGAGGATACCCTTACCGGGGCATTACCAGGAATTATCAGAAACGCATGTCGGAAGGCTGGTACCCTTCAAATGACACGTTCGGCCGGACGGAATGTGGCTGCAAAACAATGCGACGGCCGATGCGCCAACTACCTACCTAGGTGCGGTTGGAGAAGGGACAATAGGTACGAGTGCGAGTGTCATGGATGAAGAGACAGAACCGTCGGACAACAAGACTCGCAAATGTGATGAAGATGCTGCAAGAAGACGGACGGATTGATTGCTTGCATGTATGTGTAAGGAACATCATCATCGTCATCATCGTCATCATCATCATCATCATCATGTTTCGCCCTGTAGCTGACTCTTTCCCTAATCCCTCCTCAAGGCAAGTTGCTCCCACGAGGAAACACTTGCTTTTTTTCCTTTCCGAGCCAGGCTTGGCCGGATACCTACCTACTCGACGCACCCTTTTTGCAAGCTTCACTTCTGTCATTCCGTCATCGGCAGTGAAGCATGTTTGAGTCCGTCTGCATCGCTCAACTAAACGCTCCAACACAGATCACAGCACTCACTGCTAACATTTGGCCTACAGTTTCCTCCTTTTCTTTTCAGCTCTCCTCCCCCGTCATCGTCATTCGCATCATTCGTATCGACTACGTCCGTCGTAATCTATCCCCTCCACCCGTCCGTCGCCAAACGAAATCACGCTTCGTCACCTCCCTCTCTTGGCGTACCTGAACACCTCATACCACCAAGTCGTCAGCCAGGCCAGTCCCGTCAATAGGCTCCAACTCTGTTCAGGGGCCCGCCATCTGTCAGATGTGTCGTTGTGCTGGCAAACTTGAACCCAGCCATTGTTTTTGCTTCATCGACAGCAAGCTTACCCCCGCCGCCAAATCCTTCTCCATCCCAGACGTGGGCAATCTCGGCACCTTGGGGTCTTTGGAGTCAGTGGCCATCTCTCCCTCGTGCTTCACTTCTCTTCCCGACAACTCAGACGAGTCACGGACGGCATCGAAGGGAATATTAGTCTTTCCCATCCGTCCAAAAGGTCCGCCGCCGCTGTCTTCTCTCAGAGCATCCGACCCGGTGGCTATGCACTCTTATCTTGATTTAGGTTGTACATCGCAGCCTTTTGCCGGGATGACAGCTGGAGCCATGTTGCGCGTATGCCAAGAAATCCAAAGGTCGAAAAAAAAAGAAGAAGAAAAAAAGAATCCCCATTGACCTGCATTTGCTTCGCATCTATGGGGCTTGAGTGCGGTGCCAAACCCCGGCCGCGCAAGGTCTATCCAGTTCGCTCGGCCATGATTGATATCGACAAACTGTACGGAGTACCGTAGTGGATGGATCTGCTGGGTTCCTTTGGTCAAGGACCCCTTGAACGCCCTTGTTTCGTCATTCGTCTGGACGCCTCTGCTGGCCCCACCTCTCTCTTTCTCTCATACTCACTTTCAGGCTGTCATGGTCTCTCACGGGGCTCACCTGGTTAAAGGGAGGGGTGGGCAGATAGGTATGGCCCTCTATAAAAGAGGCTTCCTGAGGCAATCGGCCCCCCCTCCGTCTTCCTCCGGACCCCATACCATCGATGCAGAAACTCCCATACCGTTTCCCACCCCACAGCGCGCACTGGCGGCACTGAGACAAGCTCTCGAAACTGGCACCACCGGTTTGTCCTACCGGACCCCTGTCCTGTCTTGTCCAGCCCTGTATTGTTGTGTCTAGACCTCTCCTCCACCAAGCTAAGATAGTTAGTTAGTCTGGCTCTGCCTGCGACTCGCTCTGCAACTTGGAGCCTTCCTCGACCGACTGCACCGCTGTCTGTTGGTACGCAGCCCGTGGCACGCAGGCCCGCTCGACTCGGCTTCCTCGCGTCTTCCCCAAGTCTTCTCAATCAAATCTAGCGTCGCTTTTCACCTCTGTCTGTCTCCACGTCCCTTGGCCCGCCCCGGCACATCCTGGCCTGTGCATCTTACCTTACTCGGCGCCCTGCCCTGCCCTGCCCTGCCCTGTCCTGTCCTGTTCTGTCCGTCCTGTCCCGCCTGCTACCGCTGCCGTTGCCGCATCTGTCCATCGTACGCTACTGGCCCATCCACCCTCCGCCTTTGTGTTCTTGTCATGTCTATGCCTGCCTAAAGATACTTACAGTAGGTACAGCTAGTATACGCGAGAGAGGGTCTTGGCCTCTGTCGGACGGGGTCTCCCTTCGACAAGGCGGCCGGACGTAGTGTACGCTACAGAGCCTACATATATAGGGCACTAGGTGCCTGGACACCACGCCCTTGACCCTTCCGCCTTCTTACAACAAGGTCTCCGCTCTGCAGCACCCATCCACCAACACACCACCCTTGAGACAGTGCTAGCCGTCTACCTACCGGTAGTTTATATCGCCCTGTCACCGCTACGGCGCTAGACCAGGTGTGGACTGGGAACGCCGCAGCATCATTTTACCGGCACTGCACCTCGACCTTGGACCTTCACCAGTCTGCGCACCCCCCTCCCCTCCTACGCTTGCTCTCCCGCCGCCCTCTCCCTTCTTCTGAATCTGGACTGGACCTAGACCCTCATCAGGACACGCCTATCCGCTTCCCATTTCCAAAACTACCCTTCCCCCCCCCCCCCCTTCTATTATTCCTCACATCCCCGAGTGCCGGCCAACCTACCCAGAGCACATTCGCGATCATGGATTTCTCTCACCAGTACTTTGCGCAAACCCAGCCCTACCAGTTCATGGGCATCCCGCCGCTCACGCCATCCCATTCCAATTCGGCGGGCTCGGACGATTTCAACACGACATCTCCACCGGTAAGTCATCGAATTCCTTTCCCGTCCTGCCCTCCCGAATACCCACCGCCCGCTTGGCGCTTAGCCTACTGCGACCTGCACTTACACAATCATGACATGAGCAGGACGTCTACGCCGAATATCCCAACGACCAACACTTCAGCGCCTTTGATAACTATTCTGCTGCCCAGTTCAACCCACAGCAGACTTCTTTCCCCGGCCCTCCTGGCCCCCCCACCCCTCCGAACCATGGGCTGCCCGTCCAACAGCCCGTCCAGCCGACACAGCACAACGGAATGAGTGCTCCTTCGATGCAACAGATCAAGGCCCAGCCCGACGTCATCCTCCACAAGCAGGAACCTCTCGACGATCATTCCCGTCGGGGCCAGTCGAACTCGGACGATGAAGACCTGACGCCCGCCCAGTCGAGGAGGAAGGCCCAAAACCGCGCTGCGTATGTTGCACCCCCCGTTTACCACTGCTTCCACATGCACCGACGAGACACTTTCCCTTCTTCTTCTTCTTCTTCTTCTGTATTGGTTGACCCGCGATTCTTGTCCAACATTCGCGTCTTTTGATAATGGACACTGGTACTGACACTAGTGCGCCATAGGCAACGCGCATTCCGAGAACGCAAGGAGAGGCACGTCAAAGACCTGGAGGCGAAGCTTGCGAACCTCGAGGCGGAAGCACAGCAAAAGTCGACGGAAAACGAGCGGCTCAAGCGTGAAATGCAAAAGATCAGCACCGAGAACGAAATCCTCCGCGCCACCTCCTCCTTGAACGGCCATCACAGCAGCTCCTCCCCCGAGCCCCGGACAACGGGTCCCATGCACTACAACCCCAAAGACTTCTACTCCGACCTCCTCGCTCCGCACAACAACAAGACGCCCAGCCATCGGGTCGCCATTTCGTCAGATGGGGAGCGCTTGCTCGCCGCCGGCGCTACGTGGGACTTCATCATCAGCCACCCGCTGTTCAAGAGGGGGTTGGTGGATGTGGGCGACGTGAGCGAGCGGCTGAAGAACCAAGCTCGATGCGACGGTCAGGGCCCGGTCTTCTCCGAGCGCTCCATCATCGAGGCCATCCAGAGCAGCGTCGCCAGCGGAAGCGACGAGCTGCTCTAGCCCGCGGTTCTCGGCGGGTGGGGCTCGATGTGGGTGCTTTGTAAGCGATGTGCAGCACTGGAATGAAATGAGACCTGCAAACGACCAGGTTCGGCGTTTTGGGTAAACGGAGTCAAACGGAGGGGGAAACGCCTGATACAACAACGCCTGATAACGACGACATCGGGCTGGCATATTCTTCAACTCTTCCCTTCTTTTTTCTTTTCTTTTTTTTTCCTTTCAAATTTTTTTATCTTGCATCCTTGCCATTTCTGTATTATGCTATTTGATGGGCAATACTGGGAGCTCAAAGGTACCTGCGATGTGACAAAAAAAGCTTACTAGACGAAATGGCGTCTTTTGTACGGGGAAACACAACCAACAGCCTCAACGGCGGCAACACGAGCCAAACAACAAAGAAGTTGTCTGCCCGTAGGCCGGAGTAAACAGAGCATGACGATTATTGGGGGAGGGCAGGGGGGGGCAAGGGAGAAGGGAACACTCGGTCTGGGCCGGGGAGCAGAGAAGCCATCCCCTTGATACGCTCGGGAGTGTCTGTGGTAAGCAAACTGCATGGGATGCTTCTGGGAAATTGTTTTGGTCTGCTCTTTTCTCCACACCTATCTTTTCTATACGCGTTCGTTCAGGGGAAAAGGTTCTTGGGGGGTTTGTTGGTTGGAAAGTTTCTGTCCGGCCTGTAGGCCTACAGGCATAGGGGGATCCATTTGGAACGTGTCATTTGAGTACGGTTCCCTCATCGAAGTTGTTGGAAATACAATGTGTCGATGTCCAAACATATGAACTCGTGCCCCGTCCAATCTTTCTTCGCGCGATGGGGAAGGAGGCAGGATGGTTAGCAAGGCAAGTTTTCTGGCTGCTAGTGTCATTTCCCGTTCCACGGTTCCAGATAACACCAGCGGTGAAGGAGATCGTGGAGAAAGGAACCGGGAAGCCACCCTTCATCAACTGCCTTGCCTGTCTGGGACCTTGGAAGCGGGTGGAAATCACCAGTAGGCTTCCGTCCATGGAGGCGGCAGGCGACGGCGGCGGCGGCGGCGGCGCGGGTTTCGCTGACCGGGTGACCTGCGACCGACCAGCCAGCCAGCCAGCCAGCCAACTAACCAACTAACCACCGCCCGCCGGGGAGAAAGGAAGAAACAAAGGGGTGGCGAGCGAGGTTCGCGGTGCGGTCGTACGTTTACATGGCCCGACTGTGCCACTATTATTATGTACCTGAGCGACCTTAGGAGGAACCGTCCTGGATCACATACCTCGATGCGTGTACATGACCCGGGGGGAGTAATATATACCTGTACACCACCTATTGATAGGGTTGCTGGCTTGTTTGGTTTGGTTTCCCCCTCGGCCCCACCGGGAAAGTCAACTATCGCTCTCTCTCTCTCGTCCCAACATTTCCAATTTTGCCTTTTTTCTTTTCCTTTTTTTCTTGTTTTGTTTTCCCGCGTCTTCTTATTCTTCTTCTTCTCTTGGTACTACGCAAACCACTACGTATTTCTCGCCTCCTTGCGATCCCTCCATCTTTTCGATCCATGGCCACGTTGGGGAAAGTGAGAGAAAAGGGGGCGGGGGAGGGAAGCATCGTTCTCGGCCGCCTTTTAAGCTCTCTCCTGTCTTCTCGCTCTCGAACATGGCGGGGAGGGGGCGGCTGAGTTTCCGACCTGCTCGGTTCCCCGAATCTTTTTCTTTCTTGTTTTCTTCACTTTCTCCGGAGCCTCTCCCCGCCCTGCGAGCCACGACCAGGTCGGTCGGCAGGTGGGGCGCACCAGGCCCGAACAGCAACCCGGCGCCGAGGGGCAGCGCTCAAGGAGAGGGGGGGAGGGTGGCAGGCGCTTCAACGGTTGAATGGGGCGCGAGAGAAAGAGGGTTGGAACAGTGGGCGGGTGGTATCTCATGTATATCTATTGTTTTATTCTGCGCGTCGGATAGCGACAAGAAAAGAGAAATAACCTCGCCGCCGCCGTGAGCCCGGCAAGGGGGACTGTAATACAGGCAGGGCCGTTCCTCCTGAATATCATTGTGTGTTCCTCACGCCACCAGCCCAGCCATCGCCCCCTTTCCTTCGTCGCGTCCGGCGCATACGCCCAAACTCCTGGAATATGCCGCTTTGCCACAACAGAAAAAGAGGAAGAGATAGTGGAAGAAGCACAAATACTAACAAGACCAATAGCAGAAAATTGGCATCAGGAGCAGTAGCAGCAATAAACAACTTGAAGCGGAAAGAAATAAACACCATACGTAGGATTCCCGTCACATCATTATTCTCCGACTCCACTTCGTCACCCCCCCGAACCTCCGCCCACAGTCATTCCGAATCATCATTTGTTCCTGTCGTGTGCTTGGTCATACTCATTCTCCTCCATAGCCCGTGGCCTCGTTCATGTTTGTTACGGAGAGTCGTCGTCGGTGACAAGCCGGGCGACGCGCTGAGGCGAAATTCTGCTTGACAGCGCCCGACCTTGGCCGGAGACTTTACCTCTCCCTCGTTTCGGCAGCTGGTTACGATCGCAGGACGAAATTAGCTCTCCGTATATGCTGGAGATTTGATTTGACCTCCTCGTCTCGGCCGCTGTCGTGGGTCCAGCTACTATACGCACCCCGGTTGAAAAACAACATAGCTTAGCTTAGCCCGGCGGCAGCAAGGTTGGTTCCCCTTCCGCCTTCACTGGGACTTCTTGCCGTCGACCTGGGCACTGCCCTCGCCGTCCCGACCCTCAACCCACGGGTGCTTGATTGTCAAACACCAGATGTCAAGATAATCACAGATGGTGACAATGACATCCACGACGAAGCTGCCGTAAACGCCAATGGCCATGCCGAGCATCAGGAACATGAAAGCGACCTGGTAGACGTCGTCGCCCAGCGCGCTGGGCCAGCCAAATCCAAAGTACTCCTGCAGCTTGGGTCCCAGCGCATCGGCGACCCCAAACGCAAGCGGCAGGCCCAGGACGTTCCAGTATGGGAAGTCGAGCTTCACCAGGTGCGCCGTGATCATCTGTCCGACAGAGTACGCGTTCACGACGCCGGCGAAAAAGACGAACGGCACGAGATGCGAGTGCAAGATGGTGGGGTGCAGCAACAGGTACGACGCGATGAGCGTCCACATGCCGAAGAAGGGCAGCAGGCCAAGCAGCGCGCCGCGAGAACGGTCGCCGCGCGCACGGCGAGCCTTGATGACGTTGCGCGCAGACTCGACGGTGTTGAAGACGAGCACGAGCGCGCCCTGGGCCATGTACCATTGCGTGAAGGAAAGCTCGTACACGGCTTCGGGGATGCCCAGCTTGTCGGAGACGCCGAAAGTGCGGAGGAGCGACTGCTGCCAGAAGGAAGCGCCGCCCAAGTAGCCCGTCAGGGCGTAGACGCCGACGAGGATGAGGACGCCCTCCACAGGCCCGTTGACAATGCCCAGGGTGAGCGTCTTGGTGTGGTACTCGTCCCACGTCTGGACGTAAAAGGTGAGGAGGGCTGGTGAGAACGGCCTGTTAGCTTTGCTGAGTGATTGGGGAGGGCGCAAGTAGAGACTTACAAGAAAAGAGGATGCCGACGGTCATCCAGCCCTGTCCCATGTTCTGCGAAGCGGCAAAGATGAGGGCTTCGAGCGAGGTGTTTAGCGCATCGACGCCGTGGTCGAAGAGCTCGCCAAGAGGTCCGGACTGGTGGGTTCGTCGGCTGTCGTCGCGGAAAGTCCACGTTAGCTTCACGTCTCTCCTCCAACGGGCTCCGACTCAAACAGCAAGCTCAGGGGAAAGGAGGGGGGGACCTACGCCTGCGACCCGTCAACGGCGTCAAAAGTCTGGTACAGGAACAGGCCGATCGCCCACGAGTAGTAGACCCAGCTGGGGCAGTCCTGGTCAAGCGTCGGGTTGTACCAAAGCAGCGTCAAGATGTTTGCGACGACGAACATGAAGCCGGTCAGGGTGATGAGGTTCGGCGCCATGCTCATGGGGAAGATCTTGATGACGACGTTGGTGTAGAAGGGCTTGAGGATGTACTTTGACGTCAGTGAATGGTCGACGCCAGAGTACTTGTACTCCTTAAGCGCCGGAAGGCGATCCTGGCGCACGTAAACCATCGCGGGCGAGAGCGTGCGGTTGTTCTTCCTTACGCGCGTCGTGTGGTGTTGTGTTGATGTTGTAGCTGAACAAGTCGAGTTTGCTAAGCGAACGGTGGTTTGTATCGTGCCGGGGTTTTTTTTCTTCTTCTTGTTTTCTTTTCTCTTCTCGGCTGTTTGGCGGATCGGAAGCTCTGATCTGAGCGGGGCTCCGGGGAAGCTAGCGAACGCCGTAGAACCAGTCGATGGGTCCAAGATGTTCACGTAACCGTCGCTCTTCAGGAGCGGTGACGATGACCTCAAACCGGGGGGGTGTCGAGGCAGCCAAAGATTCGGGTGGGGATAGTGGATAAGGTAGACCGGTTGGAGTATTGCGAAGAGGGAAAGATTCAGAGAAGGACAGAGGGTAGTATATGTGCGGGAATGGTCAAGTCCTACCACAGAGACACTTCAAATGGTCCGAGACAAGCGACAGAAAAACTTGAGGAACAGCTCCGAGCAACAGAAGAGAGAACTTGACATGTGGTATCAAGCTACCCAGGGTCGCGTGGTGGTAGTGGCCGGCCGACGCTCTGCTCGCGACCCGGCTCAAGCTAAATTTTTCTTGGACAGCTCGCAGGCCCGCGCACACGCAGCGGGCCCGTCAACCCACAACGTCATTTTCTCTCTCTCTATCTCTCTCTCTCTCTCTCTCTCTCCTTTCTCCCCGTCTCCCCGAGCTCGCTAGTCCCCTTTGGGCATCGGTCCTCCACCTTGAGCTTTATGATCCGTCCCCACTTGTCAAGCCCATTCCAGCCCTAGAACAACCAAACAGCCACTGCCAACGCCAACCCCCCCCCCAACTGACACGCCCCGTTAGTAGTAGGCTTGACACACCCGCGTGACATCTTCATGACAGCTTCATGACAGGGGTTGGGTTGCACACCACGCATTTGGTTACCATTGTTGAAATCTGACCTTTTGAGTTTGCTTTTCTTCCAGACATGGTAAAGGGCTTGAGACCAACGATATTCACGGTTGATTACATTAACAGCATCGTGTTACATCACAGTACAATCCCGCGGGAGCCACCTTGTAAATATCTCTTCGTGTCTTCATTCTAGATATACGAGCCACCAGTCTTCTGTAACGCGCGAGCATGCGCGCCCAGAAATGCTAACACCCCCCCTTTTTACTACTATGGCTGCGGAGGCAACGGCGGCGTTGACTGCTCGATGGAGTCGGCTGTAATAAAAGCGTACTCGTCTCTCCTTGACTGCCGTGCGTACATCTTTGCTTGCTTGGAACATCCGACCATTTACATTGATCCCACAAACTCCGAACAACTGTCTTCTTTTTTAAGCAACAGATGCCACAACAAGCGACGCCACACCTTCCTCCTCGCTGCGAACCGTGATCTTCGTCGTTACACCAGACTTGGACGAGTAAGCCATCCGCACGTTGGCGACCACTCTGCCACCACCAACAGTCTTGCCGAGCAGCTTGAGGGTATGTGTCGTTTGGTTGACTGGCACATCCGTACCCTCCAGAGGCTGCAGCGACAAGACCTTGGCCAGTTGCTCCGTTGCCTCTGTACTTCTGTTAGCCCCAATCACGTTTCGTCCATGCAAAGAAAAAGACTCACCTGCTATGCTCTTCATGCTGCTGAGCTGCAAAGTCTCCTCGGCCTCCTCGCCAGCTGCACCCACCTGCTCCCAGATGTGATTGAAATTGCTCGCAAACGTGGGAATAACATAATCGCTGCCCGTGAGGTCAAACTCGGCCACCTCATACTCGTCGTCGTAGCCAGTGTCCTCGGGCTCGTTTGTCGTGGGGTCGATCTCCTTGCTGGTGAACTTGAGAATGTTGGAGATGCTGCTGACTGGCATGGAACCCTCTCCGTTGACCTTCTTGAAGGCCACATACAGCTTGCCCGGCTCGTTTGTGGCGAGCTTCTCGGCCTGGATGATGAAAACCTCCTCGAGCTCCTCCTCTTCCGACGGCGTCGCCACGACGGACACGTTCTCGAGGACGGTCGCATCCAGCGTGTTCTTGACCTCGTACTGGAACACGATGTGCTCCTTGAAGATGTGCTTGACGACAGTGACGACGTACTCCATCTCCGACTCGGTAAGCTCGACGACAGGTGACGATTTCAGGACACTGCCAAACTCCTTCATCTCGGGGATCTGCATCAGCTCCTGGGCATAACGCTGAGTAACGGCGGTTGCTGATGCAGCAGCCTCCGCGCCACTCGCCGCAGCCTTTGTGGGGCCGGCCTTGGGTGGCTTGAGAGACGGGGCAGTCGCCGTGAGCTTCTTCGTCCGGTCTTCAGCATCTGCCTGCTCGCGAGTAACGACAGGGATCTGAGAGATGTCGAAGGGGCTGTCGAACGCGGACTTGTCCTCTGAGGTGACGTACATGACGAGCTGGTGCTCGAAGTACGGCAGGGAGAACATGCTGTCTGTAAAGGGGTCAGTATTGGTTGGTTTTCTCGCAGGGTTTCGGTCACGGGCATACCGTTCTTGACAAACTTCTCTGCAATCTCATCCTCCTGGTGCATGAGTCTGAGGTTGAGTGCGGCACGATCTCTGACTTCGTCATCGACATCGTCCAAGCATCTGGTAAGGAGAACCTCGACACTGCGCTTGACATCAGGATCCTTCTGACCGACACCGAACTTGGCGAGGGCGGTGACGGCAGCGGCACGCACGATGGCGTTCTCCAGAACCACTCTGTTGTAGATGTAGCGAATGTACTTAGTAGGCTGGGAAGTCTTGGGGCCCTCGAGGCCGAGCAAGTGCAGGATTCTAACTGCGAGCTTGGTGAACTCGCAGTCCTCGATGAACTCGCACAGGTGAGCTAGGGCGTCCTCCTTGGACTCCGGAACGAACTTGATCAGGTCGAACATGCTCTCAACCACGGCGCGCTTGAACTCATAACCGCCCTCGTCGCGGAGGATACCGCTGAGGAAAGCAAGCATCCCAGCTTGCTTGCTAGGGAACTTCAAGCACAGGGTCCGGATAGCCTCGACGATGGTAATCTTGAACTCGTCCGTGATCTCAGACATGAAACCAGAGATTTGCTTCATCAGGCGGTCGACACTAGCCTCGTTACCAGTCTTGAGCAGCGTGGTGATGGCAAAGGTGGCGATCGATCTGTTGCTGTTGGAGATCAGGAGCTCAATGTCGGGGTTGCAGACGTTGACGGCGTTGGGCTTGAAAGAGGCGAAGTTGTGGAGAATTCGGAGGGCGGCGAACTTGGTGACGGCACGAGGGGAGGTGAGGAAGAGCTGGAGGACGTGGACAGCCTGGGAAACCTCGGCGTCGGTGACATCCCGCATGTCACAGATGGCCTTGGCAGCCTCGAAGTTGACCATCTCGCTCTTGTGGCGCAACCAGCCATCCAGCAGCTGCATCATGGGCTTTCTGAGCGACGGGTCCTCCTCGGCGAGCTGAGCGGCCAGACGGACGAGCATGACGATCGCAGCAGAGCTCTTGACCGCGCCGGCGGCACCGAACTGCTGGACCATCTTGACGAGCGCCATACGATCGTGCATGCGCATCGAGTATAGCAGACCAATGGCGTGGTACTGAGGCATGGTCGAGTTGTTGGCAGGCAATTGGCCGCTCGAGGAGGAGAAGCCCAAGGAGAAGCCGCTCGAAGACTTGGTCGAAGCGGCAGCTTCCTGTGTCTCGCTCTGCCAGCGGCGGACGACATCCTTGGCGATCGGGAGGAGGTGGTACGAAGAAACAAGGGCCGCGGAAGAAACGGAGGGGTTCTTGTCGACAATGGCGGTCTTCATCACTCGCTCAATGGACTGGACTGTGGTGGCCTAGAGGTTGAGTTAGCAAGGCGCCCCCTTCCCTCCCTTGTAGCTCAAGACAGCTTTCAGCGTACATCGATAATGCGGCACAGGGCCCTGATGGCATTGGGCCGGAAGATGGCATCGGTGCTGCCGCCAGTATCCTTCATGATGGTGCTAGTAACCATGATAATGTCCTCGGCCGAGTGGGCCAGCTCCTTGATGACAAGGTGGACCATCTGTCGCAAGCTGGCATCTTTGTTCTGGAACAGCTTCGAGATGCCGAAGAAGAGAGTCGTCGCTTCGTTGGTAGGGAACTTCTCGCCCGTGTAGAGCAGAAGGGCGATCTTTGTAAGGAGGATTCGACATCTTCGCGGCTGGATGGGGGAGCTGTTGAATAGTCGAGCTGTTGATCCTGGGATTAGCCAGCTTGCTCGCCGCACGAATCTCGAAGGGGTAGGCGATGGAGCGGTATGGGCAAGTGTAATATAATTCTCTCGGAAACTCACCTTCTTGAAATACCTGGGTCCTGTCCACCTTCACCAGGCCCAAATCGGCATCTTCATCTTTCTTGCCGTAGCTCATGTTGGGCAACGGTGTTTGGCGGACTGCTTGAGGTCGGTCGGCGTCGGTGGATTGTGAAGATGGCTCCGTGTCCTTGGGGATAACGCCAGTCAGGTCCCACACCCCTTGAACATGGTGGGGCCAGTCACGTGAATCACTTTTGACCAAGTCCCGACCTCACCTCTGTGAACATGCATATGTGGCTCTACCATTCAATCGCCCAGCGCGTTTATAATCTTGTCTTAATCTCTTAGAAAAATGTTTTGCCAGAGTGGCATGATCCTCTTGATATAGTGTATCTGTCTGTTTTTTGCTTCTTCTTCTTCTTTTTTTGTGTTTCAACGCTTACAATAGAGGCCAGCTAGACGACAACTTGACGATAAGCCATAAATCGACCGTGTCTCTTCAGCCAAATTTCTGTTGCTCTACTATTGCTCTTCATTCTCTGTGCATTCAGCAAGGTTTGGTCGCCCAAATCGAAATTTAACGGGTATTGTCTGCTTTTGGAGTTCGAGCCTGACGCCGACGTAAACGTTCTGCCTGCTCACAAACATGCTCACTTGTGAGTTCTCATCGAGCCTGAAGATATATAAACTTTTGGGTGACTATCTGCGAATAATAAACTGGAAAAGACTGACGGGCCAGCTTTAATGCCCCGCCTTGTTGTCGTAATCTAGGAAACTCACTAACAATTTCCTTCTTCAAGTCCCCTCTAACCTGTGCTCTGGCAACTGCTGCTGCTTGCTCGATATCCACCCCGTTCTCAAGACCATCCTCTCAGGTGATGCACACGAGGGCCAAACCAGGTCCTCATCCAAGCAGCGACACCAACGAACCCAAGGCCACTGCAAACTCGGCCCAATCCATGCTTCCATCCTTTTCTTTCAATGTCTAAAAACCGACTTGCGTCCTTCCACGGACTCGTCAACTTTGCTTGTCTCGGGATCCTCCCATTGGTAAAACTGTGGACTGTGGTACTTTCCCTCGATATGGTTCAATACAGAAGACACACCCAAGGCAACTAAAGGCTCAGCCGCCTCCTTGTTCGTCATGTTGTTGGCCTGTCGAATCGAGATGGGAGTGTGCTCAACCTTCTCCAGCTTGGCCTTGGGCCGTCGGTCTCCGATGACACCGACCTGGCGCTTGAAGTTATTGAACTCGGCATCCTTGACCACAGACTCGAAAGACTTTCCAAGTTCGCCTGTGCCCGCGTAGAAAAGCTGATTGATTCTCTCAACACGTCGTCGGAGCTCGTCCTCCGCGATCGTCCACGTACCTTTCGTCAGGCGAGAGCGATCCGTCTTGGGGTAATCTGCCAACCAGCTTTCGCCAAAGGTTACATGAAGGTTAGGCTCTGGCTGACGATATCCGTGCTTGCAGTCATTGGCGTTGGTGTCAGCGGCGGGGCCAAGATTGATGTATTGGAGAATCTTCTTCATGTCCACGTCGGATAACTTTCCGGGTTCGACGGACCCCTGGTATGAATAGTCCGTGTCAGGAGTCGAGGTACAGAGAAGCGAATGAAGTCCAGACTTGAGCTGATCAGGCGTGTCCGAGCCGGCAAGTCTCAACGCACTAAGCGATATGTTGTTTTGCACGGCGTTGGCAGGAGGGTGAATGTCATCGTTCACTGACCCGTCGTAGGACATATCAGCCTTGGACCCGCAATTGAGCATCTTCATGTTGGAATCGAAGGTCGATGTTCGATACTGGCGTTGGCCTGGAGGGCCAGCGGTCAGTGGGCGAGGGGCGCCTGGGCCAGTCGCGAGAGTGGACTTGTAGGTAGAATGCGGTATGCTTCTCTGTACATTGTGAGCAGGGAAGAGACACGGAGGTGGGGACGGCGTTGCGTCGTTGGCTCTCCAGGATATGTCAAGGTCTCGAATCGGTCTCTGATCGACCTGTAGCTTGAGGACGGCATTCGGGTCGGTCTTGGCAGAATGGAAGAGACCCGGGGAAATGGAATCATTTTTTACCATATCGGGCGTATCGAAAAACTGTGTTCCATAGGATGGAGTTGCCGTGTGATTAACGTTGCCGGTGGACGAGACTGGAGTGGCACCCGGCCGAGCACGAAGGAGCGTCTTCTGCGCCCTCTTCTGGTTCGGGTTGGGGTAGGAGGCTAGGTTCTGGAGACCCTTGACAGTGAAATTCTTGAGAGGGTTCTCGCCAGTGCTCTCTTCATCTTCGTCGTCGCTCGACTCTATATCAACACGTTTGCCCACGGCAGGGGTGGACATGACACCATCAACCGGGGATACCTGGCTGCTGTTCATGGTGTATGATGGAATGCGAGAGGAGGGGAGGCTTGAAACATCCGAATCGTTCGGGGAATCGCGGCTGTTGTCGGTGACGGGGCTGATGGCCCGGTCGTAGTTCTGCTGAAGAGGCGAATATTTGGGGATCTGATGGGGGAGTGGGCTTGTGGATTTGGGGGTGAGGCTCTGAGACTTCAGAGGCAAGCCAGCAAGAACCGACTTGGGAAAAAGGGAGAGCTCCGAGGCGGCAGCGCCGACGGGAGGCCACTTGAGGGCGCGGCCACGACGAACGGGAGGCTGGAGCGGCTGAGAGTTGCTTGGATTGTAGATGGTACCAGCCGTTGTATAGGTTTGCTTGGGGGCATCTTGCTGGAAGGTGCTGACAGATTGTCGGGTGTAGGTGGCTGTTCCCGTCGACGAGGAACAAGAAGATAGATGGTCCATGTTGATAATCAGAGGCGTCCACAATATCTGAAAGCCCCCAACAAAATCGTGTATCCTTTGATACGGATACGTGCTTGACCAAGCATGAAATTTCCTGTCGATCCAGACAGGGATATGGTCCAGATGAAGAGCATCCAAAGGAGTGATGTGCTGCTTCTGTTCGTTGTGGTGGATGAAGAAAACAACTGATGTTGAGCCGGTGGAAGGTGACGCCCAGAAAAAAGAAATTGGATGTAACGACTTCAGGTCATGTCGGTCGGAAGTCGAGAAGGTGATGGATATGGGACAAGAGCAAGCCGATTACTGACAGAAACCGCAAGTCGAGGATGGAGATTATGATGGTTCAGATATTGGAGTTTGTAAGGAGGAGATGGGGTTGAAGAGCCAAGAGAAAGGGGCCGATGATGTGGAAAGTAGGATTTCGTGTGAGATGGGCAAGACCACAGGCTGAAGGCCGGATGGAAGGGACGCCCGTTGGCGGCCTCTGGACAGGAAGGCACGATCTACAGGTGAAGTGAAGCCGCAGCAGGCGGCTATGTGGCCTCGTCAGGAAACCGACTGTAGGCTCCTTCCTGGTGCCTCGCCCAAAAGTGTGTGGGTGGCTTGCAAGAATGCACGAAGGGGGTAAGAGCGAGACGGTGTGTTTTCCTATCGCCCTATCTCGCTTTCTCTGGTGTGTAAATAGTTTGATAAGTTCTACCGGTAGAGTAATAAAACAGACAAGAATCACACTGGTCGCCTTATCGCCATCAAGGTATATAAGATCGAATGACGCCAAAGCAAACTTCCAAAACAACACACTTGCCAGCCGGAACAGGCCGATGAAAGCAAAACCCACATTTTAGCATCAACAAGAAACCCGAAGAAGGCTTTTTTGAGATTTTGCAACAGCACTTGTAGCGCCCCACGTGGACGTCCTTCGAGAATCCCCCAGATCTCGCCAACATCAAAGGCCTCGGTGCCTTTTTTTTTTCCCAAGCTCGGAGAGGACCGGCTACGAGAGTTGAAGTGCTCACAAAGAATACCGACACAGCTCTTCGTGATTTATGTCGACACTATGGGGTGTAATTCTCGAGGCTACCACAGTATATAAAACGAAGCAAATGTTGCTTTGCATCTGCCGTCAAAGGCCGAGCTTCTGAAGGGGAGGTTCCTGTGCGATACTAATATCAAAAGATGTCGGATGCTAGTGAGGTGGTTCTGAATACAGGTATCGGAACCCCGAGCTTGAGGCGCCAGTGCGAGTGCAACGAAGCTATGCATGGATATCTACGTCCTCCACCTTCCGTCCACGACCCATCTCTCATAGCCAAGATACCTCGGAAGACAGCCGTCTTCTCTACTACTGTCTGCTTTCAGCCGACTCGCATCTTGTATTCGGTCGGTCTGTCAGTACCGGATCATTGCCGCAAGCACATACACACGTCCTTCAACTTTCCCGACAACCCGTCAAGAGGATTCGATGGCCTCCACAGCCAAACATTGCCTATGGCCAGGCCAACACCGTACATGGCACACCCTCAGAACCTTGAGGACAGACGCTTCGTTGACCGAATGGTACTTGCAACGCCACAACGACCGTCCGATCAAATGGTCCCAGACTCACTCGATCCCCCAACGGCGGCGAGAGCGGGGTGCACCATCCTTGAGCACCCTGTGCCTTTGTTCCTTTCCTAGTCCAATGAGAGAACCTTTCTACCTAGTGTTTAGGACAGGCATATTTGAATACCGGGTGGCAAAAAGCGCCAGCCGACGGTCTCAGATGTACGTCACACCCAGCGACAAACGAACAACAAATCTGACTGCTTGGCTGTACCTAACAAAAGCCAAACTCTAGAATGCATTTGTTTGGTCCCCTCTCACGCCCGAAGCTTGTGTTCATCTCTCTTCCCACAGGGGGTATAATTATAGCGCGGCCAAGAAACAAAGCTTGGTCATCTTAAGGTTTTTCGTCTGGTGTGAGGCGTCATCGTCCCAAGGGGTTTTAGGCCAAGACCCTGATATCTGGCCGGCCCGCGGCCTTGTTTGATGCAAATTAAGCCTATCCGAGTGAGCCGCCAATTCCATCGTCTGTCATAGCCTTCGAGATGTGACAGAGGATCGCCCTGTTCTTGGGCCACGAGGACAGTGCATGCCTACAGCCATTCTACACCCATGGCCGTTCGAACCACAGACACCCAGTTAGAGACGGACATAACGATGCCGTTCAGCCCCTCCCTTAACGTCTCCGCCACAAGGGAGCGGCGAGAGTACGGTACTGTTGCGAGGACACAGATTAGCTAACCCGGCCAATCGCAACCGACTGGACGACGAGGATCCGGCTTGTTGCCCCCCTCCTGCACGCCCGTTGTCCAAGCTCAACCTCGGCGGCTTTCATCCGGAATGAGGCCAGATGTCAAGGCCCCGAGGCACCACCTACAATCTGCCAAGCCGGCCTCTTCCTTCGTCTGGCAATTGACCGTTTGCAGATTGGCCGGGAGAGGGACGGTGCAACACACACACACACACACATACAGTCGCTGGGTGCAATTAGTCTGTAACTTTCGTGTTGGTTTGATCAGCGAATGTGCTAGTGGCCAGGATTCTCCATCGCTCATATATCTGCATCTAGATCAACGATCGAGTTGTTAGTCGTGTAACCTTGTCTGCGGAGCAGCTCCAGGGTTGCTGACCCGTTGCAGGACATGAGTAAGTTGGCTGCGATCATAATCCGATACCCATACGAGGCTCTACGACTGTGACGCCTGAACGGCATTCGCTTGCATGGCCTTTTATTGCCGTAACGCTAATTTGACTTCTTGGATTAGAAACATAAGCGGGTCGCCATTCAGGTCATCATTTGGACGAATATAGCATCTCTTGGATTATTCCAGCCACTACTTATGTTGTTCCGCGATCACCCGCGCTCAAGACAACACGCAATGCGGCCCAAGTGAATCGACGCGAAGGCGCCCAATATACTCCGCTTTACACTGGAGAAGAAACCGTCAATGCCTTCACTGCCACATGCAAGAAATCCAAGGCACGTTTCAAGAACCAAGCCCAACCATCCTGAAACCATCTTTTGTAATCGTTTCCCCCACACACCGGGCTCTTCCAGGTAATAGGTTGACGACAGCCGAGAAGATAGCTTCGTCGTGCCTCAACAATGCTCCACCACATCCCGCATACCTCGTTTCAGGATCAGAGTCGAGAGACCGGGGGTAATCAGTGAGCTAACTGCTCTCGTAAAAAAAATAAGGTCGAGAGAGCCCAATAACATAACCTCTGGCCACATCATGAAAAAAAGAAAAAGGACCAAGTTGTCCTTACGTTTGAAGTTAAACGATTTTTAAGAGAAATTTTGGGGAGTGCCAAAAAGGAAAACTCCGCTGTATCCACCGCTTTAGATGCAAAGAAGCTCGTGTCAGAAGAGAAGTGCTCATTTTGAGTGAATTGACGAGTCGGGTGTATGTACTGGGCAGGACATAATCGAATGTTGCTTGGGGTATCGGCTGAAGGACATGAGGATATAAACATCATGAGCCTGCGCTGACTCGAAATGGCGGCTCGCGTTGCTGAAGGAGAGTCAAGAAATGAAATGCCAGGCAACCCCTGACTGGTGTATACATGCGGCGAGTTGACTCAACTGAGGAGAACGGGCCCGATTATGGCTGAGTGAAAAGAGATGAAGTTGTAGTAATTAGAAGCCCGGCGGGTACGCACTGCCGGGTATCATACCGTTGCCTCCCATTCGGGATGGGGGCCCGAGGCGGCTACCGGGTAGTTCGAAGTCGGGGTTGTTGTTCAACAGCATGTCCTGCCGTCGCTGTTGAACCGGCCGACGTGGCGGCATCTGCTGATGAAACCCAGGTATCGGAGGAGCGGGGTTCCACCTTGGGTTTATCCCTCTTTGGGATATCGAGGTGAAGTTTGACAGGTCAGACTCGGCGCCCGGGCTACGTGCACCGGCATCGGCATGAGCGTCATCATACATGTTGGGCGCGGGTAGAGGTACCTGAAGAGCCGGCGGGGCGCCTGCTCTGGAAGCCGGGGCCGAAGACGGAGCGTCCGCAAAGCGCGGATCGACGTCTTCATAGTAGTCGCTGCCCGCCGGCGCAGGTGAGCTACGGGCAGGTAGCTCGCCACGTTGCAGCGGGGACGCCATGCGCGATGCGTTACCATTTTGGTTCCAAGCTTGACGTGGGGGTAGGTATGCCCTATGGGTTCCGGATTAGTACAGATAACATGTGCAGAAATCTGGTGGGCTTACTCGTCTGTGCTGTACCTGCTCCCCTCAGTCATGTATGTGTCATGCCTCCGAGGCGGGGCTCTATTTCCACCATTCTGCTGCTGTAGTCCAACCATGCCCGCGATATCAGCGTCACTGTCTCGGAACTGGCCAAAACCTGTCGGTGCGTGAGACGGGCTTCCCGTCACTGCGTTCATCTCAACCGCTTGACCGGCCATTAGGGGCGGTACATCGCCAGGGAGAGGTGGGGGAGACTCGGCTCGCGGCAAGCTCGTACGCTCTGGATTGTAGGTCTCATAGCCTTGCTGCTGGGGGATGGAGGGGAGGGAAGGGTTTGTGCTGTTGTTTGCACTGATATATCCCGGAGCCATGTCCATGGAGCGACGTGCGGCGTATGGGCCACCGGGAGGGGGACCGCCATAGCCGTTGCCCGGACTTGGTCTGCGGTCGTAGGGCCCAGGCCCACCGGGAGGGGGACCACCATAGCCGTTGCCCGGACTTGGTCCGCGATCATAGGGTCCAGGCCCACCGGGGCCAGGTTGGTAGCCCGGCGGAGGCGGCCGTCCGCCTCGCATGCCATTCGGGCCAAATCCGCCACGGGGTGGCGGTCCGTATCCACCTCGACCACCAGGAGGGGGGCCACCGTAGCCTCCTCGTCCCGGAGGGCCATAACCGCCTCTTCCTGGAGGTGGCGGTCCGTAGTTGTTGTACCCACCCCTGCCGTAGCCACCACCGCCGCCGCGTCCTCTAAATCCGCCAGGCGGCGGGCCGCCTCTACCTCTCATGCGCTCTTGGGAAGGCCCTCTCCTGGGACCGAAGCCGTCTTGTGGCGGCATTGGGTTCCCATACGGATCTCTCTGGTGAGGCGGAACAGATCCAGATCGTGAGGGGGGGGCATCCATCGCAGCCGCAGCACCTTGGAAACCATTGACGGGGCTCCTGGACGTCAGGGGAATGCGTTCATCGCTGACCTGGTCGTCCTTCTGGGATTCGAATGAGGCATATGTAGGCATCTTGTCCATGCCATTTCCACCGCTTACAACGGGCATGGTCGGCTGCGGGCTGGCGGGAACAGCGGGCTTGGATTGAGCCTCGCGGTTGTAGTAGTTCTCGCCGCTCATTTCGGCATTCTCTGCGATGCGCTTCTTCCTGGCTTTTCTGCTGACCAGCATACGCCGCATAGCGCAGGCCACGAGCGCACTCATTCCAACAAGAATCGTGGCGGCAAGGACAATGTATGAGCCCCAGGCCATGTGAGGGACGAACAAGAGAACATCGACCAGAAAGGCGAGGAGACAGATGAGAAAGTCAATGAAGGAGAAGATGAAGACGGCAAGTAGGTACCTCGCTGAGTGAGAGGGTGAGTGGAGGTGAGCGACGGCCCCCATGATGAACATGATGAGCGTCGTAAGGGCAGCGATGGGGTGAACGATCAGAATGGCCGAGAGTGTGTTTCGGGCCGAGTCTGGGAGATCGAAGGCGCCCCTGTGGTCTGCAGCCGCAAAGACTTTGGCTGGATAAGGTGTTAGTTTGTGGTCATCAATATGGTTGAACAGAGAGCCACGACGGTCAACTTACTGGTGTCATAGCCAATCTCGGGGCCTTCGCACTTGCCATTGGCCCTGCAGACACCGAAGACTCCAAAGTTGGCACCCTTGAAGCTGCCAAGTGGGATTGGCTTGATGATGGGTGTGGATAAGGTAGAAAGCAGGAGCAGGGCGAAGGCCGCAAAGAGCAGGACCGACATGGGGGTCGCCGGTCGCAACATGATGGCGGTTCGTCGTCGAGGAAACCTGCTTCAGAGAAATACGGGAAGCCGGCGTCGTCAAGACGCGGCGGGGATTGTGTGGGCTGCGCCCGAAGAGATTGGGTGTCGTCGCGAGGAAGTCGAGAATTGGCTAATTCGATATGAAAGCGTCGCGCGGCATCGTCTGTTCGGCAGGAGACGTCGAGATGGTTTAAAACAGTGACATAAACAACAATGTCAAAGAATGACAATCGGGGCGGTTTGGTTCCTGTCCCTCTTTCTTGTTTTCAGTGCCGTTTTCTTCTGCTCCTTTGTTCCCAAGTGCTGTTCGGGGACGTGATTACTGGCGGGCGTTGGTTGTGGGCCTGAAACAATGTCGCAAAGTTGCTGGCGATTCGGTCGAGGGTACAAATCAAATCGAACAGGACGAAGTAAAAATGATGGGCGGGGAGTTTCGGTCGTGGCCTGTGAGTGCAGGGTGCATGCAACGTTGAAGCCGAGATTGAGGTTGAGGTTGAGGTTGTGCGAAGTGAAGTGGGATCGAGTTCCCTCGTGTCGACCTGGAGAAAGGAAGAGGGAGAAGGAGACAAAGGTACGCACGATCTGGGGAGGAAGACGATGTGGGTAGGAGAGTGGGAGAGTGGATGACTTGTGTGTGGAGGGAGCGAGAAAGAAAAGGTGGGTCACCAGCCGTGGATGCAGCGAGGGTGTACAGTTTTGGGTCACAGAGAGGCCGACGAGGGGGGGGTCGGGACCAGGGGTGTGCGCGCAAGTAAAGGAAAGGGTGGGGTGAGGCGAGAGATCAAGAGAGCCAGAGCGAGAGACATGGGGAGCAGAGACATTGCGTAGCTGGTTGTGGCTGGGGCACTACCATGGAATGTAATGCCAGCGGCTTTCTCAGTTTACCTACCTACTCTGCGATGCCCGTTCTTGTGGCTAAGTCTTTACTTGGGCAGGTTCCCGTACGGTAATTGTGTAGAAATGATGGCTCGTCTGCGAGACTGAATCGGGCCCGGAGCAAGTGTGCCTCGATGATGACAGATGCGCTACAAGCACTCCGTAGGCGAGTATCGGACATGTGTACGGAGTAATGTGTACATGCCTATGATTAGGTAGGTGCATGGGTATGATGTACCTTGGGTAGTAGCGTACCTAAACTACGCAGTGCAATACATACCATATACATCCTATCGATATAGGTACAATGGTACCAGGCCGAAGTTAAATACCCCGGTTAGGTAACTAACGTCCATCCCCCTACTGCAGAAGTTCACTTTTGGTGAACATTCCCCCTCTATATGATGTCGGTTATGGGGGGTAACATCATAGGGGTATTTTACTTACCCCTGTCACCCTGTAGGTAGCATGTGACTCCACCCGGGACGCCCTGGTTTGGTGCGAGCATGAGAAAACCGGGTACGGATACTTACCGTCCTGCACAATGGCCTTGTTCTCGCCCGGCTGGTTATCGACAGGACATCAAATACAACCGAGGACTGGCTGGAACACAAGACATAACGGCAAAGCGGCAACGAGGCATTGCGGCGCCGCTTGTTGGAACCCAGACCAACAAGACGTCGGTCGACCATTGGCGTCTTTCATTTCCTGGGTCACGGCTGATATCACCTCGACGATGGATGGAGAATGACAAGATTCGTCCACGCCCAACCAGACCCCATCATCTTCGTCCAGTGTACGGACTTACTACGCACACTACGGAGTATAGCGTAATGGTACGCAGGCCCGCCGGCCATCTGCAAAAACCGAATGCGCGCAATCGCGTGCTTTCATGGCGGGCCCTGCTTATCACTTCGCACCCGGTATTTCACGCCGCGCGCACCCACCAGACATATACATCGTGTATTGCTTGCCTGTACGGATATTCAGGGACCTAAGTACGTGTAGGCCATGGGTATCATCGCACACGCCGACGCCGGCATAGCGAACTTGTCTCGATCGAGCAGGTCGCGATGCAGCCCTCAAGAACCTATCGACCCTGATTCATCAAAGCTCAGCTGAATGAGTGAGGTTCGCGATGGAAGAGGGAATGCGCGGTGCGTGCCCTTTTCTCGTTCTTCATCCAAGTGCTCAAGGCAGGCAGGCAGGCAGGCAGACAGCCAGGCAGTGGACAATGTAGGATCGTCTAGACGTCTGCTTTGAGGTTTTGCACCTATCCTGTAAGCCAGCGAGTCCCGTCGGCGAGTTTCTAACCCATCACCATCCCATCCCGTACCCCCCCACGCTGGCCGCTTCTTGGGGCTTGTGAAAGGGCAAGGGATTTGTAACGACAGTCTAGATTCATCGCTCGAACCATTGTTGCAGAGGCATGAAATTGTGAATCAACGGCCCCTTGTCGGCCAGGAGTAAGTGGAACCTCTGTGGGTGCGTGGATTCCAGGGGTCTGTTGCATACTACCTACCATGTATCCGTAGATAGTACGGAGTAGTACTCCGTACGGAGTATCCGTCGTAGTGTGCGCAACGTCGTTGTTGGTCGCATGCATCCTTACACTGTAATTACAGACTTGCACCCGCTCACCGTCGACTCGCAATCAACCATTGCTACAAACCTGACAATCGTGGACCGACTACGTCGCGGGTATCCTTACTGCGTACAGGAGGCTCATTTACCGTCGCCCGCGGACTGCTTATTCGCAGTTTTGCCCCAGCGTGTCGGGACAGAAAGCAACGACCCGCAGTGCAGTGCCGAATGTCAAACGGCAACCATGTCCTGTAGATGCATGTATGGATGGCCACGCTCTGGGTCGAAACCGGACGCCCCCCGCTTACAGCAGGGAAACTATGTAGGTTCCGTTGGCGGCAACAACGCATGCCAACGCTATCCTGGGTTATTTCGCTATTTCAGGATTCCAACCTGCCGAAGCCGTGCCACGTGCGTGCGCTACCATACTTTCACCTTACCTACCGTAGTACCTAGTAGTCCCTAGTACGGATAGTCTGCTACCTAGTGGACAATTCTGTAAACCAAAAAGAGAGCCATGGCGGAGGGGCGAAACACTCATCAGAGAGACCTGGACGTGAGTTTGAGCCCTTCGTTTCCTTCCGGGGCTCGTCTCGCCGGGAAACCCAATGGGAAGCCCTGTGATTCCCGCCTTTGTGGGAGCGGGTGGGCCTCATCCAGACGGGAGAATCTGACGCATCTGGACCTCATGTCTATAAGCAACTTTGTGACACGGCGCCTCGCCGTCTCGGATTCTGAAGCTAACCCCAAGGTTGTTCGCCATGCGTGTCCCGCTGGCTTCCATGCCAATCCATCCCCGACAGTCCAGTCCAGTCCAGTCCAGCCCAGCCCAGCCCAGTAGACCGCCGGCTTCGGTCAACGTCGCCCATCCGCTGTATAACCCGTCACGACGAAAAGATCAAGTGCGACAGCTACCACGCCGCTGGGGAGCAGCACTGCGCTTGGCCTCGACCATACCGCCTTCTTGAGGTGCGCGTGTGTCTCGTAAGGTATCGGGCTGCTTGGCTGTGCTTCGGCAGGTTGTTGTCTCTGCCCCGTACATGATGCCTGGTTGTTCCTCGAACGACCAAACGGCGCCAAGCAAAGTCAATGGCCGGCAAGGGCCGCTGCGAGATCCGATGTCGAGTACCTTGTCAAGGTTGCCAACTCTTCTTGACGTTTTCTGGGGAATTGGCTGTCCGCACGGCAAACAGACAGCTGTCCGTGTTCAGTGTTTGAGACATGCCCTGCTGCTGTATGGCTCTCGCGTGGTAGTCAACCCGCGTTGGCGCGAGGCACCAGCAGGTGAGAGTGTGTAGCCGACCAGTCCAATTGAGACCAACCCCGGAATACCATGTATCGACTTCTGTCCCCTCACCCAGACCTCTCACTCCTGGGCAGCGGCATACACGATTGCCTACACTGTCAGCATCCAAAGAAGCCTCGTCTATCGTGGAATGCCGTCCAGCCTGCCGGGCATCAATGCGATTGCTTACACAGTACAGTCATGTTGGACATCGACAACTTTGAATATGTAACCACCCCCTCCAGCCCAAACGAAAACGTCACACCAGCCGATACATGCGTCAAGGTGAATCGCTGCAAAGTTGTTGCTTTTGGGGGGCCACAGAACCCCTTCCTTGTTGGTATTGAGTATGCAACTCCCCCCTCCCCAGGTCGCCCGACAAGCAAGCGCCCTCCTATGTCAGACAATGAGGAATTCAGATGAAGGTACGCCGGTACCTTTGGCGCGCATCGACAAAGTGGCGGGAACAGCCGTCGCTAAGCTGCGTGAGGGATGGGGGGGGCCAGGCTGGTTCAAACCACTCATTCCTTATGCTTTGGTTCCTTGGTTCATGGTACGGCAGGCTGCACGAGCGCGACTGGCCGTCGTTTTGGGGCAATTCTAATCTCCAATCTCAGTTTTGTTTCACTTGATCTGAGGCACCGGACCAAGTCGATCCCTCATGCCTCAGAACAAGCACTTCGGACGGAAGTCTGATTGGCCCTGTCAGCGAACCTCTGGATCCCAAGACAGAGCCGTCGCCAGTTACGAAAACGTGGCTGAGGTCATTGAGGTTACAGGGCCGATCAGGGGCGGAGGCAGTTGATGCGTGATGTTCCCTCAAGATTCTGGATGAACTGGTGATGAATGACGATCCCCAACGATCGTCTGCTGGCATTTGTCTGGCTGACTGCTTCTACGCCCCACAGCACCAGTTTCGTAGTGTAGGTAGCTGTCACTATTTGGCGCACCCCCGGCGAGTAATTACCTCGTCGTAATATTGCATGTTTTGGCGGGAAGACGATGGACTCGGACCTGCGTACGATCCCGCTGGTCTCGGGATTAAGCAAACATCCGATATCGACCCGACAGCCCCAAATACCCGGTGAACTGACACGGCCCATGGCTCGTGATGACAGTCGAGGCTTCTTGGAGAGGTTGCTGGCAACACTTTCCTGTTCCACACATCGCCCGTGAACATCATTATACATAGAATACCGAGCCGCCTACTAGAACAGCTAGCTCGGACTGATCCCGTACCGAATCACAACGTCGTCGCCCGTCGCGGGAGGGCCGAGGTAGACACCTGCAACCGGTGCCGAAAAAGGTTGAAGCGGGGCCGGCGATAAGCAGATAGGAGCGGACCGCCTCGGTGCGTTTCATGATTCGCCGACGGCCGATAGCGTGTCTCTCGACCATCGTCATTGATCGCGTTGGAACCAGCGGCGCATCCGGCGTGTACGTACCCACCTCGGGCTTACAACTTTTTCTCCCCCCCCCTTCGGCTTTCATTCCTTCCAACCGAATCGAGGGTGATGGTTCGGCTTCTGCTTCATTTCCCCTCTGCATACCATCCATAACCAGCTATGTTACGTCAAACCATAGCTGGCCTTGCCGCGAGGGCACCGGCGCAGCAGAGACGTCTCCTCTCTGCCTCCTCCTCCGCCGCCGCTATCGCGGGGCGCCATTTGCTCCGTACTTCGACGACGGTACCGACGGCGACGACGACAACGACGACGACGACGAAGACAACGCCGCGGCGATTCCTCTCCTACACACGAACCGCAAACATACGCACGAGCAACCACCGCCAAGCCTTCGTCCCGCCCTCGCCCGCCTCGCTCGGCGCACCGCGCAAGGCACGCACATATCCCCGAGGGCGCAAATGGCTGCGCCGGCTCCTCGTCCTCTCAGCCGTCGGCGGCTCCATCTACCTCTTCGACCGCCAGGTCTACGCCTCCGGGTTCGGCCGGACCCTCCGCACTTTTGGCATGGGCCTCATGGTCGCCCTCGACTACAAGGTCAACTTCCGCCCGCAGCCGCTGACCGGCGGCTCGGTCCAGGACCTGCACCGCCGCAACGCCGAGCGCCTGTCGGAGCTGCTGCGGCACAACGGCGGGCTGTACCTCAAGATCGGCCAGGCCATCGCCATGCAGAGCGCCGTGCTGCCGCCCGAGTTCCAGAAGATGTTTGCGCGCATGTTTGACGACGCGCCGCAGGACGACTGGACCGACGCCGAGGCCGTCATCCGCGAGGACTTTGGCGGCAAGAGCGTCGAGGAGGTGTTCGGCGTCAGCTTCCGCGGGGAAGAGGGCAAGGGCGTCATGGAGAGGCGCGCGAGGGCGAGCGCCAGCGTCGCGCAGGTGCACTGGGCGCGGCTCGCCGACGGCCGCGAGGTGGCCATCAAGATCCAGAAGCGGGAGATTGCCAAGCAAATCAGCTGGGACCTGTGGGCCTTCAAGACGGTCACCTGGATCTATAGCAAGTGGTTTGATCTCCCGCTGTACAGCCTCGTGCCCTTTATCACGGAGCGGCTCGAGCTCGAGACGGACTTCCTCAACGAGGCCAAGAACTCGGAGACGATGCGCGAGCTCATACAATCGGAGAAGAGCCTGCGCGGCAGGGTCTACGTGCCCAAGGTGTACGCGGAGCTGTCGTCGAAGCGCGTCATGGTGACGGAGTGGATCGAGGGCGTCCGGCTGCGGGACAAGCAGGGCATCAACGGGCGCTGGATGGGCGGCTACGGCAAGGGGTCCCCCGGCGTCAATGGCGCGCAGCTCCAGCCGCCCGATTTGGCCACGGTCCGCCGCGAGCTCCGGGAGCGGCCCTACGCCGAGCAGATCAAGCCGGAGCGCGCCGAGTGGAAAGGCGTGCGCGGGCGCGGCGGCCTGGGCCTATCGAGCAAGGAGGTCATGACGACCATGATCGACCTCTTCGCAGCGCAGATCTTCAAGTGGGGGGTGGTGCACTGCGACCCGCACCCGGGCAACATCTTCATCCGGCGGCTGCCCAACGGGCGCGCGGAGCTCGTCCTCATCGACCACGGGCTGTACGTGTACATGTCGGACAAGTTCCGGCACCAGTACGGCGTGTTCTGGAAGGCGCTCATGACGTTCGACAACAAGACGATCGAGCGCATCACCGGCGAGTGGGGCATCAAGGCGGCGGACGTCTTCGCGACGGCGACGCTGCTGCGGCCGTACGAGGGCGGCGACGAGCGGACGGGCAGCCGGCTGATGAAGGAGCTCGAGGGCAAGACGCCGGCCGAGCGGCACTACGAGATGCAGCAGCAGATGAAGCAGGGCATCCGCGAGATGCTGGCGGACGAGGAGAAGTGGCCCAAGGAGCTCATCTTCATCGGCCGCAACATGCGCATCGTGCAGGGCAACAACCAGTACCTCGGCAGCCCCGTCAACCGCGTCAAGATGATGGGCGAGTGGGCGAGCCGCAGCCTGTTCCAGGACCCGAACCTGCCGTGGGCGCAGCGCGCGGGCAACGCCTGGCGGCACCTGCTGTTCAAGGGCGTGCTGGCCCTGACGGACGTGGCCTTTTACTTCTTCAAGATCAGGCAGTGGCTCGGCCTCGGGGGCGGCATGGAGGACGAGATGGAGAAGAGGATGAAGGTCATGGCGCAGGACTTTGGGGTCGAGCTGCAGCATAATGTGTTTGAGGGATAGACGTTCCTAGAGGGAGGGGGGGGGTAGAAGTGTGTGTGTGTGTGTGGGTGTCTCTTATAGAATTACGGTAGCCGGCGGTCCGGTTTACATTTGACGGGTTTGCGGTTTTATAGACTCGCCGCGAGAGTCCTTTAGATATTATGTCGATACAGGAAAGATACCACTCATATGTTATTCTATTGTACTCTTTTATCATGAAAAGCCACGTTTGGTCCGAGTTTCTTGCCGCATGATGGAGCAAGGGGTGGAGGGGGCAAAGGCAACAGCAAATAGGACATGTAGGTATCCAGACGCACCGAGCCGTGGCCAAAGAGGCTCGATGGTTTCTGGCCGTTGCTGCACAGAACAGGTGAGCCTTGGCTCACGCAGAGCGGCTCAATATCCGTCCCTTGCGGAAGAATGCCTCCATATTTGGCTGAGACACACTTCCTCCCGTCCTCATCTCTAACCGCACATCACTATCCACGATACCTGGGGCATTCAAGAAACAGTAAGGATGGCTTAGGGGCTAACGCCAGGTCGCCTCGGGCCGACCCGGTTGTCAGCTTCGGCGGGGTCCCAGCCATGTACGAAGTTATCCCTTCACCCCCGGGGCGACGTATCCTTCACCTCCCAGGACGATGGCAGGCTATGGTGGACACCTCAAAACTATACTCTGCCTCTACCTATACACGTCCATGGATTACAGTTGCGACCAATATAAATAGTAAGTATCATCAGCAATAAACCGCTGAAGGACATGCAATTTACTTCGGCAAGACCCCCACAGCCGCTTTTCAGGAGACCAGCGTAGTCTGTAGAGCCGGATCATCCATGGTCCCCTGGCGGATTACGATAGAAACTTCGTTCTGGCACCGGACAGCCTACAAGTGAACACGCCGTCGGACGGGTATCAGTAAGGGCCGAGGAGCAAGGTCTCCGTCAATGAGGATTGTACATACTTGGCCTTTTTGGCCACTCCCGCTTTGGAGTCATACACGACAGTAGTATGGAGAAGTATCACCCCGGGGGGCAGCTCGAACGACTTACAGCAGACGATGCACGTTTCCCTGAGTGCTCCGCCGTTTTTCGTGTCTCTAAACACGCATTGGTATACGGGGATGTTCTATGCGAGGGACGGTAGAGGAATATAACACACTCACACGCACACACACACACACACACACACACACACACCGATGCTAGGCAGGAGAGCATCAGCAAACTCTCGCCCCGACGCCGTTGCCCATTGGGCACCGGGCCCTCGGAACCACAACGGGTCGGTGAGGCCGACACACTGCCGCCCCACATGAAACCACCGAAATCGCCTCTTCTTCGCTATTGTTTCTTGCAACCTTGTGTCCATGAAGGCCCTGGGTGCCACGGCGGTCGCGTGATGCGTCATGGGCTATCGTGGACAAAGGTGTTTGCTGGACAAGGCTGGACGACGGCGTCGTCGTCGTCGTCGTGTGGGCTCATGGTCCCGCTCTCCGGGCACAACCCCAGCCACAACCACGGCAGACGAACGAAGACGAGGAGTCTCGCCTACTGGAACTGGAGAAGCGCCCAGCGGTGAAAGCGACGCGGAACAGAGTTGGCATACGTTCCTGACTCGCCTGCCTCACCGTGCTTACTCTCCGGCCCGTCTGCTAGCGACGGATACACGATCCGCCCCTGGTGGACCAGGGCTTTCTTCACATCTTCGCAGGAGCATACGTCATACGTCTGCGGCTCAGCGGGGCTCCTCGATCCCTATCTCAGGGTCCTGGGGATAGCCGCAAGAGAATGGGTACCAACATCTCGGAGCAGGCGAGCCCACCCTCCGCTCTGGGGATATGCCGGGATCGCATTCTCCGAGACACTGAGCATCCCTAATCGCGAGAGATAGACAGGAAAGATGTCGAGAGGCGCGGATCCATGGTCACGTTGCTTGCCGGTCCTTCCGAGAGAAGAAGCAGTCTGGAAGGGTGCAAAACGAGAACCCCACGCGATGTGTCTTGAAACCGCCCCAGGTGGCAGTCTTCAAGAGGGGAAAGACTTTGCGTTCCGCCGGGAGTATAGCAGCCGCTGATATGATAGAGGTAGGCAGATATGGCCCCCACAACGTACCATTGACTAACCAACACCTCTGGCCGTGCTGAAAGCATAGACGGAAGAGAGGAGCCGCAGTCCGGCCTCGAGAAATAATAGACAATCATGCAATATGGCGTCGACGCGATGGCTGGAACGAGACTGAACTACAGACTCGAGTGAGAGTGCGGCGGCGGCGAGGCTTCACAGTAGAGGAGGCCCGCGGAACATTCTGCATATTGGGCAACATCACCCTGGCAAAAGCAAGACAGGCAGGCGGTGTTCGTGGGCCGATTGTACCTTGTCCGACACCGTCAGCGGGCTCATCTGCGTAAGGCTGAGCTGAGCCAGCACGTCCGCTGCGATCGGCCCGGCCCTGGTGGTTGGCTAGCTTGCGGCGCCTCGAGACATTGTGTGGCCGTGTTACTCGCCAGCGGGTGCAGAGGTTGGCGCCGCCAAGCCCTGGACAGCTGGTTCGTGGATTCCACGTGGACACAGCAACGCGGCATGGCATCTCTGGCCAGGCCGTCGTAGCTCAACCTCGAGTCGATCTTACATGACATCGGGCCGAGGAGGGCGCCGCCTGGGTAAGCTGCGTAACGGAGGGATTGAGAGAGAAGGGGGGAGGGATCTCGATATTCACTTTCCGTCCATGTCCTGGACCTGCATGAAGTCGGGTTAAGCTTGGGCCTGTGTGAAGGTGATTAGCCATGGCTCGTCTCACAGCTCATGGGATACGGCGAAGCACCGTCAAAGGCCACCAACAGAAGGCCCCGCGCGGGAAATGAGGGAAGTTGGCATGAACAAGGGGGGCCAGTGAACCGAGGTTATGTGCATGCATTGTTCCACAGACTAGGGCAATGTAAAATTTGGAGCGACGATCGATCTCGGACAATTTGGAAGGAAATCTTTCTGGGATGATAGGGTATTGAAAAAAAAAAAAAAAAAGGCGTGGTCAATATGAAACAAGGGCTATTTCGGCGTCGGCGATCCACGGTCCGGTCCACGGGCAATGGGAACCGACAAAGGGCGGATGGGGAGGTGAGCGAGATCATGTCACGGCTTTGGGGGGGGGTGCAAGTGAGAGATTACGGGGACGAGTCGAGGAGAGGGAGGCTGTGAGTGAGCCTTGTTGACAATGAAGGACCGACCGTGACAATTAGCAGAGCGGCAGTCTGGGTGTCGTGATGGGATGGATGATGGCCATGACTGCACCGCAAAGTTGGGAATGTCAGTCTCATGCAACCTTTCCGGTGGGTATTCGGGAGACAAGACAATAGCATCCGTGCCCTGCAGCTTAGACAGGCAGGCAGGTATCCTACATACATAGTAATATGTACTCGGTATGGGTAGGGCAGATAGGACTTGTGGCACCCCACTGTAGGTAGGTATCTGCATCCGAGATGTGCACCCAAAACTCTCTCTTTTCTTCTTTACCAGGGAAAGATTGCCCAGCTGCAGCAAGTCATGTTTGGGAGTGACACGGTTCTGGCCGTCAATCTGAGATGAGAGGACGGTGTGGGAAAGTCAGGCGGGCTCTTCATCATCATCATCATCATCGTCATTCCCATCACCAGACGGACCGTCCCTCCATGTGCCGGCCCCGACATGACCCCGTCTCATGTATTGGCCGTCGTCCGATAAATCACCCATTTCGAGGGCTTTGGTCACCGCCATACGGGCCCCGGGGACAGGTCCGGTTGAACACGAAGGCTTCGCGTCGCATCGCATCGCATTCGGCATCTGTTGGACGGTGTTACACGGATGCCCATGGCCATGTCATCTAGCGTAGGTACCTATTGGGTATTGGGCTCCGGCTAGCAGACAATGGTCTACCGTACACTATGTCGGTCCAAAGTCGTGTCATACTTGGTAGTAGCGGCTCGACCAGTTAGTTCTGCGTCAAGGCGGCCAGGCCAGCCAGCCAGCCAGCAGAGTTCAAACGGTGTTTCTGGGAGAGGGGCGGGAAGGGGGGTGGCTCGTAGTGAGTGGCTCTTGGCGAGACCAGCCCTTTTTTGGGGGGGGGGGGGGAGGGGGGAGTCACTGTCACCGACCCTGACCCCCGATTGCGTTACCTACTACGGAGTAGTTTGGCTCTCACAGGGGAGGGTCCTCTGGGAAAGGGGGCGTTACACGCAATGCGGAGAGGTTTGAGGGGCTCTCTCCTTGCTCCGTGGTCCATCCATTACAGTCCTAGGTACCCTTACAGGCTACGTACCGTGCCTAGGTAGTACATGTAGGTAGGGACTGTAGTGTAGGTAAACTACTCCGTACCGTACCCAGAGGCTGATGGAGAACGGGTAGGTACATCGGCCTCGACCCAGTTTGGCGCTGCCCCGTCTGTACCTGCGTCGGGGGAATTGCGCCACTTGCAGGGTGCTTGTGCTTGCGTGCGGACTACTTTCCCGACGCCGGCCAATGAGAGGATCGGATTGGTGTTGCTTCAGAGAGCAGAGCACATCCCGACCGAGAGGCAGGCAGGCGTCTGTCTGTCTGTCGCCGGCGCAAATTGGACGGGACATTGGATCCAGTATGGGGGGACCTACCTACCGATCTAGGTAATGTCATCAGCCAGTTGCCCTGCTGCTGTTTTCCCGTTCCCTTAACCACCTCACATGTCATTGGCTGTCGTTGTCATGCCTCAACAAAAGAAACAAAACCCGACAGGTGAAGGAAGCAACAAAAGGCCGTCGATGCAATTGGCAATTTTCCAACCACGTAATCTTGCTTCACCTCGTACAAATACTCCCTAGGTAACCAAAGGCCAGTCACCGACCCCCGTTTCCATCTGTGCCGGCTGTATGTAGGCCACCTACCTACATACCTACCTACATACCTACCTACTTACACGTGTACTTGGTATACTGCGCACGTATATATGTAGTGCACCTCCACTGGCATAATTGCGCTGGTCGCGGCGCCCCATCCAACCCGCCCGCTTCCCCTCGCCCTGCCCACTTATCGCCCATCGTGCGGCTGCATTGGGCCATCCGTCATATTCCACTCCCACTCGCTCCCCGATCCCCCGGTCCAGGTCCAGGAGGTCTCGACTACGCATCCATCTGGAGACTGTCTCCCATTTGCCATTTGTGAACCAACGAGACTGACTCTTCCTTGTTTCTTTTCCTATCCCACGACCCGCCTGGCCTCTGGCATGCCTATCTGCTCGTTTCCCTTCCCTCACCCGCCTACGGATACTTCCTTTCCGTACCAAGCTACTTATCCAACGCCGTCCCTCCCCCTCGTCGACATCCAGCCCGAACTTTCTGTCCATCCCTCCTCGGCATCGTGCGAGGTACCCGGCCTTCTCACACTTGCACGCGCGCCCGCGCAAACCCAACCCACACACGATCCTCCCCACGCCGCCACCCATCTTTCATCCCATCTTCCTCATCCATCGCTCGAGCAGAAAACACTCGCTCCCCTCGCCCATTCATTCGTCTGACGTCTGGCTTTTGCTTCTTGGACCGAACCACTTGCATCTGCTTTCGCGCCCATTGCGTCTATAGCTTCTCAATAGCGACCTCGCATCCACACTAGCCTGCCTGCCTTCTTCATCAACCCGGCACTTGTTTTCTTGGGTAAGTGCGCATCACGGCCATAATCTCGCGCCCGTCTCCTCCCTCACCACCATCCTCCTGCCCTCCTCTCCCCACCTCTGTTGTTGTTGTTGTTGTTGTTGTTGTTGTTCTTGTTCTTGTTGTTGCGAACCCGCCCCTCCTTCACGCCCTTCCTGGACGGCAGATCTCCTGCCTAAAAGACGGTCGTGCATCGCAACCCAGCCACGCGGGGAGGAAGAAGGGCACTGGGAACACCCACGCCCCCTCCCTGAAGCTCGACTTCGGAGCTGCCTTGACTTGCGCATTAGTTCCTGCTCCATCTCTCCCCTTTCTCTGCTCCGTCCTGGCTGGCATTGGCTTCCCTCCCACCCCTAAACGCCTCCCGCTGCCATTTCCCTGCCACGTCTCGTCTCGCAGACGCCGCCCAGAGGCACCCGCTGTAACTCCCTGCACCTCCCGCTTTCACTTCCTGCGGTTGGCCGAGAGAGAGAGGAGGGCGTCTGCGTGCTTGGCAATTGCGTCCGGCCCAATTTGTCGTCAATTGGAAGCTGACCTCGATCTAGGTACTAGACGCTCTTACTTCCCGCTATTGCCTTATTCAGCCATCGCCCCCCCCCCCCCTTTGCACTATTTCCCAAGGAAACCTCAATCTCTTCACTTGCATCGAGCACGAGCGTCCAAAAAACGAACCAAGACCGAGCGTATTCTCTCCCGGACACGTCAATTGTCGACCTGCAGCTTCGCTACCCGACACAGCGAACTGATCGATCCTCTTGACTACACCATTTTGGGAGCCGCTCGCACGCAACATACCCAGAAACCCCTAACCAAAAGAACAAGCACGACTGACGGTGCAGCTGGTCGTGTACTTGCGCATACCATTCAACGATTCCGTTCGCGGTTTCCAACTCTGAAACGTTTTTTTTTATGCCGAGGACCCCAGATAATGAGCCAGCCCCATCGCTCTAGCTTCGGTATGCTTCTCAGACGCTCCAAGTCCGGCGACTTGGGAAAGGGTGGTAAGAAGGCCCAGGCCCAGCGCCAACAGCAGGAACGCGAACTCGAACGTCAGCGCCTGGCTGCTGTCTCTCGCATTCCTCCCAAGCTTCCCGAGTTCTACAACGCCAATGACCAGCTCTCCAACTCGATTCCCTCTGACCTCCGCTCTGAAGGGGGCTACATCATGCCCGACCACACCATAGGCACCGCCTATTCCACCCGGCCGTCCATCGAGCCCAGCCGCAGCGTTGCGGGATCTGTCCCGCCAATGCCTCCGGTTCCCGACAGCGCCTACGACCCGTACGCTCGCACCGAGAGCATGACGCACCGCGGCCGATACAGTTACGCTAGCAGCGCCATCAGCACCATCAACAGCCCTAGAAGGGTCCGGAGAAGAAAGGATCCCACCCCGTTCAAGTGAGTCGCCCCCCCCCAACCCCCGAGACGTGAGACATGGCCATGCGTGCCTCGTCGCTCTAGCTTGCCTGCTAACTCGCCCGTAGCATCCTCGTCATTGGCACCCGCGGCGCTGGCAAGACTTCGTTCCTCGAGTTTCTCAAGACTGCCCTCGCACTTCCGCCCAAGAAGAGATCTCGCCGGACCGAGATCGAGGAGGACACGACTCCTAGGTCACCACCCTCTGGCAACTTCATCCCTCACTACCTCGAGACTGAGATTGACGGCGAGCGAGTCGGCCTTACGCTCTGGGATTCGGAAGGCCTCGAGAAGAACGTTGTCGATCTTCAGCTTAGGGAGATGTCGGCCTTCCTGGAGAGCAAGTTCGAAGAGACCTTCACTGAGGAGATGAAGGTGATCCGATCGCCTGGTGTACAAGATACCCACATCCACGCCGTCTTCATGGTTCTCGACCCTGCCCGCCTCGACCGCAACCTGGCGTCGGGGAAGGGCGCTGTTGTGTCCAATGGTCACAACGGCAAGTATACACCTCTCGATCGCATCCAGGGCGGCCTGGACGAGGATTTGGATCTGCAAGTACTTCGCACTCTCCACGGCAAGACGACTGTCATTCCTGTCATTGCCAAGTCCGACACAATCACCACCAAGCATATGAACATCCTCAAGAAGACTGTCTGGGATACCATCAAGAAGTCGGGCCTGGACCCTCTCGAAGCATTGGGCCTCGACGAGGATGACGACTCGACCAGAATTGAGGAAGAGGAAGAGCTTGCATCGGAGGACGAGCGGGCTGGCTCCGACGACGAGGACTTACTTCCCCTTCAGGGACGCGAAGGCACACCTGCTTCGCCCTGCTCAAACCGACTTTCCACCGCGTCCATCCGCCAGCACAAAGCGAAGCAAGAGACGAAAGCCGACGAGGTGCCGTTCCTTCCGCTCTCCATCATCAGTCCTGATCTATACGAGCCCGAGGTCCTGGGGCGCCGATTCCCCTGGGGTTTCGCCGACCCCTACAACGAGGAGCACTGCGACTTCACCAGACTCAAGGACGCCGTCTTCAGCGAGTGGAGGGCTGAACTCCGCGAAGCCAGCAGGGAGCAGTGGTATGAAGGTTGGCGTACTTCGCGACTTAAGAACAGCCCGAATGCCCGTCGACGATAGAATGCTTTCGAACCGACCCGCAAGGTCTCCTTGTGGTCACGTGATAGATACCCTTTCTCTTCTACATGCGCCAGTCTTTTCGATACTGGCCTTGCGCATCTTTTGTGCACTTGTCGTTGTCATTGTTATTGAGATTTCGAGAGCCCCGCGCAGCATACCCCCGTTTTTTGTCACATACTTTTACGAACTTCTACGGTTGGAAGGCACCTAAAAGAATACGGCGAAACGACAGTATCTTCAGGCCGGCCCCGCATGACGAAAACCCTTTGATATCCTCGGACGCTTTCTTGCCATGACGTTGCTTGTCCGACCGCTTGGCATGGTCTATGAGCGCTTCCGACTCTACAGCGAGAACCTGGGAGGGGGTGGTATGATGACCGCCGAGACGCCTGGTTCTACACGAAAGAGAGGTTCACTGTACTTTTTGGCACACCGAAAATACGTCGCCCCGCTCCCGAGTCAGCAGCGGTGGTATTTCTACCAGACTTTTTTTTTTTCTTTCCTGTCTTGCTTTGCTTCTTCTTTTTCTTTTTTAACGACCTTCGAGACCCCGAGGACAGAAAGAGTAGACGGAGTCTAGCAGGTTCTGGAATCAGCCAAGCTTGGTTGAAAAGCAGGTTGACGGGGAGAGTCCTGTGTTCATATCAGCGGGTGGACGTGAGAGATGCAGTAGAGATGGGTTGAGATTGGCAACGGCGATTTAAGCAAGATACGCCGGTTGATATCTGTAAAGCAGCCTTTTTATAGGGACCGGATATTCCGTTTAGTTTGATTTTCTCATTCACAGTGGACGTGTCTCCCCCCCCCTAAATTGCTGCACAACCCAAGCCAACAGTCTGTGACTTTGAAAAGGGGAACAATAACCTCGATGCTTGACAATGCTGGCTTCGCTCTGAGTGATGCTAGAATCAGCCATTCCATGCCCCCCCCCGGGGAGAACGTCTCTGGAGCCGAGCGAAGCTCCTGTATTCCCGATCCTGTCACCCTTTGCATGCGTCAAATTCCTGCCTGCCTATTTACGCCCGTCGCCTACTGCCTTTCCGACGAGCCGCCGCGTCCTTCTTCGCAACAGGAAAGGCAAGCGGAGGAGGTGCACGAAGACGCGGGGGGGCCGGAGGTAGCAAAGAGACGACTGGAAGCCGTCGGGCGAGCCACCTCAAGCATCGAGCGCTTCTCCTTGCCCTTCGTCACCCTCGTAGTCGCCGCCGAGGGGCACGTACTCGGTGTGAGTCGGGTTGCCGTCCGCGTCGACGTCGGCCTCGGTGCGGTCCGGGTTCTTGCCGCGGCTAATGAGAACCTGGCGCTCCTTCTTGCCGAGGGCAACGCCGTCGAAGCCGGGGTAGAGGTTGAGGTCGGCTCTGCGGGATGCGTCAGTACGACCTTGGCCGAAATCGGGGGGGTATGGAGAGAAGGGGCACGTACTTTAGCATATCGACCTTGAGGTTCCGCGCCTTGTCGCGGATGGCCTGCTGGTCGCGCGGGTGGTCGAAGATGCAGTCCTCCAGGACCTCGGGCCCCGGGTCGTCGAGGCGGTGCTCGGGGAGTTGGCGCTTGGCGATGCGCGCCCACAGGCAGTTGTGGTACTCGATGAGGCGGATGAGACGGCGGGTGTCGCGCTCAGACCAGGGGACGCGCTGCTGCGGGCCGCGGGAGGAGGCGCGGCGGTTCATCTCGCTGAGCTCGCGGAACGAGCCGACGCTGCTGTTGGTGCTGCTGGGGGGGGAGCCGCGCGAGGACGCGGGCGGGAGGAGGGGCGCGGAGCCGTTTTGGTGCAGCGCGCGGTCCGCGTGTCCTGCGGAGGACGACGGAAGCGGCGCGGTGGACGGCAGACGGACGCGCTTCTCCGGGCGGGACGGGGGCGGCGGCATGTCGCGGCGGTCGCGGTCGAGTCTGGCGCGGCGTTGTGGGTCAGGCTCGCGATCATCTTGTTCGAAGTCGTCCTCTGCGTCGTCGACCTGGGTGCGTGCACGTTTGGCGCCGTTGACGGGGGTGAAGCTGGAGCGGACGAAGGGAGCGTTGACGGGGTCGGGGGCGGGGGCGCCGGGGCTGCTTCTACGAGCGGCCTCGGCGGACGAGGACTGGGTGTTGTTGTTGCGGGAGATTGCGGTGCTGGGGAGGTCCGCAAGAATACCTTCAATGTCAGTGGGCGCGAGAGACGCTTCGCGGCGACGGTCGTCTTCGTGATCGCCGTCGCCGCCGCCGCCATTGACGGTCGGTTCACGGGTCGTGCCTCGCCGCGGGTTCGTCGAGGCCGGGGATGAGCGTGTCGCCTGCGAGAGCTGCCTTTGTCGGGAGAGCGTTGCGAGGAGGTGCACGTTTGCCCGCGAGAGTATGTCTTCGTGTCTGCGGGGCACGTTAGCTTTTCAGGTCGTCGGGGTGGACGGGATAGGAAACGACGTACACGTCTCTGCGGACTATTTCCTGCGCCGCAGACGAGGCCAGGGAATCCGTTGGCGAAGACTGCCTCGGCGGTGACGGTAAACCCCGCAAGCCCTGATCGATATCGTCAATGATCTTGCCGCACCATGCTGAGATCTTGGTGACGAAACCATCCGCGACGTCGCGGTGTTGATGGGGCCCGTCGAGCGGTCCTCCGAGAGGGAACCTCTCCTCTAGGGTCTGGATGGCCTCTGCGAGGTCCTTCCCGTTGACGAGTTTAAGGATCGCCCTGGCCCTCTCACCAAAACGGTCTGCCAGGCGCCCCTCGATACCCTTGTAGGGTCCGTTATGCAGAGCTTCCTCGGCATCGTCCGAAGCCTCGGCGGTGCAGAAGAGATCCGCCAGCACGTCGGCGGGGTTCTGCCGCTCGTCTCGATGGCTTTTCAGCCTGTTGACGAGTCTCTGCGTCCGGATGTCAAGCGCGAGCTCGACGTCCTTCTCGGCGATGTCATGGTCCCAGTTATCGTTGGGACAGAATGGTATCGGAAAACCTCCGTCCAATAGCTCGAGCAATTCAAAGAGGTCGTCTTCCTGGCCATCCAGCACCGCCTCTAACAGCGCGTTCAACAGCGCCGCTGCGTTGGCCCCTACGATGACGGCCCGCGCTTTGGTCTCATTCTCCTCGCTGATGTGCCGGACGGTCCGGGGCAGGTCGATAAACAGCTTGTCCTCGGCCGCGAAGAAGACCCTGGTGCTGAACCAGTTCCGGCGGAGCACGTCGACCAGCCTGTGCCAGGACTGCTTTTTGGGTTTCGGATCCCGGAGCAGCTTCGCAAGCCCCTCGGAGGTGTGCCAAAGGGCATCGAGGGCGTTCTCCTTAAGTTCCGCCTCCTCTCTGTACTGGCTCTCGTTGACCTCCTCTTGGGACAGGCGCGTCATGTCGCCCATCTCGGACGGGTCGTCGACACCATCGTCTTCTATTCCTGGCAGACGCACTGCATCTAAGACTCGGTCAGTCATTGCTGCGCCGGCAAGATTTTGGACGCCATGCGGCTTCATCTTGCCTTCGTCGTGGCCTTGTGGCACCGGGTCTGGTGGGTGGGCGACACCTAAGACAGCATGAGCGTTCGTGATGTGAGGATGAGAAGAGGGGTGTGCAAACGGACTTGAATACCGCGTGTATTCCGCATTGGCGAATCTGGGCGTCATATAACTCTGAGCCCCCACCACGCTCTGCGATCCCATTTCTGTCACCGCGTCAGTCAGCCGTCAACCACAGCGTCTCACAACGTCTCGATGAGAAGTGCAACAGATGACGGACGACCCACCACTTTCACTCGGCGGCGGACTCATGCTGCCCTGGACACGATGTTGTGCATTGAAACGAGCCGGCGGCTCGTTCCTGACTTCGATTCCTTCGTCTGCTTCCCTCCCATCTTCTTCTTCGTCGTCGTCGTTTTCTTCTTCTCCATTTACGTCTTCTTCCTCTTCCACTTCCTCTTCAGTAACGCTCGAAGGGACCTCTGCTCTGCTCTTGTCCCGAGTCAGCCGGGATTTTGCGCTCACGCCTGCGCCTGCGGCCTCGGCGATGATGGTGGTGTTGATGGCCGGTGCGCGTCCCCCCGCCGTCTCGTCAACACCTGCACGGCGTCGTGTCAACCTTGCCGAAGGCGCGACGTCGATAACATTTTGGTCCAAGGCACCGCGGCCCGCTCTCGTCTGGACCATTTCTGGGCTTTCAGTTTGCTCGTGCAAGAAATATCGCAGAGGAGTCGCGTCACCAACGCGGTGGTGAATATCTGTCAAGGTAAACAAGCTCCCCTGTGGTCTAACCCTAACCCTTGCGCATTCAGGTGTTGGCAGCCGCTGGAGGTGTGCGTTGACATCCCTGCCTGAGGTATCCACAATGCTTAGCTCGAGAGGGAGGGGCTTAAGGTTTGAATAACCAATTGGCTCTCAACTCTGCAGAACCCCTCTGCACTTTTTTTTCTCTTTTCTCTGACGCAACAGGTGCACAGGGTATCTGGTCCGAATAGATTGAACGCATCATGTTCCGGAGAGAACACCGCCTTCTTTTTGAATTGTTTTTTGAATTGTCGTGCCTGCTATCAGTCCAATTAGGCGGCCGTTGAAGGTGGAACCTGGCGGTTGGCGCCTCCTGTGGGAGGATTCTTACTTGAAACAAGACTGAGCCCATTCCGTTGGGTGGGCATCAATCACGCTTCTTGTCTATCCATCATAGACACAATGCCAGTGAGTGGTTATTTGATTATTAAGGTAAAAAAAAAAATGAATTTGAGTTTGCCAATGCACTCGCCTTGCCATTGGGTCTTTCATTGTTTGTCTAAGGTTCTTCCGTGGGCCGTTGGAAGCTATTGCCTCTTCCGGCGGGTTACCCCAATAGGAATGGCTGGCCATGTAAGCACACACGCTGTCTTCTTGACTTTGTCGCCGATTCCATGACGCAAAGACAGCCTACACGATATGAGACGGAGCATCAGAAGATTTTAGATTGATTAGATCTATTCCTTCGGCGGCTCACTCGTGGTGCCGGACCGACCGCTTCATATCGACAACCCCTCCCACATCCCTGCCTTTTCTGCTTTCTTCTTCAGAAACAAGGTTACACATACAACTCAGAACACCGTGGTATCCCGGAGAACATACCTTCCGCAATCCATTCATTCATGTTCATTGGTTTTTCTTTGCTGCTTTCATCGCATAACCATCCGGGCCGAAGAGCCCTAGAAGGTACGCTGTCCTTGTTAGACAGAGGAAGGCCTACGGTGGTTAGCAAGGCAGCTCATGGAGGGTCGGCAGGTGGTCGCACCGTTACTCCCACATTGCCCCAAGTCATGGCGTTCCAATGCGTAACGTCCAGGAATCGGTCGAGACCCAGGAAGTGGTAGCAGGCGTAGATGTGGCCAATGTCGGCTACCCAGAGAGCAACGAGGTAGCCGCGCACAACCTTGATCTCGCTCGTGAGATTGAGCACGGCAAGGCCGATCATGGCCAGGAGTAGGTAGAGGTTGCCAAGCTGGAGTGCCACGAGACGGTCATTATCAGACGCCGGAATGGGCGGAACGACCGAGCCCGCGCTCCCAACGATCTGCTCGGATATAAACCAATCCGGATTGATCACTGGTCCCAAGAAGCCACCGACGCTTGAAACATGTGCACCTTCAGCTTGACGGCGCCGTGAGAAGAACGGGTGATACGTACAGTGAGATGGGCTCGAAGATGGTGAACACCAGCCGGGGGAAGGCTGGAAGAGCAGATGCCATGATGAAGAAACAGCTGAATGGTGTTTGTGAACGAAGGTTGGTGGGCAGATGGACAGGTATGAGTGGTGCAACAACCACAAATGCAAATCTTGGTTGGAGATGATGGCCCGGGATGGTCGAGTGATCCACAGAGGAACTAAAGTTGGTAGATCAGAACTGTGCAGTCGCGAATACTCCCTGGACGAGACAAGCCAAAGGAATGTGGAGGGCAATAAGCAGCACAGTTAATCCAGCCCCGATAAATTGTCAAAATTTTAACTCAGCGGCAGGCTGGTGGATGATTTGTATAGAATGTTTGCATCCGTATTGGGAGTAAGTCGAGCGCTGCTGCAACTCTCATTGAGACATGGGGGTTTCGGCGCATGTAGTTGATACCTTCCTTGCTGAACCTTCCCCCTGGGCCGGGTTGAGGTTGTGCTTGTGCGTGACCCAAATCAGGCTCAGGGGAGAGAAAGAGAGAGAGAGAGAGAGAGAGAGAGAGAGAGAGAGAGAGAGAGAGAGAGAGAGAGGGGGGGGGGATTGGCCCAGTGCGATGAACCCGAGGTGGGACGAGAGGTGTGCACGGTGAGCCATTCAATCAGTGTCACTTCCAGGTTGCTCAGAGCAAAGTTCGTGTTGGGTTGCTTAGGCAGCTACCGTCCCTCGAAATGTTTGTCGGCCGATGCTTTTGGCCAGACGCCGGTTGCAAGAAGCTCGCCATCCGGCCCAGGGGCTTTCGTTTGGGGTTGAGGGGAGAGGAGGTGACTGGAGAGGGGCTATCGACATCAGTGCGTTGTCTTGAAAGCTTCCAGGCGAGTGCAAGCCGTTTGGTCTTTCGTGGTAGCATGCGAACGGGGTATTAGCCAACGATACTCTCAAAGTACCCAAGGTGGTAGAAGAGTTACTTGGCACCTTGGCACACACAGCGTCGCCGCCAGACCGTAGCAGTAGATACCGCTTACCCAACCGCGCTAGTCTCATTTGCCGCTCTTGTACCGTAGGTACAGAGTATCCGTAGGTAGTGGAGAAATCTTCACGTGGAACTCCTCCCATCGCAGGCAGGCATATGCCCTCTCCGGGAAGGGCCCTGGATCTTTGCTGTTCAGTGTGGGATTGGCGTGTTAGTGAAGCCGCCCGCTGGAATGGTTGCATGCCGGTTTATTAGCTGCTGTACCCTTGCCTCCGCCTTTCGGTCAGTCATTGCGAAGGTTCTCTGTTACCTGATTGAGTACCTACCTACCTACCTACCTACCTACCTACCTTTTTGCACTTGTTGAAGACTCGATTCTTGGACTCCGCGTCTCTTCCGCTTGAGCCCTCCTCTTCGTCTTCTCCTCTTTCACCACTCTAAGCTTTCCACGCCCTACTTCCACTTTCGACACCACTGGAATTCTCTCTCTCTCCTTCTCCTCGCCCCTTTTGCTTCCTCCCATACCTTCGCCAGTGCCATTCCCTTGCCTCCAATTTCAACCCAAATGCCCACTCCGGCTCCTCTCGCCCACGATGGCCTACATCGAGCCACGCCTCATCCACCTGCTGAACGATTCCACCACGCCGCAGCTCGCTCACGCTGATCTCCCGCCCATTCGCCTGGCCTTCTCCCGTCCCTCCGAGCGACCCTTTCCTCTCGAGCCTGACACGAGCCATCGCGAAGATCAGTCCAACGCCCCGTCTCTCGCCACCAGTCACGGAGCTGTCGACGACGGCTTTCTGGGACGGGAGCAGAGGAAGGAAGATGAGTTCATGCTCGATCGGGGCGCATTCAACGGCACTGCGCACTTGCAGCTAAGACTGCTCCTCAGCGAAGATCGAGACACGGCAGACTCCTCCTTCTCTATAAGCAAAATTCTCGATGAGGTGCCCGACAGCAAGGACGACACGGCCACCAAGAAGAGACACCGCACTATCACAAACAAGGACGACTTTGTACAACTTCCACAGCCGGTCAAGAAGCAGAAGCCCATCCAGCCCCAAGTCATGCCGGCCATGCCGCCCATCATCAACGGCTTGCACGAACCGCCTCCCGACGCTGCTCTCTTCCCACCCATTGCCTCCAACGACTTCAACGAACCTGAGAGCAATCAGCTGAAGCCCATGCGGGAGTTCGCGCCTGTGCCGGAAGACAAGGAGACGGAGAAACCCACCGAGACCGAGCCGGCGCCAAGCAAGAATGCGAAAGCCAACAACAGCAAAACCAGGAAAAAGGCCATGAAGCCGAGGAGGAAATGGTCCGAAGCCGAGACGAATCACTTGCTTCTGGGAGTCAATCGCCATGGCGTTGGCAAGTGGACTGACATCCTCGCGGATCCCGATTTCAATTTCAACGACCGCACCGCTGGTGATCTCAAGGACCGCTTCCGCACCTGTTGTCCAAACGAGCTGCGTAGGAGCAACAGCGACCCCAAGCTTGCGTCTCTTGCCGTGCCGCCGACAACTCCGATGGAACCGAAGGCCAAGGCTAAGGCGAAGACCGGGCTCTTGTCCGAAAACATACTCATTGCACAGGAAGAACCCGCCTTGGGGGACCAGTTGCAGATCCCACAAGCCGACTCTGACGCGTTCCCCAAAATGAAAAAGAGCAGGGCGCACAGGAAGAAGCTGGAAGACTTGGCCGAGCTAGGCATTCATGGGCCATTTAAGAAGTCTCATAGGCGCGAAAGGCGACCATTCACAGACCAAGATGATAAACAGATACTAGAAGGCCTGGACAAATACGGGCCTGCTTGGACCAAGATCCAGAGAGATCAGCGCTTCAGCCTCTCAGGGCGGCAACCCACGGATCTCAGGGACAGAGTGCGGAACAAGTACCCTAGTGTGTATGCCAAGATTGAAAAGGGTCTGTTCCAACCCCAAGATGGCAGAGGGGGCGACACGCTTGAGCCTACGGTCAGCATGAGCATCACCAACAACTTACAGCCGAACCGGCCTCCCCCAATGGAGGCGACATTAAACCGAGTCAACTCTAAGGAGGACTTGCCCAGGTGGCCACTGTCCGTCCTCGACAACGGAGAACTGCCTGTTGTTCCGCAGGTCTTTGACTTTGGCGAAACCACAACAGTCGCGTTCATGGGCAGCGCGGGTGAGATGGACATTTCCCGCTTGTTGCTGGACGACTCGCAGGTTGGCAACTCGGCACGGTATGCGCCTGATCAGACGTCAGACTCGACGTCACCCTGAACATCACCGGGAATCGGAAATCGGGGATGGGGGATCTTCTGCGGTTTCCGCCGTGCGATGACTCGAAGAATCTCCTGGATGACTGGAGTTATCCTTACCTACTTGGTCCAGCTACATGCCTTGCACATATGCCAGGCATCCGTCTGGACTTTTTTTTTTCTCTTCTTCTTTTTCTTGAGACGCCGGGCTTTACATGGAACTTTTAGAATCAAAAGCGTCGCGGATTGTTTGCTTTGCGTGGCGTATATGGGGGACAGAGGGCGCTTTGCTTCCTCAACGGTCGTTTCTGGACATATAACTTATACCAAACTGGGATCTCCTTACCCGCGTTACGGAGACATGGCGCATAATCAGTTACCTCGGGGCAAGGGCTGAGGGAAAAGAGAAAAAAAAAGAAGGAAAAAAAAAAGAGATTTGGGATACTAGAAAGACCACAGTCGTTTCTATGCAAGAGCGTGAGTTCTTGCATTATCACTGCTCCAGGGCTTTTGAATCGGCTGTTCGAGTGGAGAGTGTCGATAAAGCCATTGTGAGCTAGAGCACCAATCGCTACGGATAGATGGTTGTACTTGACACTCGTGTTCCCCTGCTGTTATTCCCCTGTCAAAACCCATGAGTAAGTCGCCCACCAAAGCTGGTACGGTGAAGGGAATATGTGTGTAGTAACCGCTCCTTCCCCCTCTGTCCCGGTTTCCTGCAAAGGGTTCCTGCCCCACCACGGCCGACAACCAACTCGGTGCGGCCTTCGACAGTGCTCCAGGCGCGGATTGATTGAGACTCATGAGCACGGACCACCTCGCTTAGCCCGGCTATTGAACAGCACCGGATTATCGAAGCCCCGCCCGTCCAGTGACCCACCTGCCGCCCACAGAAGGCCGTAGGGTTCGAAAAACCTAGCACGAGAGAAAATTTGGCGTTCTCGTCGCTGCACTCTCAAGTCTCGAGATCGAAATTTTGAGTATCCTCGACTTCGACCTTCACACCCACCGACCAGATACCCCCATAGACTAACCGGCAGTCAGACAAGATGGGCAAGGGACTGTAAGTCTGATCAAGCCTATCCCCTTCCTCATCCCTTTTACGCCGATTCAATGGCGATGTCGAATGCGAGACCAATATTCCTGCCGCCGTACGGGGGAGGGTTGTAGAATCTCGACGACGCCGGCGAGGAATCCAACGAACAAGAATTCTGACAATGCCCTCACAGCAAGAAGCACCAGAAGCGCCTTAGCGCGCCTTCGCACTGGCTCCTGGACAAGCTGTCCGGAACCTACGCGCCCCGCCCCTCGGCCGGTCCTCACAAGCTCCGCGACTGCCTGCCGCTCATCGTCTTCCTGCGTAACCGCCTCAAGTACGCGCTCAACTTCCGCGAGACCAGATCCATCATGATGCAGCGCCTCATCAAGGTCGACGGCAAGGTCCGCACCGACATCACCTACCCCGCCGGCTTCATGGATGTCATCACCATCGAGAAGACGGGCGAGAACTTCCGCCTCATCTACGACACCAAGGGCCGCTTCACCGTCCACCGTATCCAGGCCGAGGAGGCCGAGTACAAGCTCGGCAAGGTCAAGCGCGTCCAGCTCGGCCGCGGTGGAATCCCATTCTTGGTCACGCACGATGCGAGAACGTGAGTCATCACCTGTTCTGTCAGACATCATTCAGCCGTTGGATCAAGCTTTGGTCGATTCGCTATCACCCCCAAAGTACTCTTGGTTGCGTCTATTTCCTGAAACATGTCTTCACTCCCCCTCGCGGGAGGAAGCGGAAGCAACGTTGAAAAGAAGAAGATTGGCCGATAACGAACAAGAGATTGGAGCTGCAAATATCCGACGGCTGTAATGTATCGCCCCCGTTACGGAGCCCCCCCTTTGCTGACGTGTGCCCCTTTCGAATATAGCATCCGCTACCCTGACCCCCTCATCAAGGTCAACGACACCGTCAAGATTGACCTGAAGACTGGCAAGATCCAGGACTTCATCAAGTTCGACACTGGCTCCATCGCCATGGTCACTGGTGGTCGCAACATGGGTCGTGTCGGTGTCATCACCCACCGTGAGCGCCACGACGGAGGTTTCAACATCGTCCACATCAAGGACGCCATTGACAACACCTTCGCCACCCGCGAGTCCAACGTCTTCGTCATCGGCTCCGAGAAGCCCTGGATCTCCCTGCCCAAGGGCAAGGGTGTCAAGCTCACCATCGCCGAGGAGCGTGACCGCCGCCGCGCCAACGCCCTCGCCGGCAACTAAGCTCTCTCTTCTCAAGAGAGTTATGAGAGTGATTGGTGCTGCGTGCGTTCAGGGTCCCCTTGTCGTCAATACGTAGATGGGCATGGGGGCCGCCTGACGCATTTTCGTGATGTCTGTCCAGGACGAAAACGGTTATTTGGGTCGGGCAAATGGGATTGTGCATGATCGAAAAAAAAATTAACGGAGTCCAGGGCTGATTTTAGAGTTGTCGGCTTTGACTACCCGGCAGATAGCTGTATTGCGGCCAATACCAAGCCATTGAAGGTCACTCTTCCGCCCAATTATTGAGTTCCCACATATATGCATGTCTCTGGTGGACGTGATGTTCTTGTGTGTTGAATGACTAGCGTGGCTTATTCCGCCGATTGGGGGGGGACTAGACCCCGTGGCTCTAAGAGGCGGGCCTCTGGTGTCTACACAGGGGGGCATCGTCTTCCGTCATCATGTACACGGCACCCCGGCCGGATCTTTTCCTCCAGCCACACCGAGCCCGCCCAGCCCACCATCCACCCTTCCCCGGCCTGCATGGAAGGATCACCGCCCCAGGTCCGGGCGCCAGGAACGTGGCCCGCCACTCGTGTCGACTCGACATCCCAATCGGCCCCTGCTGGCTCTCCTCGCCCTTAACTGTCGCCCTCCGAGCCTAGGCCCTCGAGGAAACAGCGGCCTTGGGGGAGGGTGAGCCTCCGACGGCGCGCGGCTTGCTTTTTCCTCCTTGTTCCCAGCGGGGAGGGGGGGCGTGGCAGAATGGTCCGTTCGCCTCCCAAGACCTCCCCTTCTCCTGGACGACTCCGCATCGTGCAGTAGTCGCTTTCCATGCTTTCTCTCCCGGGGAAGCCACCCGTCCGGGCCATCGAGGGCCAGACGCCGGTCACATTTGTGACTCCTCCCCCGCGCAATAGCGGCAAGCGCACCGCCCCGCGGCCTCGAACCTGGCGGTACTCTAGCAAATCGATGACAGTGCCCAGCAAAGAGAATAAAATAAGGTAAAAATTTGCAAGCCAGCAGGCTCATGGGCTGAACTGGGCTGGAGTTACATCGTGCCGGGAACGAGGCCACATCCTGCCCTCCCTCCCCCCCTCCCTCTGAAATCGCCCGCCTCGCGTCCATCGCGGGGGGAAGGGGGATACCAGGCGGTCTCGTGCCCGTTGATGCATGCTGGTATGACGCCGACTTGCTCCGGCAGTCCGCATGGCCGCCTTCCTACAGTACTATGTAGGTCAAAAGTATTGTCACATGAATCAGGATATCCCCACTCATTCTGCCTTGGATTGATGGATCTGGCTGATAGTATTAGCTGCTGATTGGGTTGCTTTTTTTTAATGCTGCTGTAACAAGACTTTTGACCTAGTACTTACGTCCGTAGCTCGCGCACCCAGCTGTTTTCTTTCTTTTTTTCCGAAACTGTCAGTCATTGGGGTTTTCTCCTCTCTCCACCCCCTCCCCCGCCGGAATTGGTCATTACATTACGATGTCCCCGGGTACTTGCCTCACCTCGGGTGAGGGGTCGAGCGCCGTTGCCCCTTGCCGCTTGCCCCTGATGTGGTGGTGGTGGTGGCGGCAGCAGCTCCTCGTGATGCATCAGCTCGAGACATGCCTCAGTTCCTCCCCCCTCCCCAGGATTTCTTGACGGCTGTCGAGTTTTCCATCTGCGGAGCCGGAAGTCGTCACAAATCAAAATCGGCCTGTGCCGTGGTGAAGCCCTCTCCCGTGCCTGGGCAAACACACGGCTGGTCCGTAGCTCTGGGACGGTCGGCAGGGTTACAAAGAGCCGCTCGTGATGTTGGACTCTTATGGTCTTGTTTACTGGCCTGTCTATATCCATTGTCTCTATGCGACACGGACCACATCGGATATTGGGGCACTTACCGAGGAGCCTCTCGGGATGCTTCAGCGCGGAGGGTTGGCGTGACGTTGGAACACCCCGCCTTTGTGGTCCCCTAACCCCGCCGTGTCACCCACACTACCAAAACGCCCTCAGCAGAGATGACGCTTTCTGCTGTGCTATGGCCATGCGCTATTTTGACAACGGTCACCCTTGTTGTCTGTCCCTCGTTCCTAATAAAGCCACTACTAGTAGATAGCCACTACCAGTAGACAGCCACTGGTGCCATGCTCTCCATACGAATATCTCAATACATACTCCGTAGGTCCTCAGGTGAACATTGCTAGCCGCGTGGTGTTTCCGGTGAGGACGGGGCCGCCTGGCGCTAATAATTGCCCCCCCCCGCCGGACATTGAGCTTCTCTGCGCCGGCAACCAACCCCACGCCGTGAAAACTCCTCGAGTGCATCTTACCGCCGCACTTGAGACATTGGCAGCCAGTGAGAGCGCGCCGGGGGACGCCAGTGCCGGTGCCCCAGACATGCCCATTCTTTCTTTCTTCGTTCCGGAGCATGCGGGGGCGGGGGTGCTGCAGGCTTGGAAACCCTCGATTGCGGCCTAGCCTGGAACTCGGGAGCTGCTTGTCTAGCACTTTTGTAGCAATGGTCAGCATAGACGACCCGATGTTTCGCGACTGCCAGCAGGTTCTTCTCAGCCTGACGGGAGGGATGCATCTGGCCGAAGGCCGGAAAGCCACCAAGAAGTGAAGAGCTGGGCCAAAGGGGCCAAGAGTCCTTGTGTCGTCGCACAAAAGGGTCGCTTGGTGGTGTCCTGCTCAGGAGGTCTCTGAGCCGTGAAAAGATTCGTCGGCGTGCAGCTAGTGGATGTGTAAGCCATATCCATATCCGTATGGTCGACAGATACGAGGAACGCTCGTCCCACGGTGACGGCGCGCCATTGGCTATGCGTAGGCCAACCTCGACGCTTATTGCGGCCTCTCTGGGCAACGAATTCCAATTAGAGCCGGGGGGGGGGGGGGGGGGGGGGGGGGTATCGAACCGCTGCTTCAGCCTGGAGAATCGCACGAGCCAGAGGAGCCGAAGGAATATTCGTCACCGCAACTTGGGAGATTCCTCGTCGGCTTTCCTAACTTGGCCATTCGATTTTTGTCTTAATGTTAGTCCTTGGAGGCCCACCTGCGTAGCAACTTTCTAACCTGCATAGCCTGGCCGCCGATGATCGAATCTCATCGATTGTCGGGGTTTACAGGACGCGGAGCAAGGGAGGGTTACGCTGCAGCATGGGAGGCAAGCGCCTAGTGACGCACTGAAAATCCTTTGGGCAGGTCGGTCGTCGGGAGGGCTGAGCGGGCGTTGGACCAGCTTGCTGTAGCATTTCATACTATCAGAGGACGCACAGTTCTGGAACGAAACGTCGCGGTCGAACACGTTGGATGCGGTGCTATGGGGGCCAGTGAGGGTGCTGCTCGAGAAGTCGCGTCGCCTATTCAACGGGTCATTTGACTTTGTGAGACCCGAACCTGCATCGACTTGTCTTACAGCAGCGTATGTATGACGGCCAGTCTGGGGTATCGATTGTGTGCGACCTGTTCCGCACGTCGCATGCAACTGAGGGCGCCTCGCTGGGTAAACCGACTTCGGAAGGGTAACATGCAGCGATTTTCTGTGGTCAGAAAGCGACCATGCTGCTTACCACCTCTTTTCGCAATATCAGAAACATTCTTGAGCTTATGTCATTCTGCCGGAAAGCGGAATTCCTGGATGCTACCAGTGGGCGGCAGCCAGCAGCAAGATTGTTCTCCCTGACCAGGTGGCCGCCGGCAGGAGGAGCCTCGCAGGCATGGTCAGCCGCCGTGTTCACTAATGCCCGATGGGATAGTCCATCTCCGCCAGCATCGCGCAGAAAGCTGCGGTGGACAGTGGACAGCTGACTCCGACAATCCAAGTAAGCTTCGCGCCTGCCCCAGTGCCGCGAGACAGCAACCATGGTCAGTGGGTTTTGTTGTGCTCGACCGGAGACCAACAACGGGCCTGCGTCCTCCTCGAGTCGGCGGCGGCCACCGTTGGCTGTTACCCCTCAAGCGCAAGCGAGCCCGCCCCACTGCCGAGTCTACACCGATAAGGCCGGTGCTTCATCAAAACTCAGGGCCCTTTTGTCGCTCACCAAAAGTCGGAACCCGTGGTCACGGGAAGAGTCTGGGTTTTCTAGGCCCCTGTCCCACCCTTTGGCTCGCCGTTGGGAGGGAGGGGTGGTACTATGCTGATTGAGAAGAAGTACGGAGGTTGCGTCTGATTGCCTGGCACCAGCGCAAGAATGCCCAGAGCAACAATGCCGATGCCATCTCGGGACAACCAGACTTTTGAGTCTCTCTCGAGTTGGTTCCTTTGTCGGGATAGCATTGCCGAGGCCTTGATCACGTTGATGTGAAGGTCGGCCGAGAGGGTGGGATGTCGTTGGTAATCTGACTCCGGGTCGGCTGACTTCTCGAAAGTAAACTGTGAAAGGCTGTGTGTGTGCCCAAAGCTCCCAAGCCACCCCACCAGTGGGGGTTCACACCTGCACCGCAACCCAGCATCGCTTTCTGGTGATGACATGAAAGCCTATGTCGTCTGTCGTCTTCTTTTTCCATTGCCATCGTCCCTTGGCCTCCTGGTCTTTTAGGCCTGGCCATATTTCCCGCATCAACTCCGACAGCCCCCCGCCCCCCTCCCTCTGTTTGTTTCTCCCCTGTTTGGGTTTGGGGTCATAGCAGCCGCCACTCATCGTCATCGAGAACTGGTCAGTGGCAGAGGGTAGGTAAGCGAGAGCTTGAGGCGGTTTTGAGCCCACTCTGTCGTCGTCGGTGTCGCCGTTGTCGCCGCCGCCGTCTCTGCCGAGACCGGGTTGATGGACGGTTCGCCGGGGAGAACAACGATTTCGGAATATTCCAGCTTTGTGACTGTCCCCACCCGCCCTCCTCTCGACTGCACGAGCACTCAAGCGACCAGGCCCGATATCGTTTCTTGTGTCTCCAGCAAGTTGCAACGAAACCATCCAGAGTTGGTTGCTCCACCCCGAGAGCTTACAAGCTAGGCTGGCACGCTAGCAGACTAAACTATGTACTCCCAGGTACCTACTCGGTTGAGCACCAGCTCAGTATTCCACACCCTCGCTGACGACTCAGGCATGTCGCCTTTGCTTGCTTGGTGGCCGTGCTTCATCATGCCTTGCGGGCCCCTCCGCCTTCTTGCTTCTTGACTTTTTGGGCCAATACCCTACCCGTCCGGTGTGCTGATTGGCTAATATGTGGTCGTCTGTCCGCACGCTACATCTACCCTTGCTGCACCATGTTCCGAATGAGGGAAACAGTACCCCTAGATACTTGATGTTTTGGTCACGCTCTCGACTCCTGCCACGGAAGAGAGGGCAAAAAGCATCGTTATTAAAGAGAAGGGCCCCGTCGCTGTTCATCATATCCACTTGCCCCAACCTTTTGGCTGCGTAGCCTCCGCCATGTTCGATTGCGACATTGCCCGTAGACTTTGGTTCTTATCGTAGACGATTACCCTCGTTTCCCAACACCTTTAAACGCCTCCCTCGTCTTCTCTCTCTTGCCCTCCCTCTATTCCTCTCTACCGAGCTCGCACCTCTACATCGACGGCACAGGTCAAACTCAACTGTACACCCGCCTGACAGCTACGGCGCACTGCCACCGGACTCGTTTTCCAGACATATATATCTAGGTCACGGCGTCTCAAAAAGGCTGGAATCAAAGGCTCGCGGTGATCGGACCCCGACATTCCAAATCTGGCTCTTGTCATCACCAAGACCAAAAAGTCTGCATAAATCCCAACGCCGACGCAACCCATCTTACACACGCGACCCCTCGGCGTAACCCACCGTACCCCGGTCAGTCTGCAAGCCAATAACAGGCAGCAGCCGCATCTGCATTGGTTGGTGTAAATGTCCTTCGTCCCCTGCATGTCGGCCAGGCGCGCTGCGAGGCCCCTTCTAGACCATGGCTTGAGGGGCCAGCTCGCGTGGCCTACCGCCCGTGCCGCTCGGAGTTTCTCGGCGACGGCCACTCATCGGAGCGGCTCTCAGGCCAACGCCGGCGGTTCGGCCAACAACGCGCCACCCGGTTGGAGTGGGAGGTCAGTTTTGGCAGTCGCTTTGGCCACAGGCACTGTCGGATGGGGTCTCGCCAGTTCCATCAAGAACAACTCCGTCGGTGCTGGCTTCTTCCCCCTGGGCGGCGGCGGTCTGCTCTCCCCAGATAGCCAGTCTCGTCCAATCAACTACGCCACGATAGACGAGATGGAACAGGTTGGTTGTTTTCTGTACTGTGTAGCGCATCACGGCTGCTGACATTCTGCACAGGCCTTGAAGGAAATTCGACAGGAGCTGGGCGGCGAGGACATCATCTCCACCGATCCGGAAGACTTGCACGCTCACGGATATTCAGAGTGGTCATCATCCAACCCTGACGGCCTGCCCGTCGCCGTCGCGTACCCGCGCTCGACAGAGCAGGTGTCGACGATTGCCCGAGTATGCTTCAAATACAACGTTCCCATCATCCCTTACTCGGGAGGTTCTAGCTTGGAAGGAAACTTTTCGGCCCCTTACGGAGGAATCAGCGTTGACTTCGCCTTCATGGACCAGATCCTTTCGTTCAACAAGGAGGACATGGATATCGTCGTGCAGCCCAGCATTGGATGGCAGGATTTGAACGAGAAACTCTCAGAACTAGAGAGCGGCCTCTTCTTTCCCATCGACCCAGGTAAGAAGGGATCGACGCCGTGCTCCTGATACCGAGATCGCGATGACTGACCCGTTGGGAAGGCCCGAGTGCTAAGATTGGCGGAATGATCGGTACTAACTGCTCGGGTACTAATGCGGTCAGATACGGAACCATGAAAGACTGGGTAATCAACCTCACTGTTGTGTTGGCAGACGGCACTGTGGTCAAGACGCGACGACGGCCGAGGAAGTCGTCGGCGGGTTACAACCTCAACAGTTTGTTCGTTGGATCCGAGGGCACTTTGGGACTGGTAACAGAGGGTGCGTTGCTCCTTCCCGTTTGCGCGGCCGGCACTTGCCGATGCAACTTCCAGCCTGAATCCCCTTATCGAGGTACTGACATATTCGCAGCAACCCTCAAGCTCACGGTTGTACCCGAAGACTTTTCTGTGGCGGTGGTTACGTTTCCCAGCATCAGAGATGCCGCAGCTGCCGCGGCCGAGGTCATGCGCAACGGTATTCCCGTGGCGGCCATGGAAATCATGGACGAGGTCCAGATGAAAGTTGTCAACATGGGCGGTGCAACGGCTCCCCGCGTCTGGAAAGAGCTCCCGACGCTGTTCTTCAAGTTCTCCGGCACCAAGGCCGGCGTCAAGGAGAACATCGGCCTCGTCCAGAAGATCACCAAGAACCACAAGGGTGGCAACTTTGAGTTCGCCAAGGATGCCCTGGAGCAGAAGCTGCTGTGGTCTGCGCGCAAAGAGTCGCTATGGTCGATGTTGGCGCTGCGAAAGGATGGCGAAGAAGTTTGTGAGTCTCGTCGTCGGGCTTGAAGTTCGCAAAGGCATCGTGGACTAACAGCTCGCAGGGAGCACGGATGTTGCGGTTCCCTTCAGCCGTCTGGCCGATCTAATTGAAGTAAGCAAGAAAGAGATGGACGATATGGGGCTGTTCGCGAGCATCCTGGGCCATATCGGGGACGGCAACTTCCACGAGAGCATCATCTACAACCGGACGATCCCCGAAGAAAGGGAGAAGGTCGAGAAGTGCGTCCACAACATGGTGAAGCGGGCTATTGAAATGGAGGGAACTTGTACCGGCGAGCACTCGATCGGCTGGGGTAAGAAGGGCTCGCTTCTCCTCGAGGTTGGTCCCGACACGCTCGACGTGATGAAGTCAATCAAGCGGGCGTTGGATCCAAAGTGGATAATGAACCCTGGTAAGATCATGGATATCCCCCCCGGTTCAAGGACGAACTTGAGCTCCTAGACGAGATGGCTCCGTCGCGCTGTCTTTGGTCTACACCCAACATGGCCGCGGCCGGAATATCGTAAGCATTGTTGGTGGTAGCTGGATCGACGATCTGGGGGGAAGGAGTACCAAGGGGCTTGCCTCATGTACTCGGTCCTTAGGGACGAAGATCATAAACCATCAGCGGTCCGTGTGCAAAAAGGGGACGAGTGCACAATACATACTTGCATGCCTTTCATGGCCGGTGCATCCAGCGGGGGTAGAAGCATAGGGAAACGGGTAACAAAAGTCTGGGGGCCATCTGTTCTGTTTCCGGTATCGATACTCATAGCAAGTAACCTTTCATGCTTGTTCATTCTCAATATGAAGTGGGCACTCCATCTGGACACTGTTCTGCTCAGACGATGCTTGGCAATGCTCCATCTACTAAGAAGCCTCGTTTCACTGCAGGTCTATCTACTAGGCTCCAGGAGGGCTTAATACGAAGGAAAACTGATTGACAAGCTTTTTGGGCAATTAAAATTACTTGCCGCACTCAAAAGCAGGCATCCGGCGGTAGGTAGTGTTGCAGATACTTTCGAGGCGGTGAATGATGGCAATCAAAGTGCCAGATAGATAGTATGCGGCTAGCTGCATTGGCATGGGAAACGGCTACCCTGGAACGGGCAACGACGGCCATCCATTATTTTGTATGACTAGGCAACTAGGTAGAAAAGAGACAGAGGGGAGGGAGAAGAAAAGTCAGTCTTTATCAAGTACGTACCTGTACCTGGTAAGAAACTGGCGTCACTTATAACATTTTGGCTCGTCCCATTTCTTCCCATCAGAGAGGTAATCCTCATTGGCATATGCGTTTAAGTTGTCGATCCATCTACGGCAGGTGCTTACTTCACCTTCGTTCAACCTTCCATCTTTAGCTACTCTCATCTTGTTTCACCCCATTCCTTCCGCACTTCAACCTCTATCCCTTACTTCTCACCTCTCATCCATTTACCCCAATCAATGAATCCAACTCACACCTTCCAAATCCTAGACAACCTTCTCCTCAACTTCATTGCACCCGCGTTACTTGGCGTCTCTGACTTGGAACAGCAAGCATGAATCCTCAAATCATGAACGCCTCTGAGAAAGAGCCTTGGAGAACAAGGCCGGACTTCACTATCATCATCTCTCGCCTTCCCTCTGCTCTGACCCTTGCCGAGCTCTACGATTCTTTCGCACGGCATGGAAATATATCATGGCTCCAGATCGACGAGAACCGCAATGGTGATCGAAACAGATTCGCCAAAGTCCGCTTCGAGCCTCCACCCAAGCTTGATTTCTGGTCCTCGAAAGCCTACACCGTCAGATATGGCGAAAGCAAGAGTGTGCAGGTCTCACTCAGAGAATTCAAGACACCCCATGAGACGTACGAGGGTTTGGTCAAGAGTCCCTCCAATCCCGACATATGGCTCAAGTCCAGGATTTCTTTACAGGCAGATCGCATGGATTTCGGCTCACGACTTCAGGAAAACGAGATGGTGGTGCTCAAGTCTGTCACTTCTGGTGTAAGAATCGACGTAAATCTCTCAAAGAAAAATCTCTCCATCTATTTCGACACTTACACTCGGGAACAAGAACCTACCCAGGTTGCTGGAAACCAGGGTGGCCAAAACCTCGAAGACGATGACGCCAGTCACCACAAGTGCTCTGTTGACTTCGCTCGCCTCACAGGAATACTTCGAGCCACTGAAGGAAACGAAACGACACTAGTAATTCCGCTAGAGCTCCCCCCGATGTTCTGGACCAAAGCGAACAGGCGTAAGCGGAGCCAGATAGCCGCGGGAACGTCTTCTTGGGGAAGCCTGGACATGTGGGAGCGACGAACCGCTATATTAGATGATGAGCAATTGCCTCGAGATTTTCCTGTGACTCTCCAGGCCGACTTTGACGACCCGAACTTCATCAACATCGGCCGTTGGACCACTTTCAGATTCGTCATCCAGAACACTGGAAACCCTGTTGATGAAGTACTGGAGATGCTGCAGGCCTACAACGTTGCAACCACAGTCCTGAGCCACTTTAGATCCGTTCCGCCGCGCCTCCCCTTGTTGGGTACGCTTCTCCCAACACCAACGCTGACGTCTGATAAGTCATCGACCAACTACTCGCTGCTGTCTCGAGGAGCAACCTCTGATCATCTAAACTTCGAAGTCTACTACCAACTGGAAGTCTGCATCTCTCGCGGCGTTCTGTCGGAGTATTCTATCACTCAGGCGTTCATCGATGAATTGTCTCGTATGGACAAGGACAGGGCAAAGTGGATGCTCGAATATTTCGCAGACCTTGCAAAGAGGGTATGGGACCCTATGAAAATGTTTGAAGATGAAGACGCTCGTTTCTTCTTTCCCAATGCTAGTATGCCATACTATTGCACGACTATCCGGAAGATCACGGTTACGCCATCGACAATGCATTTTTGCTCGCCAAACGTCGAGTCTTCAAACAGGGTCCTCCGGAAATACAATTCCTATCAGGATCGTTTCCTCAGAGTCCAGTTCACGGATGAGCTCTACAAGGGCAAAGTCTACAACAATGCCGGCACCGAGATATTCAACAGAATTTACCGCGTCTTGAAGCAAGGGATTAAAATTGGCAACCGTGTCTACGAGTTCTTGGCGTTTGGAAACTCACAGATTCGGGAATGCGCAGTTTACTTCTTTTGCCCGACCGCCTACACTACTTGCGATGATATTCGGCAATGGATGGGCGAATTCAGTCACATCAGAAACGTCGCGAAATACGCCGCACGCATCGGTCAATGTTTCTCGACGACAAGAGAGATACGAGGAGTCACTGTTCCTCGGATTGTACAAGCAGAGGACATTGAAAGGGGCGGATATTGCTTCAGCGATGGCGTAGGCAAGATCTCGAAACTATTGGCGGAGATGGTTGTCAACGAGATGGGCCAGGAATCAGTCGGCATACCGTCAGCTTTTCAATTCCGCATGGGTGGTTGCAAAGGCATGCTAGCAGTCTGGCCAGATGCGAAGGGTCTCGAAGTCCACATTAGACCTTCACAAGAAAAGTTCAAGGCGCAGTTCAACGGACTAGAAATCATCAGGTTTGCGCAGTACTCAGTTGCCACACTGAATCGTCAGACAATCACCATTCTCGCCACTCTCGGGGTCGAAAGCGAGCCCATCTTGCAGCTCGCTAAACAGCAGGTTCAGAATTACGAGAAAGCAATGCGTGACCGGGTTGCGGCTGCTGGCCTACTGGGAAGGTACGTCGACGAGAACATGACATCGCTGACAATCAAGGACCTCGTCTGCTGGGGCTTCATGGATACGGAGGTGCAAGAGCCGTTTGTTCTCACGATTCTAAACCTCTGGAGAATCTGGTCCGTGAAGCTGTTGAAGGAGAAGGCCCGGGTGATTGTTGAGCAGAGCGCTTTCCTTCTTGGATGTCTCGACGAGACCGGAACTCTGAGAGGTCACTCAAAAGCAACAGAAGGGAGGGAGACACGGAATATTGAAGACATTCCCCAAATCTTCTTACAGATCCCGAACCCCGACGATGGAAAATTCTACTGCGTCACCGGAGTGTGCATTGTCGGGCGTAATCCATCTCTCCACCCGGGGGACATTCGAGTCGTGGAAGCGGTTGATGTTCCCGCCCTCCGTCACCTTAAGAATGTCGTTGTGTTCCCCAGTATCGGTGACCGAGATGTGCCCAGCATGCTTTCAGGGGGAGACCTCGACGGCGACGATTTCTTTGTTATCTGGAACCCGGCTCTCATACCCCCGCAGTGGCACCAGCCGCCAATGGACTATGTAGCGTCAAAGGCCCCTGTGCTGAAGCGCGGGTTCGTCAAGGTATCGGACCTGAGGACCTTCTTCGTTCGATATATGCAGAACGACTGCCTGGCATTGGTTGCTGTTGCGCATTTGGCACAGGCCGATCAATCCCAAGCGGGGGCACGAGATGGCAAATGTGAGTCCTTCCCTCGAGGCCAACATATACGATGCTAAACTAGATTAACAGGCATAAAGCTAGCGGAGCTACACTCCAAGGCTGTTGACTATGTCAAGACTGCAGACCCAGCGGACTTTCCGCCGTACCTTCAACCCAAGAGATGGCCTCATTTTATGAACCGCAAGAATACCTACAAGTCACTAAGCCCTATCGGCCAGATCTATGACATGATTCAAGACCAGGCGCTTGACCCACTGTACGAGAAGAAATTCGACAACAGGATCTTGAATCGCTTCACGCTTACAGACGATCTACTCCAAAAAGCGCGCAAGGTCAAGAGACAATACGACACTTCCATGCGTCGCCTCATGAGCTATCGCGACGTGAAAACCGAGTTCGAAGCCTGGACCGGCTTCGTACTGTCAAGACCTCGAGTTGGCAGCGACTACAAGCAGCAAGAGGACATTGGCCGGGAGTCGGCGGCACTGAAACAGAGGTTCCGCGAGATTTGCTATAATGAGGCCGGTAGCAGGAACTATGACGACTTTGCGCCGTTTGTGGCTGCAATGTACAAAGTCACCGAGGAGCAGGTCAATGCAGCACTCGCAAAGGAGTACGAAGATGAGGAACACAAGCGACAATCGATGCCCCTGATTAGCTTCCCCTGGATCTTCCACTGGATCATGGGCCGCATCGCCACCGGACACGTCAAGATCAACCCGACCATCGACCCCGAGGCTCAGCCGATGACGAAGAAGGCCTACCCCTTTCGCCGCGTCGAAGGAGACATGGTGCAGCAGGAGACTCAGCTGGACGGGGGAAGAGTGGTCCACCGGGGTGACCTGTTGGAGGTGTTCGAGAGCCCCACGAAGGAAGACGATGGCGAGGTTTCACAAGCAGCAACCGAGGACGCCACCGCTACTGGTGGAGAGGAGATACATGTTGAGGAGGAGAGTGCCATGGATGCCATGGACCGGCTGATGAGCGGCGCCATGGGCTAAGGAGGCGCAACAACGAGAGCTTTTTCTACTGCGACAGGGGCGTTCGATAGGTCATTCCCGCGGCCCCAGTTGATTAATCGTGGAAAGTTGGGAAGGAGACAGGGTGATAAGGGGATGGGGGCGCCGCCCGCCCAGGCTTTTGATGCCCGCACACCGCTAGGCAACCTATTCTTACGAGACACGGGAAAATAGCAAATTGCACAATAGACATGCTTCGTGACGCGGCATTGGCCCGTTTCCCATGCCAACGTGACCTGAGAAGCACCGTTCGGCGTCGTCAGAGGCCACCCTCGTGCTCGAGCTGCTGGACAGAAAGTCCACACCGCGCTGCGTCTCGACGGGAGGGCCCCCCCTCCCAAAACCCGGCGCCCGCCCGGGGAACCGACGGGAGGTAGCCGGAGCGACCGCATTCGAGCCGGCATTTCCGAGTGCTGAGTGGGAGGAAATCGTGTACCTGTGCGACCCCTACGAGGGGCAAGCCTTGAATAAGGAGAGGAGCGGAACTGACGACAACAGAATACGCAAGCCACGGCCAGTATTGGCAGCATCAGCAGGGGAGAAAAAAAAACCACCCGGGAGCGCATGCCGGGGTCAAGCCCATCGACGCGGCACGCACTTCGATCAAAAAGGAATGCCCCACGACCGGTGCGGCGGCAGGATTGGAAGGCCGGCAGGCAGATTTTGGGGGTGGGGGGGGGGGGGGGGGGGGGGGTAGAGGGTGGGGAAGACTTCTTCCTGGCACGGGATTTCCCATGTCAACGCATCATCACTCGAACGACTGTCTATATTACTTTGCACTCACGCGATGGGGAACGTCTCGTTAAGCCCTTGTTTGTTTTGATGGTGTGCATTGCGGACCGGGGGGTGGAAAAGCTCGACCTGAAACTCATTTCCCTCTTCTAGAACACGTCTTCCAAATCCTCCAGGCCTCTTTTTCAGTTCCCGTCGATTATGGTCGATCAAACAAACGGGCAAACAGGGGAGGGGGGAACAGACCGACGTCGTGATCCAAGGGGGGTCGGGTGGCGTACCAGAGAAGCGGATACGAAACCGGCAATCAATGTATTGCAATCTCTCTCCACGTCTGAGCGGGCAGAAGGCGGAACAGGCAATGGGGAAGACCACCCGTGTTGCGTGATGCCTGGCGTAGATCGCCGAAGCCCTTCACTTCCTAACGCACAGATCCGTCCTCAGCACCCACTTCTCACCAGCGGTGACCTCGCGACCCTCGTGCTGTTGATGAGTGGGATATGTGTCAGTATGCAGAGCCGCCAAGAAGGTAAAAATAACAGGGTCGGGTTGGAGGGGAAGGGGGGGTAATGCTGTTCGGCACGCGGAGAGGGGGTTGGACAGGTTGGTGGGCTGGATCGGGAAGTGTGATTGGGGGAGGCGAGGCCACAGCTGCGATGGCCGCGATTGATCCATGTTTCACGCCACCAAAAGCAAAGGGAAAAGTACAGGATAGGTAATGCTACAGCAGAGACTATGGTGGCAACGGTCGAGGCCGCACAGGCTTATTACGAGTACGTATGTTGATATAGGATTTTTCTTTTCTCGCCCAAGACGAGACTTACCAGCATGCAGTCGTCGCCATGCTTGTGAAGAAGAAGCATTCCCGTCTCGAGGGCGACCGGGATCTCTTCCTTGGCGGAACGGCGGTCGTTGGGGAAAAAGACGGTCTCGCCGCCGACACAGCCCTCAACGGAGGACGTGAGGTAAAGTAGCAGCGTCCAGGTTGTCTTACACGTGACAGGCCCAGCCGACGGGTCGGGTGTGAGCGAGACGTTGTTGGAGTCATCATCTGCGTGGGGGTTCATAAATTAGCTGGGACGATGTTGCAAATGAAGGGGAAGCCTGCACAGAAGACAAGTGAAGGATGTAGAAGGAAGCAGGCTGAGCCGAGGGACCAGAGAACCATTCGGTACCGTAGGTCAAAGAGAGTGAGCCCCAGAACGCTTGTTGCTGAGTTTCTTGTTTGGAGAGAGGGCGACACGAGATGCCGAGTGGCTTCACTGGATCGGACTCGCAGCTCCCGGATAGTCTCCGCCATGACCCGAAAGGACAACGCCTTTGGGTGGACCGACATGGACCGATTCGCAGGGCTTGGGTCTGTACCATACATCGATTGGTTCTTTCGATACTAGGATAAAAGCCCGCGGTGTGAGGATGAGTGTAAACGAAGAGGACTGAGCGGAGGGGATGAGATGTCATATATCAAATATGACTATCGCATGGTTAATCAATGGCTCAGCTACTTGCTGTGGGGCCCAACATCGTCTTCAAGGAATAATGAGTACAGATCTCAGATTCTTGCAGGATTTCTCCACGGGGCGTTGTAAGTCATGATCGTCTTCAAGAGACCTTTGTCCCGGGCCTGAGGAGATTAAGACATGCATGACTCGGATATCGCTCCGAGTTCGGCGTCCATATGGACGGGTCGATGAAGGCAACCGTGACGAAAAGGGAGGAAACATATGGACCGAGCGAGCTCCTTTTTGCGCAAGCTGGTGTGCAACACCGTTCAGGGCCGAACGCTTGAACGAAACCGGATGTCTTGCAACGATCTTCAGGCACACCGGCATTGCTAGCCTCAGAAGAGTCGGTACACGACAAAGTGGTACGGCGTAATGTCATCATGGACGACGCGATGGAAACGCCGGCGAGCTCTGTCCCTCCATTGCCAATTACCGCTCGAGTTCAACCATCCGAGGGAGAGAAACAGATGCTCGTGGCTTTTTGCTGGTGGCACACTGGCCGAAGTCGGCCACTGCTCTTGAATGTAGCTAGGCAATAACGGAGGCCTTGCCCAGTAGCTTGCAGATTATTCATGGCCTTGGGCGCATGGGGCGCGTGTGGCGTATGACAGGTCAACGATAGGGTTTATGAGACTTACAATGTGCATCAAAATACTGGCCCTTGGAGTAGCGATATATGCGGATATTGGGGTTCAAACCAACGACTTCACCGCCCCTAAGAAGATTGAACCCTTGTCAGCAAGTCTCACAGCGATCCCGTCACGAGGATGCTCTGGCGCAGATGTGGTTTTTCATCCGTATCAGTTTCATGTTTATTATAACTTTTTTGGAAGTATTTTTGTTGCTTGCGGGCTGACGCGGGCTGATCTGGCCGGAAGCGCATGGGACGCATTGTCTAGGGCAAGAGAGCCAAAAGAGGCAGGAAAGGCAAGGAAGAGAAGGCAGCGCACTCACCATAAACCCTGAACGTCTTCTTGACCCAGAGATTCGCGCAGCCCAGTCTCGTCCCAAAGGCGCCGGGCAAAGGCAGCATCCTGCACTTGAAAACGGTCGTTTACCCTCACCGCATCTCCCCGCTTGGGCCGTCCGGGGGTAGTGATGAGTGGCAGGCCCCTGAGGAAGGTGACATAGGAAGCGCAAAGGGATTTTGGCCAGAAGTTGCGGATCAGAACAACCTTATCAGGGCAAGGGCCAAGCTTGTCGGGAACCAGATGGGTAACTGGCAGTGGTGGCTTGAACTGGGGCCAAGCGGGTGGTGCACCGGGGGTCGAGGGCGTGGCTGATTTAGTGTTGCTGCTATTATTGGTCCCAACCCCGACTTTCGTCTTCGCAGCGTTACCGCTTTTTGGTTTACCCATGGCTTGAGGATTTGGCTGCGCCGTACAGGATGTAACGTGGTTCGGGATGATGCGCAGCGATCCAAGTAATAACTGGTGGGTTGTGGTTCCTGGCGGCTGTCTAGAACACAGCTGAGGCTCCCCCGCTAGCGTGTTGCAAAGCGGCGTGGCACACGGGAGAGGTATGATCTGACTGACTGGTCCCCGCCAAGAAGAGTACCAGCAGGGGTTTAATCTTGTGGCGAGAAGTTGGCTTGCGTCTGAGTTGGGTCAGGTGGATGGTCCGTCGGCTGGCAGGTATTTGGAGTTGAGAGACGTCGTCAGGGTCCTTGAGATGGACGTGTGAAAAACGCGGGCGTGGAACAGCCAGAGTGGGGGGGATGCTAAGATTCAGATGGCCAAAGTATGATCATGATGCTCAAGCTCAGGGCCGATCTACTTACTCCATAGAGTTGGTGCCTAGGTATGGTATGGTATCGGGTAATTGCGAGTTGGTGGCTGGGGAAATGATTGGGATGAAGTCGCGCTGTGTTTGTTGATGATGACTAGAAGTGGGGGTTGGATGACATACCTAGGCTAGGTAGGCATGGGTGGCGCGTGCTTGCTTGCATAGGAGGAGGTAGGTACGGATACCGTACCGTACCGTACCATAGGTAGTGCTACTGTGTGGTTCTACAGTGCACACAGTGCTGAGACCGTGTGTGTTGTGTTGCGTGTGCGTGTGCACGTCGCTTTTGGAAGCCGCGCCGTCCCACCCGACCCGAGCCGCTGATTTGACACCTCCGTTGACCCATATGATATAAAAGCGGGTCTGTGTATCCGGGGGTCCGGGGCTCCCACCGCCGGCGCCAGGGCGGGGTTAGGGGAGGGGTCTGTGACGCTAAGGACTGGTCTGTTTCGATCTTGGAACCGCGGTTTTCACTGACGTCTGGTCTCACTGTTTACCTGGTCCCTCTTTTTCATCACATCTCAGCAGTCAGCCAGCCAGCCAGCCAGCCTGCTTCTCTTCTTGCGTACTCGTTTGTTTTTCTTGCCGCCGGAAAATGACAGTTGACGAAGTTTCTGTTTCCCCTCCTGGACCTCAGGGGTTGCTTATGATCCAGTGCGGTCCCATGGCGTGTCTCTAACAAATGCGACTTAGTTCCGCACCCATCCATCCCTTTCCTCCCGTTTGTACTCCAGTCCGTGCACAGAGTGCCGCCGAGTTGGGTGGTGTCGTGCCGCTTCGGAAACTGCTTGTTGAATCTGTGCACGATGCTGAGTCGTGATTGCATGTCCGATGAGTACCCAATTAAGCCGTTCCGGCCGGATGGGAACCATATCAGCAAATTTCTTTCGGCAACGCGGTTGCTCCCGCGTCCGATTACAACCCCAGAATTGCTGCTAAAAGTGCCACACAAACACAACCGTTTTCTGTACAAGGTATCCGTACCACGAATAGTTTGAGGCATTCAAGCAACAGTTGCTGGCCGGCGTCATTTGCCAATCCAGGACAAAGGCCGCATTGGCCCACCAGCACTGATCTTGCACAATGCAATCAGATCCGTGACCCAGTAATGTGGTAAAGCGATCGCGGAACCTCTAAGCTCGCGCCTTGGCGATCGCAGAAATGTCCACATGCGCTGCACGTTGAGACGACTCGCAGACACCTGTTCAAATCCCTCAGCCGCTGGGAACTCTCAGCAAAGGTGGGGAGGGAGTGTGTTCCTCGAACCGAGGTGGAGAAACATCATGCTAGCTGCGGGATTGCATTGTCATTGGTTTTTGACTCGTGACTATTGCCTTTTCTGGCTGAGTTACTAGATCTTGGGAAAATGTGATATATGACGGGACTTCGGAGTCGCAACTCTGGTAGGTCCCACAGCTGCCCGCCTGCTGAGATCTCTACGATCGGATGCACACCGCAGGGCAGGACTCTCATCCTTGCTTGAACATGTAAAAGACCTTCTGCTGCAAGTCGTCCTTCCCATGATGGAAGATCGTCCGAATCTACCCCTGACAATGAAGAAGACAATGGCCTTCTGACGAGATTGGGTTTGTGATGTGAGACAGATTGGGCGGATTGGAACTCGTCAATAGCTGTGTGCCAACAAATGTCTCTCATCTAATCCGACTGTGGCTTGCTGTTCCTGGTTTTCAACTTTCGATCCAAGTGCCTGATTATCGGGACAGCGCCCTCTTCAACACAGGGCATGTTGAGAAGAGGCAAGCCTGCTGCACTCTCTATATGCGAAGCCCGAGGACTCCCCGCCGACAATTCCTTTTGTGGTGCGCTGCATCTTACTCCGCGACTCACCCTAATGTCACTTCTCACCAAGGTGATTACGACAGACTTTGTCCACCTCCCTAAACCGTCCATGATGCCGACCAACCATGTGACGCCACACGGTACCGGCCCGGTATTTTGGTCATCTGCTGGAACCTGAGTCAATTCGTGCACTGTTTGTTCCAACGCCTGCCAAGCGCTACGTAACAACATTGTGAAAGACCACCTCATCATCTCGTCATCGTCACGCCAGCGGAAGTGGTGCGGTAATTTCGAGTATGCTTTAGCTCACTGTCATCTCACTGTTCTTTCTGACAGGGACCGAGAAGCTCTGTTATGCCCAAGTGAATGGACAGTTGTAAGCCCGCGTCAGGCAGCTGGTACAGACAGTTTCTGATCTTAGCCGACGCGATAAGCCATTCACAGATACCGCTCAGGAGGTTTGTTAGCAAACATTGATCATGTTTGATCGATTGCCTGCCTGGATCTGGCATACCTCATCGCGCACGTATGGTCGGGACCCCATGGCATGGTGAGATGGAGAACCGATGGAGCATTCAAGCATTGTCAAATGCCATCGACGATCTAGCAATCTAGATCTCGGACAATTGATCGCTGCCGAGACAAGCTTGCATTGTGTCATGTCCTGTTTGCAGATAGCCACTCTGAGGACAGCACAGGTCACGAGCTGTGGAGGTAGCAGGCCGAAAGGGCGGCGACGGCGTGCAAGTTTATGTAACCGAAAACTGACGTCTGATGTGTCATTTTGATTGTCTCGCACATGTTTTTACTGCTCTGGTGCTGAGTGAATGGGAGTATGAGATGGCAACACCAGTTCATTCGCTAGATGTCTTCATAAAGGTAGGTGGACAGGCCCCGGGGAAGCCATCCGATCATCTTACTGGTATGCCATCTGAAGATGAGGAGGCTTGTCGTATTTGTTGTCATAGATGCTGATTGGACATGATAACCAGGGGGGGGGGGGGGGCAGAGCGGCGTGTGCCATTGCTCGACCAGGGCTTCAGTCAAGTGGCTGCATTTGGCGCCAAGGAGGGAGCAGGATATTTGAGTTGGCCGCCATCATGCTCCCCATGTCATATGCAGTCATGACGACGGTTGGCTGTCGCGGATGCAGTCAAGATTCCCGTTCTACCGTTGTGGTGTGATCCATTGAGTAGCTGTCGTCGTGCTGCATTTCCAGGGCGGCTAGTCAAAAGCGCATCTTCCGCTGCAAGTAATGTAGTGTCGACAGTGGGCCGACATGCATTTCGTCCGTAATCACCTAAGTTTAGCAATTCAACAGCGTTGATAGTGCACAATTGCCAGCATTCAAAAAGGTTTCGATGCGGGTTTAATGAAAAAAAAAAACCCCCCACCGGACTTGGAACGACTAGGATATGCGTTACCAAGAGTAGAAGCGTTTTGGTGATAATGCGAAAACAAGGTGAAGTCGGATAAGTCAGATAGCCCCGGTGATGCATCCGTTCGGTGGGGTGTTATTTGATTAAACAAAGTATGCACTTAGCCAAGAGGACACCTCGCTTGTCGAATAAGATGGCGCGGCCCACTCTTCGTAAGGATCCAAAATTTTAGTGGCGGGAACTTCCTTTCCCACAGCTCCGCTTTACCTCTTCCCAGCACGCGAACTTCAGCTGCCCGAGGAACCGCGACTCCATCGACTCCTGTCTTGATCAATTGACCGGCTGGTCCCTGCCGTTCTAACCCGGTAAGCCTTCTTGTGAAGGCCACTGTGGATGCTCTGTCTGACACACGTTAGTGCAATCTAGGGGACAAGATTCGATGCTCGCCCAACACTCTCCAACAGCCATGGCTTCCAGCAACGAGTCCTCCGACTCTCGGTCGGCGAGGTCACCACTTCAGCCAACATCCTCCCTTTTCCAGGCCAGAGCGACGAAACAACTAGGCCTCTTCTTCGCCGGCGCCGGCTTCTTCCTCTTCTCAACCATGGTCACGCGGCGTGCCGTGGTACGCAAACAGCTCGCCGCGTTTCCCAAATTCTACCAGCCCAGCCATTACGCGGCAGGCAAGCAAGGGAACCCTGAGGGAGGCATGATTGCATTTGAGGCCTTGAATCTGGCCACACTCAACGTCGTCAGTTTTGCCATGATGATGACAGGAGGCGCCTCGTGGGCACTTGATGTTTCTTCGGTTGACGACCTGAGAGAAATGGCCCGAAGAAGCCTTCGCGGAGCAGCTGCTCAGACGGACGAGGCTGCTGAGCGAGAATTCGAAGAATGGGCTGCCAAAATTCTGACAAAGTTCGGCAAGATGCCCGATGACGGCGCAGTAGCGAACAAGGACAAAAGTGAGGCAGACTCCAAGACAGGCAAGGAGGGACGGTGAGGTGGCAATAGTCAGCTAGACCAACATCCCTTCTTTTTTCTCGTCTTTCTTGTCGCGAGTAAAGACGATCTCTGGGCACGCCTCCATACGGATGCTGCCACACCGTCTGCGATGCGACAGCATGTACACAATTATATAAGGCACAGACCGCTTTTGATACACCTCTCACTATGAATCGACTCAACAAAGAGCACGAGCAGGCGCGGATTTCATCACACCAGCAAAATTATTGGCCATCATGAAGGAGCGAGACCGGAGTGGCCAGTATGGGAAATGATGAAGCCACAAGATGGCTATGCCAGCATCGGTTTCAGCCCAGGACGGCGACGTGATCATCTACGCCAGTCTTCCCGTCCTACCACGGAAAAGCATTGGAGTTCTGCATCGCGACAGTGCTAGCGCCATACGCCGATCTGCTACCGGTAAGCCAGCCGCGTGCATCCCCGATAACTTCATAAAAAGAAAAGGGGAACAGGAGGGTTAGACGCATGTCCCCTCGTGATTCTGGCGGGGCCGCCGATTAGAAGCTAGTGGTCCGGGAGGGTTGGCAGGCGTCCGGCTTCTCCATGCCCGCGCCGTCAAGTATGATCCACAGCCAATAGCATGTCTTGCCCTATCAGTTCTCAGAATTATCCTTTTTATGTTTTTGACTTTTCTTTTGAATCTAGTCTCTGTCTGCAACTGAACAAGTGCTTTGTGAGCTGTCACGAAGACTTTCTCACCACCCGGGACCGTGTCAATGGCGCCAAATAAGCCGGAGCGGTTGACGCAGATGACGCCTGTTCCTCTCCCGAGACGTTTGACTTGAAGCTCTTTCTTATGTCCACCATTATCGATGATCTGGGAGGCAAACGACAAAATAAAAGGTGTATGATACGAGTTGGCTGAAAAGCCACGCTCCACTACGATGGGGCCGGGTACGCAGCATCGAGGCACAGGCAGACTACATTCGCAGCGAACGACTTTGCTTTGGGTGTGGAGAAAGGGTCCGAGACAACCCGTGGCATTGATACCCTGGTCGTCCCGACATGCCCCGTCACCATCCCTGGTCTCTTGTCGACAAGGATTCGTGTCTTACGGCCCTACTTGTGTACCTAGCAGATCGCCTTTTGGTGCTTCTGGACTTTTGAGAATCCACCCCCATACCCCTGTCCCCTACGGACGCAAGGACTGGCAGGGCGTCCACCAGGGTTGGCAGACGGAAGCATACATAGTACAATCGGAAATGCAGAGAGGCTTCCGCTGCAGCTATAATCCATGATCCATGTTCTGGGTATCGGACCCGAATCGACGCCAAGTATAGTATCTGGTTCTAGGCAGTCCACCAGGCGGTAGGGTGTTCACGGCTCTCTCTTGTTTCCATTTATCTTATAAACTTGATCACTTCCTCAACAGTCCCTCTTGTCACAATCCTCACATATTTCTTCAACAATAGCATACTGCTTCGCCACCTGTCGTTATCTTTTTTCATCGGAAACCTCTTCTATCCAGCTCAAGTACAGGTCCACCTCGACGCACTCTCCGACGCCGAAACTTGTCAAGCAATGTGCCAGGCCGAAAGTCAACTTGACTCTTGGTGGTGCTAGTCTTCGTGGTTCGAGGCTCATTCAGTCTTTATACTTTTACCAAATCCAAGTACATAATCTGTCAGCAACGACAATCGAAAGCACAATGTCCACGGAGTCCACAAGGCACACACTCATGGCCGGCGAGCCCACGAACACCAACATACAGCCAGCTCATGGTACGCTCCTCAATGATGGACAATCTTTGGACGGCCGCGATTACCAGCGTGGAGACCTGGTGGCGATCGTCGATGACGGTGGACGAGAGAGTCTCGCAGATGCAATTCAGATTCTCAACCTTCGAAACAATGAGTACATGCTCGTGCTACTGAAAGCAGTGTGCTGGATTCCCACTCACAGCGAGCAACGGTCCGGCACAACCTTTCTGCTCACTCTGTACGGACCCAACCTGGACTTCCGTCACTCCCACTCCGAACCTCCTCAGATGGGGTATCGTGGCATCGCAACTATTTCTGGCTCTTGCGTCTACGTTGGTCGTGAGGTCGTGCTAGAAGGCAACCTTTCGAGGGTCAATCTGGACCCCGCAAGCCGAGTTTCTTTATTCACAGCCCAATGGGAGGCGCTGTCAGTTCACACAGAGCTGCAACACCCGGTTTTGACTCCCTCTGCCTCATCTTGTGCTTCGTCGAGAAGCCCCTCCGAGGCCGGAGGTGACTCTCCACCTCCCCTATTCTACCGTCTTCAAGGACGGAGAGACTCTGCCATTGAAATCCGGGACCCCGAATCTCCGATCTACAAGTCTTCTACTGGACGAAAGGTAAGCTTATTGTAGAAAATCGGCACATGAGATTATAAGCCCAAGCTGACGGTTCGTGAACAGTCGATCTCGCCCAAACCCTTTTTCATCCGCACTGCATCCTTTGCGCCAAAACATAGCAACCGCATCGCAAAGCAACTCCCCTCGCCCAAGCGTGTACAATACGAATCCAACACGTCTGCGTGGTCAGATCTTGGATCCGATGATGACTTCGGCTTCAATGTTGATGCGGCGTTCGGTTTCGAACACGCGTTTCCCGACAACATCGACCTGTGCATCAACGAGTCTCAGTTTGGCGACATGATGGCGGACAATGATTTGCAAGTCAATTTTGTTTTTATGCCACAGAACGAAAGCGACAACTTTGCATCTGGGCATCCCGAACAAGAACGGACAGATGGCAACGTTCAAGAACCACTGTGGCCCACGCATAACATCCCGGGAGGTTCTGAGAATGCTTGGGATCCTCTGCAGATGCCGCCGCAACATGCGTCGGAGATGAGGCAGCAGCAACTCCCCATGCCTCAGCGTCAGCAACACGTGCCCGCGAGGCAGGGAACTCAAACGGACTATTACGAGCCGTATCGGCTTGCGGATGGTCAGGCCAGCTCTCATATGCACTCCGGGTCTGCTACCCACCACCCTCATCAGGCAGAAGCCTCACATATGTCGAACGATCCCCGCGCTGGTTATGCACCATCTCAACAACCTCCGGCGACTGCCCCTCAACCTATTCAAGGGTTCAGGATGCAGTCGCAGCATCAGGAGCAGGCTAGCCGGTTACCAGTTCCGGGCGCCCCAACGAGCTCCTTCGTTGCTCCGGAGGTACATATCATCCAGAGCAACCGCCACAACCCTCGCCAGTCTCATTCTCTGGCCCCCAACTCTTACAGTCCGGTGCATGAGGGAACTCTGCCTTCATCTTCTACTCAGCAGCTGCGGCGCAGCCCTCTGCCCGAGGAGTCACGTGCGTCAAGCGCGCGAGGCACGCCGGTCATGGCTCGCCGAGCACCGGCACAGTCCGTTCATACGTTTTCGCCGGCCGGCTTGATAGATTCCTTCCGCCAGAGCGCGCAGGCGCACACCAGTGAATTGGAAAAGCTCTATGAGCAGCTACAGCAAAACCCAGCCGGCGATGACCAGCTTCGACGGGCTAGCGAGGCGTTGCTAACTGTCCGCCGAACCACAGACGATTCTCTGCAGCTCCTCAACCTGTTGCAACCGATCACCGGCATTCCTTTGAAAGGCACAGAGAAGAGACTCCAGTCTCTGGTTGATCAAATTGTTGCCGCGATGAGGGAGCTGCTCCCAAGCGCTTCAGACGCTTCTGAGCAACATGCCCAGAAGCTGGGCCAGAAGGTGCAGAACCTCAAGGACTTCATCGAGTACGTCGAGGGTGTTCACCCAGAAGTGGTCAAACGCCTACAGGATCCTGCTGCTACTGCTGCCAATGAGAAGGCGCAGAACGCCTCAGTCGCCAACACTGGCCGAGTTCCGTCGGCTCCTGCTTCGGTCTCTTCGCAAGCAGCAGACGAGTCTGACTCTTGCCGCTGGGTTGATGGCCAAGCTACTCCGCCACCAGACCGATCGTCCGCACAGAACCGAGACCGCTCGCGCATGTTCCGTGACATGGCCAATGCTCATGGCCGTCGTCCGGAGCCTCGCATCAGCACTGGTTCGGACTTTTACCCTCCAACAAGCTACAGTCAACCCACATCTCGAATCCACTCTCCGATGGCCAGTCACGCTGCGCCCGCCGAGCCTCAGCATCCCGGTGGGCACGGTTTCTATCAACAGTCTCTTCCGAACCCTCTCCAGCAGACGATGCAGGTGCCGGACTTTGGCACGTCGATACAGTCTCGCCCGATGCAGGCTTACCCACCCCCGAGCTCGGTGGAGATGATGCGTCCGATGCAGCCTGTCCCGAGCATGCCCCCTCAGCATCATTACACCACTCAGCAAGACACATCATTCTATCTGCGTCCGAACCCACCCAACGGCCTCTACACCTCGAGCGGAGCAGATATGTCGCAGGCGGCTTACGCCCCGCGGTCCCCGTTGTCTTTCCAGCCGGGACCGGCCCCGGCTCACCCAGGGTACTATCAAGACGTGAGGTCCACGCTTCCGGACCGAAGAACGATTCGTCAGGAACGTCCTGGCCCTTACTCTCTCAACTACAGAGACCAGAGACGGCGTAGAGGAAGCCAGTAATGGCCGGACCTCGTGGCCCTAGTCTCGCTCTCGTGCACGTGCACACATTGTTTCCTCGCGTCGACTGCGCAGGGATTATCCGACACCTTTTCGTTTCGGCTTGGATTTAGCGAGTATCTGATATCCCACTGCATCATTCTTGACGAAGCGTTTTCTCAGCGGCAAAACTCGGCGTTTCTTCTGCTCTTCCTACCTTGTTCCCCCCCAAGAGCGGAGGGGAGGGATTCCCAGGTCTCCTTGGCCGCTGGACTTCACGTAAGAGTTTGAGCTCTTACATTTCCAATCCCCCCCCCAAGTTCAACAGAATGGGACGAGGCCGTTTTGTTTTTACATCCAGTTCTTGGTTTAGAGCACAGCGGTCTACCATGGCTTCGGAGATGATAAAAAATCAGATGGTACATTGATTGTGGTGCAAGCAAATGTATGGGGAGAGGGGAGAGGGGGGTATGTATGATATAATGAGTCCAGTGTTTTGGCGGATATCTGTTTTTGGGGCGTTGTTAAGATGGTTACAAAAAGCAAGATGTTTACATTTAATTTAGTATTAACAAAAGATTGACCAGTAACTTGTCTGTTTTTGTGGTAACTGAGCAAACCGATTATGAGGAAGAAGGCGGTATGAGAACGGGCGCCGATTCCACTCTCGTCGGATGGACCAGGGAAAAAGCTAGATCTCGGTCGGCGGCGCCTTCTGGACTGACCGGCCGGCCACGATCGTGTCACCGGGGGCCGGAGGCCGGGGTAGTCATGCACGGGCCCCGGACTGCGCCTCCCCCGCCCGCGGGAAGACCGGGATTTGCCCGGCACTTTCCACTTCCCCACACGTCAACTGAAGCAAACCCGCGACCCGAATCGGCATATGCTCCGCTGCCGATCCCTGACTACAACCGACGTCTGAGGTCTCCTCCGCCTGCCACCGTTTCGCAGTTTGAGGGGCGAAAAGGGGGGGAGGGAGGGGCAGATTCCCATCGCTACCGATCTTTGGCTTGGCCCATGAGTGGCGAAAGGGGCTCTGCGCTGGCATTGTTATTCATGCCTCGGTAGATGGTTCCGCCCTTCGGTTAGTCTCGACCGGCGGTGCGTTCATGCAACCAACGTATTCACCGGCCCCCAGAGATCGGTGGAGTTCTCTCACCCCCTACGTGTCCGTCGGTGAGTTTGAACCAAACTTGCTTTGTGGGGAGAACTCGGCTGATTGACGTTTCGCGGGCTCGGCCACCTGGCTTGCACTTTTGGCTCGAGTGGAGGACGGCCTTGAATGGGAAGCGTGCTCCGTTGTCCCTCCGGCATGATGAGACGTAGGTTGCCCGCCGAGCCGGCGACGACTTCCCATATCGGGAGGGTGCCAAGCTTGGGAACGCATATAAGAACGAAGAGAAGCCCTGAATTCGAGTGGTCTTGGCCACGTAGCAAGCATCCAAATCCATCTCACACCCGTCCAATCGTCATCTTTGAGACCTCACATATCGCCGGCACGAATCACCACTAGCAAAAGCAATCGCAAACATGGCCTTCACCAGAATCGGACTCATCGCTCTCGCCGACGACGTCAAGCGGGACGAGGCCATCACGAGGTTCAGCAACTTTGCAAACGATTGCAAGAAGGTATGCCGGATGAGAGCCCACCCCCTTCCCCCTGTCAAGGAGGCAATGTGCGGAGACTGATGCTCTCGTGACCCATAGGAAGACGGACAGACGTACATCGTCGCTTCCAAGGCGAGCAAGTGCCAGGTTCTGACGGACGTTCCGGGCTCGCAGCCGTGGACTGTGGTTTACGAGATTACGTTTGCGAACGAGGCGTTAGTGTTATCCTAGCCCCCTCTTTTCCCATTCTTTTTCCAAAAAAAAAAAATAAAAACCAAAAAAAACCAGCCCATATGGCTTGGAGCGGGTGTGTATCTGCACGTTGATGACTGACAACTTTGGTGTAGGGATATGGAGTACTACCAGACGAAAGATCCCATTTACCAGGAGTTGATGAGGCAGGCAGCCGAGGGCAAGGCCACCGGCTTCATCGCGGTGTCGGCGACAGGATTCTAGATGGCTGGGCTATCATTTCGACTCTATAGCATTTTGATGAATTTGAGCGACGTCTTCGATGCGTGGCCTCCCGTCCCCATGAATGCTGCCACGACCTTGGGCCAATGGGCAAAGATATGTATGTGCTAGCCGGTTAGAGTAAGGCTTCGCTGTCAGGCTAGAGTTGTATAGGCTCTTAGATGGAGGCCGCACTCTGATGCTAATGGAGTCGAAGATATTCAACAGGTAAAACGGGGGGGAAAGTCGGAGCCTCTACCTTCGAGGGCAACAAAACAGCGCCGACGCTGAAGCCACCAGCCAAACATAGACCCGGTCGAGTATGAGAGAGGGTCTGTGCCGCTCAGAAAGGTTAAGCTCCCTCGTGTATTGCATTCGTTACGCAACATCCGTAGCAAGCCGCTTCGCGATGTCCGTACATCTAGTGGGTCATGCAGTTCTCGACTGTTGACAGGTTATCTTTTAGGTAGACGGAACTGCGCCCCCATGGCCCTGGATTACTATTCTATACACAGTCTTGGAAACACCATGCGGCAGCGCAACAGTTCACCTGCCCGTCATGGTTGGCTCCGAGCTGCCTCTCAATATGACAAGCATAGAGCCACTGTTGCGGTAGTTGTTTCTATAGTCACTCACAAGGAGAGGCCTGGAAGGTTAACCGATCCCCTGGGCCGAGTCCGTGACAGTGGAACCGCGGTAGTTGGCCCATATTCTTAGCTGTCCTTTCCCCCAAGTCCGTCAGACCCCCCCCCCTCAGCAAGTCTTCCCCGATCTCGACCCCGCTGCCAAGAAGTCTGTGTAGAGTCTAGATCCAGATAGCATGGTCCAGTAACCACGAGATGAACTCTGAATGCTGCTAGTGGCCATCCGCCGACAAGGCAGACCGGCATGCATGCTCCTGGGTACAGTGCGTTCTTACGCCCAGAGCCTTGGCGTCAGCATGGACAAAGTGGCATGGACCCTGGAAAGAATAAGTACGTGGCATGGACCTCGTCGAACCAGAACGGTTGTGTTGTCGAAAGCGAAAGCGAAAGCGAAAGCGAAAGCGAAAGCGAAAGCGACTAGATACCCAACCACGCGTTTATAGTCTTGCTGACAGCCCTCCCGCGAACGGCGATCCTCCTTCCGCCTCAGCCTAGTTACACAGGGGGGCTCAGCTCTGGGAACGAAGAAACGACAGCGGTACCGAAGAGAGGGTATCCTGGTAGTGCTGCAGCAGCGGGTCCGGAAAAGGGGTGGGCGATGTAGATAGCGGGCTCTTGTACAGAGCCACCGCCCGCTTCTCCATCTGTTTGCGCTTGGCTGGTTTATTGTACAGAGTAAAGGGCAGCGAAACGACTCGTCGTGCGGCGTGCCCCACGTACCTTGTAATTGGAAAGGTAAAAGTTTGCCCAAAAGTTCCCTCGACTCGGATGATCCACAGTGCCGAACCAGTAAGAGTTAACACGGCGTAGATCGTCTCAACCACACTGCTATGGAACTTTCGGAACGGATTCGGCCGAAGAAGCAAACTCACTTTTCCCATTGTACAGTCGGCGAAGGCTTGTTGTAGCGTAAGGGCGTGTACGGTTGTACTCCCAGCGGTCTGGAGGCCGTGTTCGCCAACTCCTCGGAGGCAGCAAGGCCATGCACGCAGGTCGTACAAACCTACGCTTCAAGGGTCCCGGCATTCGCCGATCAGACTTCTTCCGTACCACGGCCTTGCGAAACCTCGTGAAACTTCCCGCCGGCCGCCATTTGTGCTGATCTTGACCGATGTAGTTTACGTCAGGTTTGGAGGGAGAGAGCGGACAAAGGTGTAGACCGTGTGGCCGATCGATGCGGCTCCCGCAACCCGAATCCCGGCTTGCCAGTGATATACTATGATATCCGGCCGAAGTTTTATCGCCCCTGTCAGGTACCCCCCCTCCAGCCCGCCAGCTGTCAAAGCCATCTAGCTATTACGCATTACCTATCACCACCACCATAGATTTCTATAGAGATAGGTAGGATGCTCAAATCCTGTGTGGAGATTTACATCACTAGGACGATAAAACTTACCCCTACCACCCTGTATGTAGGACAGGTTACCGAAAAAAAAAAAGACCAAGGTAGCACCCGCCGTAACCCCCGAACCCAGACGGTCATTCTGTCAAATTCGATGCCGGGGGGTGCGGGACAGGATGCATCCCGGCAGCAAGTCGCATTCGGGGAGATGCCGGCTAACCTTAATTCCTCCTCGCCCCCCACCCCCCCCAGACTTGAGCGCTTATGGCAGTGCCAGAGACGGCGGTGCGCCGGCCATCATCACCAGCCATTGCTACGATGCCAGCCGTTGGGTTTCACCATCTTGATGCTCTGCCAAGAAAAAGACCGACGCTGATTTGCGCGCTCTTTCTTCGAATGCTACGTATTCGTACCCCAGCATACGCTGACAAGAAGAAACTTTTGTCCTTCGCTATCCTCAGTACTCCGTCCCATTTTACTCAAGAAAAGCAGATGTACCCATAATCTGAAGGGCGGCAAAGCCCCCCCCCACCCGTCTTCGTCTGAAGTCTCCCCCCCCCCCCGGCATGGGTGAGGTTGTGGATGCGTTGCCTGGATGTTCAAGGCAAGTTTATAAGCCTTTCAACGAGTTCAACGGAGAAATAGGCTCTGCGCAGGCCCATGTTCCCCTCCGGCTTAGGCGTGTTCGTAACCAGTTCGATTCGGCGGGCGGAGTCCGTCTGGGAACCTTGCGGAGGCCTCCCCCCCTTCTCCCCCTCCCAGGGCGTTGCACTCAAAATTTCGTGTGGGGGATTTTGAATCCTGGGGTAAATACGATGCGGAGCACACCGAAAGGCATCATCTCCGAGACGAGCCTAACTTGTCGGTGTACTGGTAAGGCTGGCTGCGTTGTCAAGGTGCCATTGAAGTGACTGACACCACCACCAAAGTGTATGTCGTGAGACTCGAGGCCTTGGTTTCAGGCGGTGGGCTCCTCGCTGCTGACGTTGGATTAAGCGACATGCCCCCTTCAGTTTGGTCGACTCGTCAAAGTCGAGACGCAGTCAGCCATTACTGACGGCTACTCGACAGTAGTCTGAGACTCCGCCATGCAAGCTACACGCACACCAGTCAGCGAGACTTGGACAGGACACGCGCATCAGCCTCCTTTCGCGTAGGTGTCCGTAAGCTGACGACCTTTTTTTTTTTTTTTCCCTCCCCCTCGTCGTACCGCTTCACCTCGCATCATTCTCTGACAGACTCAAAATGGGAAGTTTGTGCAACCTGGAACCAGGCATCGGTTCCCTGGGTCAAGGCGCTTATGACCGCGAACAAGGACCTTTTAGCGCGACCCGAACGACTGGCACTGAGCGCGCCAACGCGGCATGAGACTTTCACCGGAGACCTGTAGCTTTCCGTAGAGGGTTGACACGTCTTTGTGGGATCCCCACCGTGGTCGGCCAACGGTTTGGGTGGAGACAATCGGACACCCGTGTGCTGTGAGGACGATGTTGCCGCAATTCGCACAGAGTTTGGCAACGTCTAGGGGCCGAGATTCCTCCCGTCAATGATGGGGCAAACTGGTCACTCGCGAGCAAAATTGAACCTCGAGAGATTAGATAGTTCAGCCCCTGTCGATATAACATTAGCTCTGATACAGACTCCACACGAGGGGCAGCCACTTCTCCATTGAGACGGTAGCTGTGACCAGCCAGCTGGCCAGCTTACAGAAAGTCTCCGGGTGAGCGTTGCTAATAACAGATGCCCGGAAGGGAGCATGGGAGACCGACCTCGACGACCGCATAGCCGCAAACACTCCATGATACCGGCTGTTCAAGGCATCGATGATGCCACCTGACCCCCCCCCCCCCCCCCCCCCCCAGTATGAGGATCAACTAGTAGGCGATACTTTGGATAGCCGTCATCTGATAGTCAGGTGGAAGGCGGCGAGTGCAACGGGTCCGGTTGGCGATCCGCCGAGAACGACACGGTCCAAATGTTTGGTCATCGCAGACGACCACTCACTCCCTGGTTGTCGCTCGGGCGGTGCTGACTACCGATATCAGGCATTGCCCATGACTGCCAAGGCATGGAACGAGATCCAGAAAGATGGCTTCTCGATCGCGTGACCTTGCCGGGCTGCGGAGAGAATACCTATGTAGATACATTGAGAGACTTGGGGTCAAGTCACTCAAAGACCCTCCCCTCACCAGATGGTCACTTCTTAGCTGTATGAAATGATGCTGCTGCTGTGCCAGGGTCAGAAACATGCGCACGCCGCCACTGGTACTTCGTATGGCTACCGCTTGCGGCCAGCTGGGCCGAGCCACGGTCACAATAAAGTAATCGTCTCGGAAAACTTTTTGGTTCGAAAATGGGGTCTTGAAGCGACCAGGACCGTTCCCCCTCCCCCGGGGACGTTCGCAATAGAACAAGATTAGCCAGGCAGGATTAGAGTATAGGCAGAAACTGGGTACCCGAGCTTGTTGTGGCTGACGGGGTCTTGGTGTATCCTGTGTGTTTTGCCCACTTCGGTCGTAGTCGTGGATGCAACTTAACATCACTGCCAATCACTGCCGCCCGCCAGCCCCTCGGTTGAATGGCGGGGCGGATGTACGATGTATGTTGGCAACGCACACTACCGTCTGCATAGGCTGTAAAACGTAGGCGGGCTTTTCTTGACGCCTCCTCGCATCTGAAGGGGGGGGGGGGGGGAAGGTCCGCCTTAACACCCCGTCGCCCCGAGCCCGTCGCCCCGCGGAGCGCGAGACCAATAACAAAAGACAATACCAAGAAAGGCCAAGACAAGCGCCAACGCGACCTGTAGCTGTCTTTGCACAAGCGCGCCTTGTCCTTTGCCAAATAGTCACGCAGGGGGGGGGCCGAAACTTTCCAGCCCCAGAGCTGCCCAACATCATATCATCTGGGGACGCCGCCTTGGCATCGACCCCGGGACCTACAGCGTACAGCGTACAGCCTACCCGTCCATCATGGGGCTCCCGAATTGGAAAGTTGAAGAGATTGGGAGGGAGGGGTGG